AATAATTTAAAAAATAATTCAAGAAACAACTAAATAGAGAAAAGAAACAGATTTAGAAGAACATTTGAGGTGATTAATTTGACTTTGTTATTCCTGGGAGGTAAAAGAAGCAATAAACATGATTAGTCCCATAGTCTCTACTGTACATGAGAAAAAAGCACAACACTTGGCCCGGTTTGAAAAAATAAAGAGTGAGTGTGAGAGCTCTATTTGCATTGTAAGTCGTACTTCTTAGGAAATTTCCAAGCTTTCTAAATTGCTTAACATCTTAAAGAAAAAGTAGTAGGAAATGTGTTGGGTATATATATCTAGAAAGCAAGCAGTTTGTGTAAATTAGGAGTCCTTCCAATAGAATATTTGCAGGTAAAGTTCAGTGTAGCACCAAGGCATGTTAAAGGTGATCTGCCCCTGATGATATGACAGACTTTGGAGATCTCCCATGAAGGGCCTCACCCTCCTTGGAGAGTGGAGAATGGAGTGGGGATTGGGAGAGGGCTGAAGGGGGCCAGGGGAGGAAGGAGAGGGAGCTTGAATTGGCATATGAAGCAAGCTTGTTTCTAATTTAAATTTAAAAAATATTTTAGATAAAAAGTTAATAATGACTGATAATAGCTTCCAACACTAGGCAATGCCTCCACTCTCAGCATCTTATTAAACAAACCAAAGTAGCTATTTTTTTAAAAAAGGTGATTTAGTTGTATAAACAATGTCAATCACTACTTGGTTTTTTATTCTTAAAGTAGATCATAGTCTCCTGAAAGCCACTGCTTAGAAGGTCATTAGGGAGTTTCATTTCATTCAATAGTTTCTATGGAAGTTGTACAAGAATTTGAAGGGCACAAGTTCATCTTAAGTTGTTGGTCCTTTTGCAATGGAAAATAAAACATAAGTAGTATATTAACATCTATAGAAGTATAACTTTGTAGGGGTCTTTACACTGCTTTAGAATAACAATACATTTTACACTGCTTTACAATAATAATTACAATAATCTCCTCAAGGGCAGATAACAAATCTAATTTATCTTTGGGTCTCAGCACCTAGCGAAGGAAGTGGAACATAATGGATTTTTAATCACATGCTCCTGAATGGGCCACTTTTCAGGCTTTTGAGAGCATCATTGTCTTCCATATAGCTTGAGAAGATCAAGGTCATGTGCCAGCTAACACCAAAGAACCTAATTTGCAGTCAAAGCTTTCCTTTGACATCAGTTAGAAAGCATTAGCTGGAAGCACTGTAGTATGATTTTTTTCAATAGGAAGCCAGGGGGCTGGAGAGATGGCTCAGCAGTCAAGAGCACTTGTTTCCTTTGCATAGAACCTGGGCTCGATTTTAGCACCCACATAGTGGTTTACAACTACCCACAATCGCAATTCCAGGGGATCCCATACCCTCTTTCAATCTCTGTGGGCCCCAGGCATGGTGTATACTCATACATGTTGGAAAAACACTCATACACGTAAAATAAATCTTAAAAAAGTAGGAAACCACCCAGAACAATTTTCAAAATCTATGTATGTACTTTTGTCATCAATGATCAAATGTCCCGCTTTTATAGGCTGAATGAGAATTAGATGTGTAACACCCAAGTATGTTTTAAAGATTTATTTTTATTTGTGTGTGTGTGTGTGTTTGTGTATGCAAAAGTGCATGCCACCTCCATGTGGGTGATCACAGAGACCACAATAAGGTACTGGATTCCCTGGAGCTGGAGTGGTCATTAGTTATAGTACACACTTTAACTGCTGAACCATCTCTTTAACCCTAGCATGTTGGTGTTTAAGATTAGGCTTCATAGGCATTTGCCACAGATCATAAAGTCATAGAATGGCAATTCAAAGTCTCTAGTTATAATGATTCCTGAAATGAGGTTCATCTCTGTATCAGATCCATGTCACTTGGTTCTGACCCTTTAAGTCAGGCTTAAAAAAAAAAAAAACGATTGTGTTGATTGTGTTTCAGAGCCCTTGAGAACACTGAGGAAATACAGAGTGGGCTGTCAAGATGGTTCAGCATGTAAAGGTACTTGCTCCTAAACCTGAATACCAAAGTTCAGTCTCTAGGACTCACTTGATAGAAGGAGGGAACTGACTCCTGCAGGTTGTCTATTGACGTCTAAATATGTATCATGGGATATCTGCCCCCAGTACACACACACACACACACACACACACACACACACACACACACACACACACAGAATAAGAGGGAGGATGTCAAATGTAGCCTGGGTCCATATACCATAAAAATTAGAATAAAATAAAACAAAATCACAAATATTTTATTAATGGTATACAAACAAAATATTATAAGAATAACTTCTGGGCTTATTTAAGTAGATTAGTTTTTACAACACCTTCCTCTTTAAGATTTATATTGATTTTTGTTTCTTATTTATGTGTAGTATAGTCTGCATTCATGTATGCCATGTGTGTCCTGGTGTCGTAAGAGACAGAAAAGGGATTCTGATCCCCTGAAACTGGAGTTACAGTTAGCTGTGAGTTGTCATGTGGGTGGTGAGAACCAAACTGGGGTTCTCTGGAAAAGAATCATCTTAGTAACTTTTCTATTGCCACAATAAAACCCCATGACCAAAACAACTTATAAAGGAAAGAATTAATGTTGAGCTTACAGTACCAGAGGGTTAGAGTCCATGGCCATCATGGCAGGGAGCATGGCAACAGACAGGTAGGCATGGTATTGCTAGAGAAGTAATTGAGAACTCACATCTTTTAAAAAACTTTCTATTTATTCATTGTGTCTTTCACATCGTGCATCTTCATCTCATTCATTTCCCAGTCCCTTCATATCTGTCCTCCGACCTTGTAACACCCCCAAAATTTAACAGAAAAAAAAACAGAAGAAAAGCAAAACAACGAAAAGAAAAAAACTCTCATCATGGAAGCTGCAGTGTGACACTGTGAATCATGCAGTAAACCCTTTATCCATATATATGCATTTGAAATGTTCATTGAAGAGAGTCATTAGTCTGGTTCAAGGCCTCTGGTTTCTGCTACACTATGAATGCTGGGCCCTCACTGGAACTTCCCTTGGATATCCTTTCGTTGCCCTGTGTCTTGGAGGTCCTGCAGCTTTGGGTCTGCAGGACAGGTCCCTTCATGTGTTCCAGCAGATCACAGATGGGTGGATGCTGGGGTGGGCCAACTCATAATCCTAATTCTGGGCCAGGGTAGTTGCAGGACTGATCAACCCACAGAGAGCTCACATCCTGATCCACAAGCATAAGGCAGAGAAAGACAGAGAGAAACTAGGACTGGAAAGAGTATTTTGAAATCTCAAAGTAAATCCTCAATGATACACCTTCTCTAACAAGGCCACCTCATTCATTATCCTTCCCAAAGCAGTTAGAACAACTGGAGACCACATATTTAAACATATGAACCTATGGGGAACATTCTCACTCAAGCCATCACAATCAGCAAGGGCTTTTTTAGATAACACTGAGTCATCTCTTCAGCCAGTGCAACAATATTTAAATATAGATCAGAGAAAATTACCTTATTGTTTGAACTCTACAAGGAACTGCATTGCTAGAATACACTACTTCTAGTACCTTCCTACTTGTAAGACTAGAAGCCTCTATGTTCAGTTAAGACGGATGTTAGGAACGAATAATCTGAGATATAACCTCAAATCTACTGAGTTAACATCTTCTGATTCTCACAAATGTGAAATTCGTAACTACATCAAAATTCAAGCAACTGTTTTGGTTTAGGGTATTAAGAAAGGATATAGTCCTTGACACCTTTGAAACAGTCAAGAAAGGTGTGAGCATGTCAGTGGGAGAACACACATCCTCCGTTCTTTCAGCTACTCCTTAACATGTCTTAATAGTTTAACATTTAATGGGGGACAACTTTTTAAAAGATGGTCTTCTATGAACTCTCATAATATCCTCACTTCTCAATTCCTTCAAAAACATCCATGGAGTCAAATTTGTGCTTACCATATATTCCTACACCTAGGTATGAGCCTATCTACAGAAATTTGATCAACATACTAGGGACCACAACCTTAAAAGGTGTCTTTCTTTCCCTCCAGAAGCTATCAAATGTCAATAACTCATCAATTAGGGGTGAATACTCACAATCCCCTCCCCATACCATATGAGAATGCTGACTGATTTGATCTTGTGTGGCAACTGTGAGTTCATGAGTGAAGCAAGGTAGTCTTGACCAGAAAACACTGTTTTGCTCTGGTTCATCCCCTGGTTCTTATAATCTTTTTTCTTGCTCAATGGTTTATGAACTTTGAAGGGAGGTGATGTAGATTTTCCATTTGTGACTGGGCATTCCACTGATGCTTATTCTCTGTGCAACTTTTAAAATAAGATCATTAAATTTCCTAAGTAGTAATACTCAGGATGGCCATAGAATTTGTCTTCATTATTAAATCTGGTCACACTCACACTCTGTGTTCTTAGCTAAATAACAAAAGAAATGATAATGTTCAAATTCTGTATCTAAATTCCCCACAAATATTAGCAATGCAATGGCTCATAAGAGAAACAATTAAGTTTGTAGGGTGCTTGCCAAAGGGCAGGCTCTGGGAATAGAGTCAAAACATGGTCACAGTTAAGAAATATTAAAACTGAGTGTGGATAAGCCTCGAGGAGGGATGAGACGAAAAGTGTCTGTTGCTTTGATGTGTTCTTCTTTGCTTCAAGTGCTGTCTGTTTGCAATGTGTATGTTCAAAGCTTTAGAAAACCAGCATCTCTCTACCTAATGGTTTTGTCACAGCTAGTTAGGAGTCTTCTGTCAGAAGTGAGGGCAGCCTCAGCATTTCAGCACTGCGGACAGCTCCAGGCGTATGCGGGAAGGGGTGGGGTGGGGCTTGGGAGGAAAGGGGCGTGGATAGTGAAAGAAACACTAAACGACTAAGCGACGCATCAGTTTTCAGTTAAACCAGTCACCTTTCACTCCGTTTTTTTCCTTTGTCTGATCAAAGGAGATATAAAAACATAGAGCCTTCTAACAACTCGAGACTGCTGTTTCCACCCACAGTGAAATGCCTTCGGCACAGCTGGGGACGTGGCAGAGGCAAGGATTTTCGCAATGAATTAATTAAGCCCTCACTACCCTAGGAAACCCAAATAGTGAGGAACCCTGATTGCTAAGCTTCAGGGTGCGATGTGAGTGAAAATAAGTCTTTGTCTCTGCTCTTTCTAATGGATCTGAAGAACAGACCCTGTTGCTGCTGTTAGAGTCCCTTCCCCATCTCACGTCCCTCCTCCGTTGCTAGCATATCCACCTGCTCGCAAGTATTTACACATTGCCACACCAGATAAAGGCACACACATTTTACTGCAAACACTCGCGCGCACGTCCTTCCGCGGCTGCCTGTGTCCTGTCTCTCACCAGACGCAGACATTCATACACGTAGGCCAGAAAAGCGCTACCCGCGGTCCTGTGACTCCACGCAGGTCCTCAGAACACGCCGTTTACACTGAAGCGATCAGCAAGCACAGACAAACCTGCCAACAAGTCTTCTGGCTGGAATTCATCTCCATGGCAACAAACATGGAAGGTGAGCCTATCTATCCCTGCTGCCTGCTAAGTAACTTTCTCCCCCTTCCTCAGCATTCACCAACAGGGTTCCAGCTCCAGTCCCGAGGAGAAGGTTGTCCTTATTCTCTTGGAATTCAGAAGCAGGAGAGCCGAGTGGGGGCAGGGAGAGTCTGTAGGTTTTGGTGAGCTCAAATTCTGAAAAGGAAAGAATGCCTCTGCAGCTGCTGATGCTGTCAAAGGAGAAAAACAGAAAGAAAATGTGTTGTGTGTACACAGATCGCTGATGTTTCTCTCATGATGCATTGTAGGAAGTTTCCATGCTTCCTGCAGCTTAATATGTAGAAGACAACTGGAGCCAACACAAGGTAGCATAATAACGATGGTCTAGGCTTCTTTGGTGGGACATGCTGAGAATTTCCAGATCAAGCTTACCAGTGCTTTGGGAGGAATGGGTGTTTGAGGAGTAACCCAAATATTCTCTTAAGGAAAATCTCTCAAGGTTGACGTCTCCGGGGCTTTGGGGGTAGATTCTTGAAGATCCCGAGGTTCTGGAACTCTAGGAAACCAAAATGCATGTACTTCAGCATGATGAAGACATCTGGGTTTGTAATTTAAGGATTTCCTTTGATTCCAACACATCCATTCTTAAACGATAGCTCTGTGCAGATATGGCCTCAATAATGCTTTCTTCTGTTCCTTATTTTAATAGAATTTAACAACCTTTGTAATTTTATGGAGAGTCCTGTTGTTGATGTACATAATGTCTCATTATTTTTTAAGCTTGAGTTTGCATGCCTCATTTCATGAAATTACAAGTATCCTCTCATTAGAGACTTTTGTCTAGTGACTAGTACTAAAATACTTTTTTACCTAGAATATCGCACTCCAATTCTATTTCAGATTTAATGTTTGTGATGTTATTACTAGATAAATAAGCAATAAGAAAAAACCTGTTGATTAAAATAAAAACATAGGAGGTTCTTGTGTATTTTTAGGAGGTGCCTACATTTTACCATTGGCTTCTGCAATTGCATGGTATTGTGTGCAAATTAAATGACTGTTTTTGAAAAGCAAATTTGACAGTCTAATCAGTAAACAATTCACAGAGGAAAAGAGCATTACTTACCATAGCCATTCATGGACATGAGAAGCTACATGTATAAGTAGGTATAAAATTGCTCTCCTTGGTGGGTTACTGGCCATAATATGATTTAAGTTACTGAGCACAGAAGCTTGTTGTTGTAATCATCGTCAGTTATTTGTTGCTAACTACAAAGCAACTCCGTGACATTGGGCCTTTTGATATCTACAGGTACTGCCATGGCCCAGTGCTATGACTCATCAGGACTTACAGAGCAAACATGATGTTTGCCATGAAAGAAAAGGGACACTTTGAATCTGGCTGCTCACAGCTGAAGTATCTAATCATTAATTCCAGTGACTGGAGTTTCAAGCAGCATTTGATGAGCAGCAGACATAGTACAAAAATACACCTTAATCCTTCAGTCATTAGATGGAGAGATTCTGATACTTAAATGGAGCAGTGTTGACGATATTATCCATTTTTGTGGTGTATCACATTTAAAGTAAATTTTACCTGGATTCACTTTTATTCACATCCAGCTCCCTTTTAAAAATTCACTTATTCTTTTCACAATCACCTTTATCATAAAGACTTTTTGTCAATTCATAGTTATGCTCCTTTATAATCTGTTTCTCTTGTATTTCATTCATCTTCTATTTCTCAGGCATTAAAATATTATTTTCCTCCTTGAGGTAAGCTTTACTAGATTTGTTCTATAGAACCTAGTGAATCTTTACATCCCTATTTCTCCCAAGTATGGAAAATGAAAATTTGTCTTTACTCCTCATGTGAAAGCATTTTTGGAACCTTATTCATTATGAAGTAGTCAGTGTTGTAACTGAAGACTTTTATTTGTTTATGATAATTTTTAGCAATATTTTACATAATGTACTCCACATCAATGGAGAGGCACACAGCTCAGAAGACTTAATTATATGGTCTCAAAACTTCAGACGTAGTTGCTTTTGAAATGAGACAAGGCATTCACGTTGTATGTCAAATCATATAGGAAAGTTTGGGCAACTGTTTGAAAAGCTAGGCCTCAAATACCAGTGTTTTGAATGCTCTGTGCATCATATCTTGAATAGGAAGGCTAATGTGTTTCTGGTTTTGTATTTACCTATTTGTACTGAGATGGAATCAATAGGCAGGCTTCTTGTGACCCCTTTGTCTATCTCCTTTTCAAATATTCTCTTATAAGGCACTTGGTTTAAAGATGAACATTAAAATCTAAGTTTTTCCTTTTAAGAGATTGACAAAATTATCCTTTTTCAACTCAGCTTTTGTTTAAAATGTAAGCTGCAGTTCTTTAAACATTAGATGGATTGACTTACATTTACTTTAAAAAATCAAATATCTGGTTAAGTCCTTCTTATTGAGAATGATTCAAATTTGAATGTATTATCTTGCCCCTTTCACTTTTACAGAAATAAAACTTGTTTTGTCAAATTTTATTAGCATCCAATTCCATCTCCTCTTTATCCCTTATACCAGAATTTCCTTCAACTTATTAACCTCTAGAGATTTCTATAATGGTGAAATAATTCTGATATCAGGCTTTGCTTATCAGTGCTTAGTTTCCATTCTCACAGAATTAGACAGTTTTTCAATGGTCTGTCTGGAAACTTTGGCTTTCTTAGTTTTGTGTGAATTCCTAGTGTGGATTTATTCATGATCCTGAGCACTTGTTATAGGTCCACTGGGAGATCTTATTTTCCCTCTGTGAGAGGGTCATGTATTGTGGTTTATTGATAGTGAGGTTTTCTTTCTACTTTCAAATCCTATCTGGTAAATAGCAAATAGCTTACAAGAAAATTGTCCTTGATCAGTCCAGAACAAGTCTATACTAGAAAACACTTTAAAAGTCTTCTTCAGTGTTCCCTTTCAATAATGTCTCCTTCTCTCTAGTTGAAGATTGCAAATACTTCTGTGTACTATGATATCTCTATCCTACATTTTATTCATCTACATAAGTTTTACTTGATCATACCTAAACTAGGAACTCTGTGTTGTAAAAAGTTATCTGGGTTGACTCCTTACGTGAGAACCTCAAGTTGGCAATGTCCAAATTTACATTTGCTTTCTAAATCTATAATATTTCTTACTTTCTGCTCAGTGAAAATGCTGTATTTATATTTATTCAAGCATAATAAGGTGGAGCTGCCTTTGGTGGATCTCTTTTCATGGTTCACGGCATTCCATCAGATACCAAATCCTAACTTTATAAATAACTTTCTAATCTACACTCTCTTCCTTATACTTATTCATACAGATCTTTATTGCTGCTCACATGAAGCATTGTTTTCCATTTCTTCTAAATATGTACACGATAATAAAATTAACCAACACCGCTGCTGAGGAATAAAATATATGTAGAGCACTACATAGGCGAAAGGTAGTAAACATTGAATATAGTTTGCTTTCTTTTTCATTACCCATGTAGAAGACTGAATTGTTTTATTCTTCTTTGACATGGTCTCCCTCCCTTGCTATTTGGAAGCTTTTTGAGTAGAGAGACCATATCTACTCCCATGTGGCAGTGCAATAAATATTTTGAATACAAGTGTGATGACTATCAATCAAGTCATTGTGTTTGACTGGGACATAATCATGGTTTTGCCATTCTTGATCCTTTGTTCTCATTCAAGTTAATATTGCGGCTGCTATTCAAGCAATTTCTTCATATCTTCAACTTATGTGAATTTTTGATGGATTTCAATTTGAATATTTATTCCATGCATATTATCAAGCAATAGCTCCCTCATTTTCAGATGACATATTTCTCTCCTTCATTCTCAAACACAAGACTTTTGTAATGTTTCTATTAGGCATTATGTTCAGGTTCCATCTCAGAATTTAAGTCATTAGAATTCTTTTGAATCTCAACTCTATATATAATTTCAGCCAAGTTTTATGTCAAATTTAGTAGTCATCACTTAAATGTCTTCAACCTAGTCACTGGCTTGAAGCATGTAGGAGTGTGTAGCAAGGCTAGACCTTTGTGATACTACACTGAAGACTGTCTTCATGATTATAGAACCCTGTATTTATTAGGATAGCCCAGTATCTGTGAATCTACATAAAACATCATAAGCCAGGTATATTTCCCATCTTCTTTACAAAGAGATTACAAGAGAAGGTCCATAAATTGACAGTCACTAAACCATGCTGTCCCGCATCACCAGTTCATCTTGTTAACAGCTAACTGGCAAAAGAAGATGGATTTAGCTGTTGATATCTGAAGTTTTCCTCAAAGGTTTGTCTGTTAGGTCCTGGCTCCTAGCTATAGCTGCAGGGTTACTGGGAGACAGTGAAACCTTTCAGAAGAGGTTCACCTTGTCAAAAGAAGTTAGGTCACTACAGAGATGACCTTGAAAGGACAGTTGAGACCCTGGTCCTTCTTTCCCTCCAGATACCAAGTGAATAACCCTCCTGTGTCACATTCTAGAAGCAAAATATGGATTATGTGACCTTGGTTGAAACTGCCAAAGCAGAGAACCAAAATGATCTTTTTCTCTTTTAACTTGATAACTCAGTGTTTGTCCACAATGGAAAGCTGAGTAGTACAGCATCGCCTCTCACCCATGTTATCATCAGTGCCTCCATTGCCAACCATTACCTATTAAATGTCTATTAGTCACACATTACCCACATATAATTTCCATAATTTGCTCTTCTACCTTTTGAAAAGCAAAACATTTGCCTGGACTCATAACTCTGGTAGTGTTCCTATGGTCAGTCATTTCTAAAAGCATATCTCCAAGCAATAAAACCAAAGTAGATTCAAGAGTCACGTCTTTGGATTTTTTTTTTTTTTTTTTGCTTTTTCAAGACAGGGTTTCTCTGTGGCTTTGGAGGCTGTCCTGGAACTCGCTCTGTAGACCAGGCTGGCCTCGAACTCACAGAGATCCGCCTGCCTCTGCCTCCCGAGTGCTGGGATTGTCTTTGGAATTTATAACTTTAAAATAATTACATCTGCCTCTTCCACAAAGGCATACTATACTGCTCAGATGGCACATTGTTGACAAGTTCACCAAAGAAAGTGCTGGCATATGTCAGTTTCTGCTTTTTTTCAGTGAAAAAGTTAAGAAAATACTCAACCCTTTAGACTTTTTGACATTGCCCTGAAAGCTTTGAGTCACCTTGTTTGTTTGTTTGTTTGTTTGTTTGTTTGAGACAGGGTTTCTCTGTATTGTTTTTGGAAACTATCCTGGAACTCACTCTGTAGACCAGGCTGGCCTTGAGCTCACAGATATCCAACTATCTCTGCCTCCCAAGTGCTGGGATTAAAGGTGTGTGCCACCAACACACAGCTTTGAGTCACTTTTTATCATGTGTTCAAATAGCACTGCATTTCTTCTCATATTTTTGTTCTAGCAATTGAGAGACAGAGTGCTACAAATTAAGTTTGCTGTTATGGTAACATTTTTCATTTAATAAGCAACTCTTTATCCACACACCATTCACATTCCTATTCCTTTCAAAAGAGTTTGAAGTATCCCATAATATCCTTCCTGGCTAAGGATAACAGCCAACGATTGGGTGAAGAAGGAGTATTACATCAGAAAATTTAAGCTAAAAACTAATCACAGAGATCAAATATAAAGTTGGCATCTGTACTTTCTGGTACAGATTAATGTCTACATAAGACGATTATGATATAGTTTCCTGAGAAAACGAAGGGGAGTTCACGGAATCACTAGGGGAAAAAATCCACCTTTTCCCTCTCTGGACATGAAAAATGGTGTCTTTTTGAGAATGCTGTGTTCTATCAGTTTAACTGGAGAGTGCAGGAACATTGAAAGAGCTGTTGAATTCTGCTGCTTATCTTCAAGACTAGTTTCTGAAACCAAATGGAAGTTCTCTTGTTCATGTCAACCACTAATAAATGAAATTTCAACTTCTCTGGATATTGCAAACATAGATTTAAAAATAACTTCATTCTTCAAAGATTGTGTCCACTGACACAATCTTTAATTTATTCCAGTTCAAATACTTATTGAATAAAGATGATATGCCAGCTTAGAAAGCAGTTATTTTTCCATTAATTCATTAACTTACTTACTGTCTAAGAATCTAAGAACAAAGTGCTATGTGGCACATGTTAGACAAATTGTATCTCTAGCTAGGAAGGGGTTGTGTTTTAATTTAGTAGAACTATGTGAAGTGTAAGTTTGCTTGCTGCTTCTGGAAAATGCCTTTTTGTTGCTTTGCTTGTTTAGTTGAATGGAAAGTTTTCCTAAGAATAGCAAAGTCTAGTAGGTTCATTACAAGCCCAAGGGGAACTAGTTTGGCTTCTTCTGTGACCAGCTATGACACCATGCATTTGTTTGCTCTATGATGTCTTTAAAATATGTAACTACATTTAGCTAATTTCATGACATCAATCTGCTTAGGCCATTTCCACATGGTGGCAAAATGAACAAATCATTAAAACTGCTCAGGTGTTTTAACATTTGTGAGGTTAATTGTTGCAGTAACCAGACTCAGAAGCTGTGTTAGTGGCCTGGATGTTTATTAAGAGATGCCTCTGGGCTCCTAGCCTGGAGAAGGATGGAGAATGAAGCAGGTGTAGACAGAGTTGAGTTGTGGTATGTACCCCAAAACACCCTCAGCTGATACCCCGTGGAACTCCAGAGCTAGACTACTTCTTCAGCATTTTCTTCTTTGAGTAGAGATGGTCACAGTCACATCACTCCCTCTCTGAATAGCCTCCTTCCCAGGAGGAAACATATCCTTGGCACGGCAGCCCTTTGCAGCTGAGGCAGCTCATGAAAAGAGATGACAACTGCTGGGAAAGCTGCCAGCTGCTAGGCAACAAGTCCTGCACTATGGGTACACCATAGTGTCCACCAGTAAACCAATGTTATTGGCTCCTCTGTTTTTAAAGGTTTATTTTTATTATCTTAAATTATGTGCACATGTGTGGATACATGCATGTAGGTGATGCCACCATCAGAGGCAGAGACACTGAGTGTCTTGGAACTGGAGTTACCCATGTTTATGAGTTGGTGCCTGAAGTGGGAGCTGGCAACTGAATTTTGACACTCTGAAAGAGTAGAACCCCATCTTAATGGCTGAGTGTCATTGGTTCCTCGTATCTACATGCACCCTGAAAATGTTAAATGTAGCTTACAAAGACCATAAACTTGACAAAATTTTAAAAATTCAGAAGTATAAAATATTGTTTAATCCTCTATCCTGAGTCCTACAGGATAACTAACAATGGAATTCAGCCTTTGGTAAAACCACTCTGAGTTACTTAAATAAGACTAAAAAGATAATTGTTAAAAATTAAGGCAAAGCATACTTTTATTTGCTAGGTCATTCAAAATAACTTGGTAGACAGATACTCCACAAAGAGACTTAAAAATCTTATTCCCTTGTATTGAACAAAAGTCAACCAACCAACATGCCAGAAGTAGGGAGTATCTCTGTCACTGGTAGTTTGAAGACAGAGCTCGTTTGTAACATAAATCTTTATAAAAACAGTATTTATCACTGTCATTTTAAGTTCGAAAGTTATAAGCCTTATTATTTTCTCCACAATTTCCCACCTATCCCTTGTTTTATCTCAATAGGTTCTTTATTTTATTTTATATGTATGAGTGAGTGTTTTGCACACCTACATGTCTGTGCACCATGTGCTTGCCTGGTGCCATCAGAGGCCAGAGGAAGTAGTTACATCTCCCGGAACTGGTGTTCTAGACACTTGTGAGCCACTATGTGTGTTCCAGAGATCAAACTTCCTTCTTCTGCAAGAAGTACTCTTAACGACCGAGTCATCTCTCCAGCTCCCTTGGTTGCTTTCTGAAAACGGATAAGAGATTCTGTTTTATTTAAAGTCAACTTTCTTAAAATTTTAGCTGTAGTTTTAGAATATCAGTCATAGACAGGGGAACAGGAATGAGGATCTTGTTAGAAGGAGAACTAGGAATGTCTTAAAGTTAGATGAATTACAAAGAACACAAAACTTACATGGATTTTATGTTTATTTAGGGCAGTGGTTCTCAACTTTCCTAATGCTGCATCTCTTTAATACAGTTCCTCATGTTGTGGTATCCCCAACCATAAAATTATTTTCATTGTTACTTCATAACTGCAATTTTGCTACTCTTATAAATCATGATGTAAATATCTGATATTTCTGATGGTCTTGGGTGACTCTTGTAAAAGGGCTTTGGACACACTGAGGGGTCTCAACTTACAGGTTGAGAACCACTGGTTTAGGGTTTCAGAAAATGAATGTAGATGGTAGGGAAGTGGGTAATGCCCACAGATATTGTGTTTATCTCTTTGCAGTTGTGATGTCGGGCATTACCTCTACTCAGGTAATTTTTAAAACATGCTTTTATCTTTGAGAAAGTAATATTTAAACCATGTGTGGTGTCTCTTGCCTATAATCCCAACATTCAGGAAAACTGAAGCAGAGGGATTGTCATGAGTTCTGAGACAGCTTGAACTTTAGAGTGTGAATTTCTCTCTTACGTGCACACACACACACACACACACACACACACACAGGGCCACATATAATGGAGAAGATACTGTAAGTATGTAGGTATGAAAACAAGAGTTGAAACAAAGAATATATTACAGCTGTTAAAAGAATCAGATTTTATTTCAGAAAAAATGGCCCTAGAGAGAGACCTTGAAGCTAGGACTTTAAACAACAGTAACAGCTTATACTCTTTCTATTTACACTATGATCTCCACATGCAAAAATGAAGTGAAAATTAGGTGAAAATCCAGATCAAAGAAGCAGGGAGAACTACCTCCCCAAGAATCAAAGGCCTTTAGTGTTACTCATAGGATTATCACTTTCATGCTTGGCTTTCTATTTCAGTGTGTAGACATGGATTTCTGTGTCCACGAAAAACTCTGCATGTCCCACAGTGGGATAATAATCTCCAGTGTCAATTTTATTCTGATCTATATCTGATACTTTCAAACATCTTTGATGAGTTAAGTGACCTTGAAAATACCTGCCTTTATGATTTCTTGCCCAATGTCACACAAGGACAAAACTAAACTGGGTCTGTTCTGTACCTAGGTGGAGAATTGACTCCCGCAGGAACTCTGAAGAGCCACCACAATGCACCAGTGAATGATGAGTAGCACCTACTGCAGCAATTCTTCAGCTAAGATGAGTGCCAATGAGGTCTCTGCCTTCTCCCTGACTCTGGAGCAAAAGACTGGTTTCGCCTTTGTGGGCATCCTGTGCATTTTCTTGGGACTTCTTATTATCAGATGCTTCAAAATTCTACTAGACCCATATAGTAGCATGCCATCTTCTACATGGGAAGATGAAGTTGAAGAGTTTGATAAAGGGACCTTCGAGTATGCACTTGCCTGATGGTGGTTCCAGCTTCGTGTTTTTTCCAGGTGACACTGAGTGACATGACAGACACATTTGTAATTAGCTTGAGTGTGGTGCTGCTGAGAGGATCATTCCATTCACAAAATTCAATAAATGTCTATGATTGATTTATCCACCATGTAAAATGTTGTGTTCTTCTTGGTCTCCCTCAGTGGAGGTTTCTATGCATAGAGCAGAAATGTGACTTCTGCCACCTTATTCCCTCCAATTTCTGCTCTTGCAGTCTGCTCTTTTCTGTGTGTCAATGAACTAGCTGGGGGCTTTGACAAAGCAAGCCCAGGTATCCTCTCCACATTCCATACCGGAACCACAACATAGATTTAGTGAACCCTGTGTTGTGTGACACTATTTTTAGGGAGACATGAACACATGTCTAGTCACACCAGATAGAGAACAGTGATAGACCGGGGTTACCTACAGGAATTTGGGTAAAAAGTTACAAGAGCTGAAATATCTCAACAACAGATTCATCACCAAAGGTCCTCCCCAGCATGGGTGACAGCTCACACAAGCTGGGAACCTGGAGTTCCAGGCACACAGCTCCACAGGTTGGAGAGTGTCTCTTTAAGGCATCTTGTCAGAGACCGCCTCTCAGCAGTCCTCGTGAGGAAGAGGGAAAGTAGGGGATATGATCAGTTTCGGAGACTTTCTGAAGCCTTTGTGCTGTTTATTCCCTAAATTTAGCAAGCTTCCCTGAAAGATGGAATGGTCCCCTCCCCTTAGAACATTCTGTGTCTTAAGGAACTTCCCTCCAAGACAGAGTCTTATCTCAGAGGAAATTGCTACTTGGGCTCAAAGGTCTTTAGACTCCCCCCCAAAAAAAGAATATTATTTCTTAAACAGGGACGAACCATAGATCAGAAAGTTCACAATGGGACAACTTCAGAAAACTAACACCCAAACCTTCCAACTCAGCTCAGAATTCCCAGCATTCTTTTAGGGTTTAAAGACTCGCCGGTGGTAAAATGCTGTAGTCGAGAGTGTGGGCCAGTCCTGCCTCACATGCACCCTGGCTACATTACCCTACCTCATGGCCAGCACTAAAGAGAGGGCTCCAGAGTCGCCCAGTAGGAGGGACGACTGGACTAGGCAAGAGGTCCAGACAGCCAGCCCTGCCACCACTGGAGCCTTGCTACCCCGAGCTAGTTGTCTAATCTCTGTGGACTTCGGGGGAGGGATAACCAGAGGGCTTTAAACTCCTGTAGTGTAAAAATGCCACACAGGTCCCTGGAAAGTGAGAGAGCCAATGTGAGGTTTGACAATATGCACATTTTCCAGGTCAGGGGTCAGGATTCTGATGTTGGCTCACTCAGCAACTAACTTCATCTAGTTTCATAACCTGGAAAGGAACCTCAGTACAGACATTTTTCCACATCCATGAAAGTAGGATGAGAAGCCTATCTTGTGTCTCTCAGGGATGCTGGCAAGAGGACGGAGATGGAAGGGACAGAAAAGCATTTGGAAAGCCGTAACGTAAAAAATTCCATGCTCTCCATCTGTCTCTACACCTCTCTAACCCAGCACTGTGATACACACGCCTCTGCCACACCTGAGTTTTATATGGGTGCTGGGGATCTGAACTCAGGGTACCCTTGCTTACAAGGCAGGCACTTTTCCCACTGAGCCAGTACCCAGGCCTTTACAATTTTTTACCAAAACTGCCACTCCGGTCTGTGGCATTCCAAAACAGCAGCCACAGAGAGATTCCTGATAGAGACTTACTGTTGTTTGTTTTTTCCCGGTGGATTTATAAAACATCTGTGCCGGCTATAGTTCTTCTGTGTCAAGCCTCCACATCAGGGAGGCTCTTGGCGGTTCAGTTGATATAAGCACACCTTACACTCAATTGGTAATTTGGCCCAAGAATAACCCAGTAAATTGAGCTCAGCTGACTTTGCTAGAAGGCATCTGTGCCTGAATACCAGGAATCAACTCTGTGACATAGACTTCCCAAGTGCTCCCTAAGATTCATGACAAACTTGCAGGGTTTCCATTTGTCCTAGAGACAACATTCACCAAGACTTTTCATTTCACAAGATGAGATTTTTCTTTCAAAAAAAGCAAAAGGAGGAAAAAAGAAGGAAAGGAAGGAAGGAGGTATGGAGGGAGGGAGGGAGGGAGAGAGGGAAGGAAGGGAGGATGGGAAGGAGGGAGGGAGGGAGGGAGGAAGGAAGGGCCAGACACATTTCATAGAGAATGCATCATTTCAGGGCATCAACTCCCAGAACACTACCACCCCAGTCTCACTAAGAAGAAAACACACTGACAGAAAGTGCTTGATCTGTGGCTTTTGTTTTTATCTTATTCGTGTATCTTAGTCTTTTGTGAAGATGGGTATAGAAGAGTGGTCATCATTTTCTGAGTAAGGAGTGATAACTATAAAAGGCTGGTTAGAGTAATATGAAAACTTCAAGAAACGCTAATGTGTCTACAAATAGATGGCCAATATCATACTCAGATCAGCCTCTAATGCTACATCCAAGATCCTGTTAGGGAGAATGGAAAGAAAGGTGGCATCTCCACTCCAGACAGCGTTTTCTGGTCCCTGACCACCTCCCTCAAAAGCTTAAATTAAGCTCGCCATCCTAGGTTGATGGTGTCACTTCATCAATATCCCCCAGACATCTCCCAGTCACTCTAGAAGGTCTCAGTCCCCTTACTAAGGGACAAAGGCCATCATTTTCCAGTTAGAGATAACAGCCTCGAATGAAAATGTCTGCTTGATGGAAGACTGAGACCGAAACGAATTCATACACACTGAAGTCAGACAAGCATGTGGCAAGAAAGGGGACTGGCTTTGGAGGCACTAGGCCTCTGTCAGAAGAGAAACACCGAAGAATGAATAATAAGGTAGTTCTGAAGACAAGTCGGGGCTGGATGATGTCAATCATCCTTGTATAGGGAGCGGAACTTGTTTGGGGTCCCAGCATCATCTTAGCAGTCCAATGATTCGTTAGGTCAGTAGCCCAGTGCACATTCCACCTGACTCACTTCCATGGCATTCACCTGGTTAAGAGCATTGAAGAGCTTTTCCTGTGGCATCTGCGAGTTCCTTTGTACAATCTTGTGTCTGGTTATCAATTTACCTTTCCCTCCATTTTAATAGGTATAATTCCTATCCCTGTCTTTAATGACTGGCCTCAGACTCATGGGTGTGAGTAAAAAATAAAAGTCACAAACCGATAATAAATACTGATAAAATAGTACAAGCAAGAACTATGTACAAACTGGTACTACTTAAACATAAACACGAATTAGTTTATTTAATCCTCACAATAACTCAGGAAGTTACATGCCATTATTGTCTGTATCCACGCTTGCATATGAGAACATTAAAGCACACACAGGGAACTAGTCTCCTGAATTGCCCCAGACAGGAAGTGGCAGGACCAGAACTGAAATCGAGCATTCTTTACTCACAGCTCCCACTTAGCCACTACATCAAACCACAGCTGAGCCACCCAGGCAACTGGAAATCATTTGGATAGCTTCTTATTCAATACAGAAAGGACTCATTCAATCATCCTGATTGAAAACCAATGACGAAACCTGCGTGGAGGAATTGCATGTGCTGTCTTAGTCACCAACTCACAGCAGAAACTTCTGAGGAAACTCAAAAACTAGATGTGATAAAAACTGATCCTCCAAGCAGAGACAGATGAACCACATAGAAACAACACTGGGAAGTGCATCCAGCTCCTGGGAAGTGTATCCAGCCCCTGGGAAGTATATCCAGCCCCTGGGAAGTATATCCAGCCCCTAGGAAGTATACCCAGCCCCTGGAAAGTGTACCCATCCCCTGGAAATTGTACCCAGTTTGACTTGAGCAGCTTAAACTAGGCAGAAATTTTTTCAATAACTCACTGATGCTATTCCCAATCTGCTCACTTCCTATGCAGAGAAGAGGCAAGGTGAGTAAGCTAAAATGATTTAGATAACATTTCCTAGCTACAAAATATTGAAACTATCTCTTGAGGATAATATTTTGGTCCCTGTGCTGAGCAAGGTCACTGAGTCTCATCAAAAATAAGACGATGAGCTCGGCCTGGCGGCAAAGGCCTACTTCTAGCTACTTTGGAGGCTGAGGCAGGAGGATGGCAAGCTCAAGGCTGCCTAGAGTACAAAGCAAACACAGGGCTGGCATACACAATTAGCAAGATGCTGGCTCCAAATAAAAATGTTTGGAAATGGTGTGGGAGAGCTCAGTGGCAGAGTACTTACTTAGCATGTGTGAAGCCCTGTGTTTAATTCTTATTGCAAGAGAGACGGAGACAGAGGCAGAGGCAGAGGCAGAGGCAGAGGCAGAGAGAGAAGGCAGACAGTAGAACTAAATTTATCTAGTCCCAAACAACTGAAGCAATATTTTTTAAGGATTTGCTGTTGAGCAATCTGTGAATTAAAGAAGCTTTATTTTGTTTACTGTCTAAGAGGATTAATGATTTACTACTGGTTACTAGTTGATGTGGTACTTACAGCTCCCCAGGGCTAATGACTGGCAGGGCTTCTCCCACTATTCCAGGCCAATGACTGAAAAGTCATCTCTTTCAAGAAGTTTCTAACCAATGAGAAGAAGCCTAAGGTTGTGGGCTGAAGCTAAGGTTCCATATATGCTTGTGCCATGCTAGAGTGGGCTCCACTCCCCAGAAGACAGCTGCTGGATGGCAAGGTAAGAGTCTGGGCGGGGCAAGATCGTCACTTCATACCGTGTCAAAAAGCAGGCCCTGAGGGCTGAACTGAGATGTCAGGGACTGTGATGTGTTAAATGTTCAAAAAGGCTAAGAGATATGGGCTTCACTGGTAATTTCACCAGGAAAGTTTAAGAGTTTAAGTTATGTGTGCTTGTTTCTTTCTTAATTCAAAGAAATGTCTTAAAATCATGGCACAAGAGTTAAGTTTTTGTTCTCATTTTTCTGGCTTTCTTTGAAAAAAATAAAAATTTAAGGTATCTACAAAGAACTATCACTCCAAAGACAGAATTTAAGATTGGCACTGTAGAGTTGTGAAAATGATCATGTGGTCTATTGAACTCACAAATTATTTCATTAAAAGGAATGAGTAGAGTATAAGCCTTTACTGAGAACTATAACTTATTTTCATATCCCAAACACTCATTTTTAAGGTTTCCATAACAGCATTTATGAAAAAGCACAAATATATGAGCAAATGAAATGTTTCAAAAGCTACTAAAAATTCTAAAATCTCACAGACAATAATCTTGACAGACTTGCTTTTTTTTTAATTTTCACTTGTTTCACATGTGAAGGTTTTTCTGAAACAAATTTATTATTGATGATGTGTGGACTTTTGTTAACTAGCAAAATACATTTTTCAAAGACTTCGGGTTTCCTGTTTTATGTATCAAACAATGTATAATGCTGTCAACATAAAATCCTTTGTAATCTTGCCATTTAGAAGGTCCATGATCTCTCCTATTGTCCTCAGTTGCTAATATGCTTTCTAAAAGTCCCAGTGACTTCCAAGCAAACACGACAAACTGTCACACGTTAGTGACTGGATTAGAATTTCTGTTTGCAGAAACCAGTCCCTGGTTATCTGTTAGGAGTATATTCCTCAGGTAGCAAAGATTCCTGGACAGGTAATTTTTAGTGAATCAAATTTAAAATTGTACATCTTATGAAAATAAGCATACCTTAAACCACAGCCCTTCTTAAACATGTTTGTATGTATTGCCTGGAACAAATTTAATTTTCTTTTTTAGTAACAGCTTTGAAGACCATTCTGAAGATTAAATGGGAGACAATACATTGATATAGCAGGAAACTAACAATTGTTGAGTCATCTAGAACCAAAGCCAAGCACTCCATAGTGTAACCACATTATTGTCTATTTTGAAGCAGAAATACATAGATTTAAAAAAAAACCCATAAAGTAGGTAGCTCCAAACTAGATTCTAGAAGATGTCAGTGAACACCCCTTCCAACTCAGTGCCCAGTATTACCAGTCGTTTTCAAGTCCATGTCATAAACGAGGGCCATGGCAGTGGTGCAGCCATGAGTGACAGCACAGACCCTCCACATTATGAAGAGACCTCTTTTGGAGATGAAGCCCAAAACAGACTGAGAATCAGCTTTAGGCCTGGCAACCAGGAGTGCTATGACAGCTTCCTCCAAAATGGAGATGCTGCCAAATCAGACACCACATTTCATGTCTACGACTCTCACACAAACACGTACTACCTACAAACCTTTGGCCACAACACCATGGATGCTGTCCCCAAGATTGAGTACTACCGCAACACAGGCAGTGTGAGTGGGCCCAAGGTCAACCGGCCCAGCCTGCTGGAGATCCACGAGCAGCTGGCCAAGGTAAGTGTCCTTCCTCGCCATTCCCTCAGGGTAATAACACTCCACATGCAGTGGTCAATGAGGAGGGCTGGTCCATGCCATCCATCTTCCTTATACAGCTATCTCTCTAGTTTCCCAAAACAGAAAACATCCTGGTGCTTCACAAAGGCTTACTGACTTGGAAGAGAAGTGCAGACTGAACTCAGAAAGCGAGGCAATATATCTTGCGGTGTTTGCAGTAGGGTTACTCAAGTCCCACACGGCTGAACGTGACACACTGAGTCCTAAGCCGTTTCCACATTAGTGTCACCTTAGTTCAAACAGCTCCACAGTCATTCTTAAGCAAGCCATGTGCTTTTGTTGCTCATATTGTGGGAGCCAGTGATGGTGTGTCCTCAAGACACAGCTACCCTGGTAGCTAAGGCTGAGTGACAACTACTTTTTATATTCTTTAAAGAAAGAACAGAAATGCCCAAGATTCAGCCTTTGGGCTCCTTCTTTTTATACCTTTTCCTGAGGCCTCTCTACTAAATTTAAGCTCGGAATCACAGTGGTCAGACTTTGTATTTAGAGAATGCACAAGGGTTTCAGAGTCTCTGGAAGACTTAAGTCTTGTACTCACCATTTAGAAGCTTAGATTTCTTCTGTGACTTCCTATGAGATTTGTTGACAGACTATCCTCCTGCCTTTCTGTCAGTTTGTAATGAAGGTCACTTTTTTTGCACGTCTCTATGTGTGGCACTGTGCATGTGAGCCTATTTACATGTGTTTGCACACATGTATGCAGGTATATGTGGAAGTCTGAGGTTGATGTTGGGTGTGCTGCTCGATATCTCCAGCTTATATAGTAAGGAAGGGTCTCTTTCTTGAACCCAGAGCTTTGTGATTCAGGTAGTCTAGCTAGCTTCCTCTGGAGATCTCTAAGTTTGAGGCTAGGCTGGTCTACAGAGTGAGTTTCTGAGTAACCAGGGCTACACAGAAAAACTTTGTCTTGGAAAGAAAGAAGGAAAGAGAGAGACAGAGAGAGGCAGAGAGAGAGAGAGAGAAGGAAAGAAGGAAGGAAGAAGGAAGGAAAAAGAAAGAAGGAAAGACAGGAAGGAAAGAAAGAAAGAAGGAAGGACAGAAAAAAGAAAGAAAGTAAGAAAGAAAGAAGTTATATTCTCCTATCATCCCCAACCCCCACTCAGGACGAGTTCTCTCAGGAATGATTCTGGAAAAGGCACTGGTTCTCCTTTTGTTTTTTTCTCACCTTCTTCCCAGAGGAAAAACAAATCTCGAAAATTTACTCCCTGAGCAGCATGAGGCCCAACTCCCTACTAGGACTTCCAGAAGAAGACCCCATGCTCATAGGCTGCTCTCTTACACCCCCACCCACAAACCTCCTCCTCTGTCCTCTGCACTGTATCTGTGGCAATATGCTAACTTTAGCCTTTATCTGAAATATCTGGTGCCTTAATAAAAAGAATAGAATTATGACTATTCAGAAACAGTATCAGCTTCCATGGAGATGTTTTGGGGGGGGTAACTTGAAATTTCAGACAAGTTGCTGTCAGTTTCTTTCTCTAAGTGATGGGAGAAAGAAAGGAGGTTGACAGGGGATGGGAGAGGGGGAAATATAAGAAACAGAGACCAACAGGTGGACACAGTCGTGAGGAGTGTAAAGAGAAGTTACACAATGCAAGGAGCTTCTGAAGTAAAAAGAACCAAAAGCATCCAGAAAAAGACACGAAATCCTACCCCCTACAGATAACTCGTAACGCTGCCCCCTTCATTATTAAAATTTAAACCCTCATCCATTCACACAATTTACAACAACAAAATAATACCTTAGGCCTCATTAAGAAGAAACTGTAAGCAGGGCCTGGTAGGTAGTTTAAGCTAGTAATCCTGGCCTATGCCTGGAACCTGATTTCCAAGTCGGAAAATGATAGGACAAGGGTTGTCCTAATAGGTAAAATGCAGATAGAGAACTAAGAGATCAGGGCCTGCCTGGGTTGCGGAATGAGATTAAAATCAGCTAGGGCAACTTTGCAAGACCCTGTCTCAGAATTAAAGTTCGAATTTAAAACAAGACAAAGCCAACAAATGCTAAGGTTTAGTGATGATGCACTTGCCCAGGATGTACAAACCTATCAGTGCAGTCTGCTGCACCTTAAGGAAAAGGGCTGTGGTGGAGCAGGAGGGATGTGGCTCCCAGCACCAACATTCTAAAGAGAAAGGGAGCATATGTGTAAGTTCTGAAGGCCTGCCTTGTGAAGGTCTTTAAGTTAGGGGAATGAACTCAGAAGCAGTGGTTTTTCAGTACACCTGCTCAATGGCTGCACAGTTAGAATGCCAGAGCTGCCTTTGACACAGCAGTTTGGAAGCTGTTTGCTATGGCTTATCATTTTTGAACAGATGGAATAAGTCTAAGGCCTTTACATTGTTCTGTGCTCTGCTCTCTTCCCTACACAGTCGACCTTGGAGAGCTCTCCACATCAAGGAATGCATCTGAGGAGATTTTACTTCATAAAAAGCATTCTCCTTTCAGTTCCCCTTAGAAGGCATGCGATTAAAGCTGAATTCATTGCCAAATATCAGAAAAGGAAAGACTTGTACTAAATGGTCTTCCTTTCTCTTTAAATGCACTTTATTGTCTCCTCACTGAATCTGCAGTACTCAAGTAGAAGTCTTGGTGAATGGATGATCATTTAATAGAGTTAAAAATGCATCTATGAAAGGTCACCATTTATGGAAACAGAGTGTAAAGGAGCAAATTATTTTGAATTGTGAAAGAAAGAAAAAACAGCAATAGGAAAGATGTACTCACAAAACTTTGTGTCTTTGAGACATTGGCAGCATCCAGATGTCTGTGAACCCCTGGGTAGAGCTTAGCAGCCTTGAGATGCCCACAAACTTCCACATGCTATGTTCAGTGTTCAGATGAGACATTGAATTTGCTGTTCTTCCAGTAGACAAAGGAAGTATTTATCCAAGAGTGACTTCCTTTACCACATAAAAGGTGATTTCTGCTTTTCACTACTTCGAAGTAATATTTTTAAAAAAATCTTGAATGTGTTCTCATTTTTGCTTCCTAAGAAAGCAAAAATAGTTTGCTGGAGGACATGCCCTGGATTAATTTCATGACAAATTTAGATTTATGTGTAGTTTATAAGGTACAGAGTCTTTTTGCTCCTTTATATTATTGCGAGCCACGAAGATGGCATCAGTTCTTGTAAATTTACTATTAAACATTAGTCACAAAAGAAAATATACATTCAAGGTCACTGGCCCCCAGCCCTAGCCATAAATATACTTAAAACTTTAAAACACTAGCAAATTCCATTTATCTATGAAAAGAGAGTTGCTGGCCCTACATAGACTCGACTTTTGACAGTTTAGAAAGTTATTGTTGTACTAAGTTCCATGTATAGTGGTTTTTCTATCTTGTATGCAGAGTGTCCTAAAGTCCAAGTGATGGACTGAAGAATCATGAAACCGTGATCAGGAATGGTATCCATCAGGGAAAAAACAACTTCATTTAATGGAAATTTTTAAATATGCAGTATTTTATCCTACTTTATTGTGGGTTGGGGGCGTGTTTGGTTTGTTGTTTGCAGCTATGATTGCTCTCATTCTCCAAATCTAAGGGCCAGAGTCATCTCTGGAGTTCATCAGAGAACACAGCAATCTCCTACGTTTTCCTCATCGGGTTTTACCAGAAAGCATAGGTTTTATTCCCAAAACCACATCTAAAAATGCAAGTGACTAAGGCTTTCTCACATGATCCCCAGCCACGGGAATAATGACTAGCTAGCATACTGGTAATGGTAGAGTTGGCTTCTCTAACTAAGTTGAAGAGATGAATTCTCCAAGCAAACAATCCCTTCAACATTCATATTAGCACACGTGTAACATCCATGCTTGTGAAGACTATGTTAGCCATGGGAAGTAAAAACTGTGGCTGTGACTGTGAGCTGGCCCCAGGTGGAAAGCACTCGCAGTGTTCCTTAGCCTGGATGTGCAGGCCTGTGTCCCATAGGTGGAGGGGGAGACAGGAGACTGCCTCTCCAGGGGCTCTGAGACCAGTCAGCCTGGCTACACATCAGCAAACAACCAAGAAACCCTGTTTCAATCAAGATAGAAGGCAAGGACCAACACCCATGAAGGTCATCCTCTGACTTTCACACACATGCATTAGCACATTCATGTCTTCACTCACACACATAAACACACACACCTGTGCACACACACTGTATACAACACAAACGCATGCATCGTATGTACTCATTCACACACGTCAGAAACACAAACGCATTGCACACAGCACATACAAATGACAGTAAAAGCTACGGGTGACTGTTAGCTGCTTTATGTGTCTAGAATTTGTTAAAGGAAAAACGCTTTTTACTTGGTGTGTGGAAAGCACCTAAGGCTTTCTTCAGAAATTTACTGCACTATATGGGCCTGTGTTGAGCTGACCCATACATGACCCAGGGTCACTGAGCACTGGAAATGAGGCTAGGCCAAGCCACAATGTGCTGCTAATGGAAAATACACCCTGGATTTTAAAAACTTAGTATGAAAAATGCTTATATAAAGCCTGTCTGATACTTTATACTGACTACAGGTTTAAATGATGATATTTTGCACGAACCCAACTAAGTAAAGCACAGACTAAAACTTGTGATTCCAGCCCCTTCTACAAAGCGAAGGACTATGACTGCTAACACACATTTATAGTACAAATATATGTAATACAATCTCCTATAAGAATTCTAAAATTTGATTATATCTAAACCTAAACAATTTCATCTAAAGATTTCTGTCTTTCATAGTAGCTGACTTTTCTCTTTCCTAAAGGATGAGAGCAGATCTTGGTAGCAAAGCATGTGCTTAGTAGGAGCTAGGCCAGTGGGTCTCAGTCTGTGGGTGGCAGCCCCTTTGGGCGTGAATGACCTCTTTACAGGAGTCACCTAAGGCCATTGGGAAACACAGATATTTATTTACATTGCAATTCATAACGGTAGTGTGATTATAGTTAGGAAGTAGCAATAGAAATGATTTTATGGTTGAGGTCACCACGACACGAACTATATTAAAGAGTTGTAGCATTAGACCCTGGCTTAAATCCTCAGCATGAACAGTAAGTTTAAAATAAATCAAAAATAGTTATTAGAAATTCTTTAATTGCATGATTGACTTGTGTTCAAAGCTCAGGTAGATGATCCAGTTCAGCTCAGCCAGATCAGCCCCAGCATCTTTGGATTTGGTTTATCATTATTATTTTTTTGGGGGGGGGGTTCAAGACAGGGTTTTTTGGTATTGATTTGGAGGCTGTCCTGGAACTCACTCTGTAGACCAAAGTGGCCTTGAACTCAGAGATCTGCCTGCCTCTGCCTCCCAAGAGCTGAGATTAAAGGTGTGCACCACCAACGCCCGGCACTGTTTATCTTTATTTTGGCATGAGTATGCAAAATCAACTTTCAGTTATCTGTGCAAGTGGAGACTGAGGATTAAGATTAAGATACTCCCCTGGTAACACTAAATTGTAACTATAATTGTCAACTTCCTTTGTTGCTCTCAGTTTCTCCCCATTGCTGTCATAGAATAGTAAGAGGTCCCAGCAACAGCCTGAGACTGTACCAGTGCTGGAATGATGACCTTGTGTTGGAGGGCCCTGGATTCAGACCTCAGCACAACAAAAAGGGGAGGAAAAAAATGATGTGGCTTGAGATTCATTCTCTTCCTCTCCCTTTTAAAATGTGTCCTGCTTAAAGGGAGCAATGAAAATGGATAAGAAACAAAGACTAAAGACTAAATAAAATACTTGAAATTACTCAGGTATATGCAGAAGAAAAATTAGAGACTGAGAGCTATTCTTAACTTGAAATAAATATATTTTCTCCACATTGTATTAATGGGCTATCATACAAAAAATCTTACAAAAGAAAGTTTGTGAAAACTGGTCACAGAGATAAAATTATATACTAATTTAAAAAATTATTCATGTATAATTCTTTTAGTTTCTACTGAGTAAATCTTACTGGCCGTCAGTCATGAGACCTCTTACCTTCTCCACAATGCAAGCACATTCTAAAATTTTCAAGCAAGAAGATATGAATCCATAAGAAACTTGTTTTTGCTTTTGGAGCTCAAAGAGCCCGGCAGAAGACAGGGAGGAAGGACTATAGGAATCAGAGGAGTCAAGGCATCAAGAGACAATGCCTACAGAATCAATTAACAGGATTCAGAGAGCTCACAGAGACAGAAGTGATAATCATGGAGTCTGCATGGGTATACATACATATACATATGGCTGTTTGGCTTGGTGTTTTTGTGGGACTCATAACAGTGTGAGCAGGTGTATGTCTGTAAGAGACAATAACAGGATTATTTGCTGAAGTTATTTGAATACTTTTTCTTCTAGAGTTTTATGACCACTGTTTTGATTTGGCTTGGAAAGTCTTAAGAAATTGTTTGATCCACCAGTGTTTGTTCCTTTGTTTGCTTGTTTTTCCCTCTGTAAAAACGTAGAATGTGACGGTGGCCCCTGGTTCAGCTGACAGGGTTGCTAATGGCGATGGGATGCCCGGAGATGAACAAGCAGAAAATAAGGAAGAAGACACGTCCGGGGTTGTGAAGTTTGGATGGGTGAAAGGTGTGCTGGTAAGAAACCTTCTATGTGTACAAAGGAGCACCATGTGCTGGGTGATCCCACAGGATTCACCAGCCAGCCCTGGACACCAGACTTACAAAGGGGGTTGGTAGGCTCGACCCAGGACCCCTTTCCATCCTCACTTTCATCCACAGGTAAGATGCATGTTGAACATCTGGGGAGTCATGCTCTTCATTCGCCTCTCCTGGATTGTTGGAGAAGCCGGAATTGGTGAGCAATTTCCCCTTCTAAATGGGTTTTATGTAAATTTCAAGCTTAATAACAAACTGGGTTCCCTATCAATGCTGCAGAAGATGAAGGTCACAGAGGACATTTACACTTGAGAACATTATTTTTTTTACCTCTCACGATGCCAGGGAGGAGAGGTGAGGCAGTAGCTCCTGTGAGACTGGAATTTTCCAGTTTGCCCAACAGGGGAAGGAATGGTCTCATGAATATTTCTACCTTTCTATGGAGTTTCAAGCATATGGGTGCATAAAGCATATTTATTTCAAATAACTATGGTCACACTTTGGAGTATATTGACATTCACATTTTATTAGCCTCAAACTCTTCCACTTAGGCAAAACTTCACTTGGCAAAAACAGCAGGTGGTAAAGTGTAAAGTGGTAAAAAAATGTATATACAACTATATATGTGATCTGACTAATAAAAATGCTCCATTGCTGAGCATTTTCCAAAGAAACTAACTATGTTGTTGTCAGATATCAGCAGTAAATAACAAATGTTCATAAAATATTCCCAACTATAAGCTTAAATAACTCCAATCATTGCAAATGATTACTTACAATGTAGGTAACCAGTGTTTTGTTTTTTTTTTTAAGAGTGATGATTTAAAGCTCTTCAATTACATTCCACTTAAAAACTCAGTTTTGCAAAGTGTTTTTATTAAGGAGGAATTTGATCCCATTATAGATGGTAGGGAGCCACCTTGTGGTTTCTGGGAATTGAACTCTGGACCTCTGGAAGAGCAATCAGTACTCTTAACCTGAGTCACCTCTCTGTGAGTTCAAGGTCAGCCTGGTCTACTTACTTAGTTTCAGGACAGCTACCAAAGCTACAGAGAAAACCTGTCTCTAAAACCAAAAAAAAAAAAAAAAAAAAAAAGAGAGAGTAAGTTATTTGAAACACTTATTTGAGTTTTACCTAAGTTCTCAACTTACTGTGATAAAAATCAACAGTGTTCTGTTCTGTTCTATATGCTGGAAAAAAATGGATTGCATGTTGAGGGGAGACTTAGAAGTGAGTATTGGTATGGAGAACACAGGAGTTCAACTGTGCCTTCTTGTGCTGCTCAGGAAGACATCTCAATTTGTGTAAGGAAAGTACCTGGTGTTATCAACCTCCTGCAACAGGCCTTAGAACAAGCAGTCGGCAATGGGAGAAGACGGCTCCCCTCCAACAGGGAGCTCTGAGCCAGCCCCATCGTTTTTTTCCCATGTTTCTTGTTCAGCAGCTGCTATGTGCCTGACAAAAAAAAAAAAGGCTGCTTGCCGGTTTGATGATGCGTAGCAAATGAATGCCTACAGCCGCGGGGTCCAAAATAAGTAGATGCTGTTCCATGGAAAATCTGCAGCTTAATATTGCCAAGGCTTTGCTCCAGGGCTTCATGCAAAATTAGGTTTTTAAGGGCAGTTTAGTAACTTATTGAGATCATCAAGACACAGTTCTTTGTGTGGAGGTGTGAGCACAGACAGCCAAAGGCAAGAGTAATTCTTCCTAATGTATGTATTTAACACCCATATGTTTGGGCGACAATCTGCACTTTAATCAGATCTTACACAACTCTTCACAGTCAACCCAGTTTCACGTTTATTACAAAGGTATAAAGGATCCTCTCTGCTAAACAGTTTGCTTCACTTTCAGACATTAGTGTGTCTCAACAAAATCATTTCATTTGTGTAGTGGAATCACGCCTAGAAGTCAGTAGCGATCACTCTAATCTAACAGTGAGCCTTGAGTTTTCTGTTGATTGGAGTTGGTGGTGGTGCTTTTTCTCACGCTCTTTTAAGTTTCAAAGTATAGAATTTGTGAGTAGTAGAAACATCTTACAGACCTACATTATTATAGACCTAAAGCCAATGGGACCAAATGGTTCCATACAGGGTCTTGTGTATTGCTAGTTTTCTCACCCATTTTTGCTGACTTCCCCACTCAGTGTTGCAGACATTCCTCTCTAGGGTCTAGGTTGAATTCAGGTCCTGGATCATTTTTTCCAGATCTTTGGACATCTTCATCTGGCACTTGCCCAACATCAGCATCTTTGAGTTTCGGGCTGTTGGTTTGGATAACTCTTCTGTAGAGGGGTCTTCTTATTGAGCTTCCTATTACTCTCTCTCTCTCTCTCTCTCTCTCTGTCTCTCTCTGTCTCTCTCTCTCTCTGTCTCTCTCTCTCTCTCTCTTTCTCTCTGTCTCTCTCTGTCTCTCTCTCTGTCTCTCTCTCTCTCTTTCTCTCTGTCTCTCTCTGTCTCTCTCTCTGTCTCTCTCTGTCTCTGTCTCTCTCTCTCTCTCTCTCTCTCTCTCTCTCTCTCTCTCTCACACACACACACACACACACACACACCAGGGAACTGTCTAGAGGATCTAGAGGATACTGTGTTTGGCGTACTTCTCCCTATATGGGAGAAGAAAAGACACAAATACAAGTATTTTCCTCTTGTTTTAGGCATATCTTATATGTTTTGAAGCCCACACTCTGGGAATAAGCCAGGAGAAATCTGTTAACAGTAGTTACAGCCCATAGGCGACAGTTCTGGGGCTCTGAGTCTGGGCTGCCCCATTCATAAAATCATGTGATAGACTAAATTGATATTGCTGTCCACTGGTTCCACTTTTTGCATACTTTGCTGGGGCAGTATCATTTCAAATAAACTCAACCTTTGGCAGGAAAGTTGGGTGTAAAAATTCGATGTGACCTGAAGCAAGTCACTTACACTCCGAGTTTCATTTTGCAGCTAAAACATAGGAAAATGAGTTAATTCTCCCCCAATCAATTATTTGAAGATAGAGCTAAAAATGGGCAGATACAAGTGGAGATGGGCTGAGGCTAAACTACTCATCTCGCTATAGTATGAGCAAGAATTATCTTAAGTGAAATTGAAGATTGCAGAAGCCTAGGATTCACTTTCAAAGTTCTAAACCTAGCAAGTGGGGGCATTTTTGTAGACATCCCCAGAACTTCCTGAAGCAGGTCATGCAAAAACCATGAACCAAATGCTCTCCCTCACAGCTGCCCTTCACCCTGGGACTTTTTGTTTGTGAGAAAGAAGCAAGTTTCTCACTGTTTTAAAGGAGAAACTGGTGTTCAAACATGTTCCAGACATGTATGCAGCATGATAGAGTGAGTGAAGAGGGAATTGCTCAGGAGACAACGATCAGGAAATAATGAAGTTAGAGCGGGAGTAACGTCACGAAATGCAAACTTGTGAGCCTGTTATCTGTCTAGGGTGAGCTAAACATTTACTCTCAAACATTCTAAAAGCAAAATAATATGTAGAGGCTGGGAATAAACCACCTTTCATGGCACCAGCACCCAAGGCCACACAGGAGAAGTGATGCTCCTCAAGGTGTCTCTGTAACACAAAACATGTAGTGTGACAGCTTCCTACGGCTTTCTCTATAAGAGTCTGTGACAGGGGTGGTAAAGTAGGAATGACTACTTATGTATGGGATAATACTCAAGGGCATGCAGCAGAGCAAAACACTCTAGGTGGAGTCACTGACCTCCCCAGATCTTCTCCCTGAATTCTGTATCAGCTTCTGCAGAGAAGGTGTTTTGGGGAGGATAAGTTTCCTTCTGTCCACCTTAGATTTGTAGACTGTGGCCTCATGCTTCAGATTGTCAGATATCAGGTTAACAAAAGAGCATATTTATTAATGTATTGTGCACTCACATGGCAGGTGTTGATTCAGAAGGGTGGTTAGAACACTTGCATGTCATCTTAACAAAGAACAAGGAAACTGCAGGGAAGACATTAGACAAAGAGAAGGGAGTTTGAGTTCCTAGGGTGGCCAGTTGTGGGAAGGAAAACAAATGGAGAAATTTGCTAGGAGAAAAGAACTGGCCGGGAAGGCTTGCAGGATTCCTGTGGAAACTTCTTCAGGCTAAGGGTCTGCACTTGTGTCTGTAGGTAAGCACCGGTCCTTTCAGATAATGGGAGCATGGGCACATTCACACGTGTGTCCCTGACTTGGACAAATAGGAAATAGGAGAGCTGAGAGCTTTCCTTGTGCCTGCTTAGTTTATGTTCACTTGTGTAACTTAAAAAAAAATACCTTATACCACAGTGATACATTCCAGTACATTCTATGCCTGCCTAAATCTCTCTCTCTCTCTCTCTCTCTCTCTCTCTCTCTCTCTCTCTCTCTCTCTCTCTCTCTCTCTCTCTCTCACACACACACACACACACACATACACATACCTGCTGTGAGTTTCTTGAAACTACAGTGTCTAAGCCTTTCCTTTGAATTTTGGCCTTTATCAGTTTCTCCTCATGATCGTTGCCCTTCTGAACCATACTATCCTCAAAGGTGGCTTTTTATTCTGTCGTACTTGCAGCTTGCATTTCTCGCACTGCCAACCACATGTTTAGATATGCAGAAGACTTTCCATAAACACTAGTATTTATGGGTGCTGTGGGTACCCTTATAGAGTACCACCAGTGAGTACTGTGCATCATGACAGCAACTTCACACATGTACTCTTTGTAATTTAACTGCCATTTGGGGGTCAGAAAATAAGTAAATTCTGAGGACACACAGCAAATGAGTTAATGTACCTAAATTTGCTTCTGTCCGATTTACCCATCTACCTAATGAACAATTTGCTAATGAAGACATTTACCTGGAAGGTTAGAACAACCTTCATTTATACTAACAGCTGGAGGCTGTGGGGACCTTCACCGAACACCAGGTTCATCCTCCATTTTGACCAATCTGAATTGTTCACTTGGGGGCAGCGAGCTGTGCACATCCCAGATCTTGACTCTCTTAGTACCTGAATGGCGATTTCATGGCCAGCTTGTTAAATTCAAATGTGGTCCTTCAATGACTACCAAGATGTGTTTGCTTTTATGTAAGTGACCCAATGAGCTGTTCCACCATTTAATCGCACTTATTTCTCCTCTCTCAACTGAGGTCTCGGTGTGATTATCATCGGCTTAGCCGTGACAGTGACAGCCATCACTGGTTTATCCACCTCTGCTATCGCCACAAATGGATATGTCAGAGGAGGTAATTAAGGTTGTGAGTCTGATCATCATGTGTAAGGTAAAGGCAATGCAGGCTCCAGTAGCTCACTGCTGACCTTTCTGGGCTGTTTTCAAAGGTAATGCAAGTCAGTGCCTTTTGTCCCCCAGGCAAAGGGGTGCACGAGAAATGAAGAAGGCTTTAACCTTTGTCAAACCCCCAACTTTCTCATTCAGGTTCCTCTCAAGCAGGAGAGAAGGTCAAATGTCATGTTTCCTCTTTCACAGCCAGGATAGTTTCTCTCCCAGGACACCAACAGAAGTCAGCTTTTCCTTTCCAGGGTTGCACTTTAGACTGTTGACTCTTGGATGCCATCCTTCATCATAATGAGTGCTTCTTGGACTTGATCTTTATGCCAGGCATACCAGCTCCACATTTGTACAAAGAAACCCCACTGGGGCCCAAGACATGGACCTGAAAAGTTAAATTAAAAGGCAACAGAGGTTGCAGGAGTAGGGACTCCAAGGAGATGAGTAAAATGTGATGACTTCTGTCTTTCGTTGCTAACAGGTCTCGGAGTTCTTATAATTCTTCTTTCCACCATGGTCACCTCTATCACTGGGTTGTCAACTTCTGCAATAGCAACAAACGGGTTTGTTCGTGGAGGTAAAATCCCTAAGATATCTAATGTCCTCATCACACGTTAAGGGTAGGCACAAGTTTCTATGTACTTTGTTACTGTTGGGCACGAGGAAGTGCGGAGGAGGAACCAAGAGCAGAGAGAGCAGCACGGTGAGTGAAGTCCAAGTCCACCCAGGGCGCAGCTAACAGAATCCCAGCACGTTGCAGGTCCTGCTCCAGATGCGCGCAGCCCTTGGGGAAAGTTCTTATTTTCCAGGTCAGTCTGTACTCCTCTTGCGGGTGTTTCTCAGGAAATGACTCATCAGAATGGCCACCGTTTAAAAGTACAGTGCGTTTCAGGTGCCTCCCACGCAGTCACGGAATGGGACCGATTAGAGCATTTCAGGTTTCTGCAGGGCGACTGACCTCCTGTGGTCGCTGCTTCCTGAAGTAATGGCGATCTCTACCTACTGGAGTCAAACACCTTTGTTGGGGGTTTTGCAGGTCTGGGAGTCATCATCATCGGCCTGAGCGTAGTAGTGACGACACTCACAGGTATTTCTATGTCTGCCATTTGCACAAATGGAGTAGTTCGAGGAGGTAAGCCAACTGACTTACTTGTGATTACAAACAATGGTTACATATCCTGTCTAGAGATGCTTAATAACTGAGTGTGAAGATTTTATGTTGCTAACTTGCCCCCAAGACTTGAAACAAAGCAAAATTCAAATAACAAGGTAAAATTATTCTCAGTTGAAAAAGACGAGATCTGGAGGAAAGTCTCCTGTGGTGAATCCCACCAGGTGAGCTATACTGGCTTCCTCCGGTGGTCCCCTCAGCCTGGTACTCCCCAACAACTCCCTCCTCTAGGTAGTGATTCCCACACAGCCTATATTCCTGCACCTAGCCTTCAGGTTCTCCCCAAACACTCTGCTTCTATTGGAAAACATAATAGAAAAATTAAAAAGTTACTAAGTGAAGCAATGAGTCACTGTCAAGTTTTCAGGACCAGGCGGGGGAGGGGGGGAGGGGGTAGAAAACAAAGCACATGAGGTTTCCCACTGCCCTAACTGCACTCATCCTGGTCATCAGGACTCCGCTAATTTTTGCGTTGGCTGTTTTAGCCTAGTGCCCCTACTTGGGGCTTTTGTTGTCAGTGGTGGGTGGTGGTGGGGGGGAGGCATTTTTTAAGATTCATTTTTCTCTTTAATTATGTGTGTGTTGGGGAGGTGGTATGTTCACATCAGTACAGGTGCTAGAGGAGGCCAGAAGGTGGCAGTAGAGTCGCAGGTGGTTGTGAGCTACTTGGCTTGGGTGCTGGAAACTCAGGTCCTCTGCTGAAACAATATGCACTCTCAGCCACTGAGCCATCTCTAGCCTGGTTTGGGTGTTTTGAGATAAAGTCCTATTCTGCAGGGCTGGACTGGCCTTGAATCCACGACAACCCACTTGTCTTAGCCTTCCAAATGCCTTGATTGCAGGCATGAGTGCCACTCTTGCTTCCCCCGCCTCTACTCAGGGCTTTCCAAAACATCACCCTACCCACAACACACCTTCACTCTCAACTTAAGTTTTATTAATTGCTTTTTAAAGATTTATTTTGTTTTATGTGCATGAGTATTTGCCTGCATGCATGTGTTCATGCCCTGTGTGTGCCTGGTGCCCAAGGCAGTCAGGAGAGTGCATCAGAGAAACTGAAACTGGAATTATACATGGTCTTGAGCCACCACATGGGTGCTGGGAATCGAACCTGGATGCTCTGCCAGAGCAACAAGTGCTCCTGACCTTGGAGCCAGTTCTCCAGCCTCTATCTGTCTTGTTCTGACTGTTATGCTCATGCAACTGCCCAGTCAATTTGCTGTGCAAAGTTAGGTTTCAAAATGTGGGGAGATTTGCTCTACCAGATCTGTTCCATTTTGAGAACTCATCCACACAGAGTACAGTTCCTCCTCTGTAAATGGGAGTCTTGTTCTGTTTGCTTGTCCAGTGTTGACTCCAAAGACTCCCAAGACTAGCTCCACCTAAGAAGTCATTGCAATGTTTATATCCCTCATCTAGCCCATTTTAGTGTCAGTCACTTGCTCTAAGCTCTGAAGTGGCCCTCTATGGTTTTCGTGACACAGAAGTGGGTGGCTGTTTACAAAGCTATTCTTTAGTGTTCAAGGAAGCACACTGGTTCCCAGCCCTCCCTCTTCGTTACTTTCCACTCCTCATCCTTATGATGGGAATTCAAGCGTCCTTGGGCTAAAATCAGAACACAGGCTGCTTTACAGAGTGGGTAACACACACCTGATATGGCTACTCATTTTACAGATTAGCTACCAGGAAAGTTCATGCAATAGAATGAAAATTAGAAATAAAAAAGGACCAACTGCCTTGTTCTTTTGAGTCAGGGTTTTATGTAGCCCAGGCTAGCCTCAAATTTACTATAGCTGAGAATGATCTTGAAGACCTAATTCTCAGTCTCCTCCACCCAAGGTCTAGGATAACAGACTTGTGCCACAACATCAGTAAAGAACAAGTTCTGCCATTTTGTTTTACTACCTTGGTCTGTCGGTTTCTGGAAATTTTGAATCTAAAATTTTACTTTAGTTACATTATTAATTTGGATACTCTAATGACTATTTAAAACAAAAAGCATTTGGATAAAGCTTATTGTTATTATTTATTAAATTAAATCAGGATTCCAACTTTGATTTTTGTCAGCACGTACTTCCAGGGCTATGTACAGCCTACAAGTAGGTCTGCCTACAAGTACTCATTATGATGACACAGGACTTATGAAATGACTAGGAATCCAAAATAGTCTTATTGGGATGATTAACGGTTGGGGTTTAACCATAGAACGTGGAGAGCTTAGCATCTCCTCCAGGTGACACATGCTGCTCTTCTTGCAGGTGGAGCCTACTACCTGATTTCCCGGAGCTTAGGGCCTGAGTTCGGTGGATCCATAGGCTTGATCTTCGCTTTCGCTAATGCAGTAGCTGTCGCCATGTATGTGGTGGGGTTCGCGGAGACTGTGGTAGATCTCCTTAAGGTAATTAAAGCTCTTCTTTGTACAGACAAACAAAGGACCCTAGGAGATAGTTTCATGTCAAGATAAGAGAAAGAGTTCAGTATCAGGGCAGGAGCCCCAGGCATAACATTGGAAGGTCTGGCTTCAGCTCTCACTCTACCATCCGGGAGACTTTAGACCAGTTTCCTCTACATCTGAGGCTTATTTTCTAAAGCTGAAAGAGGAGATTATTTACTGCTTCATGCATTTCATAGAGTTCCATGCAGATCAGATGAAAAGGATGTAAATGCAGAGTGTGTAAAATACAAAGTTTCAGGTAGATGGCAGGCATCATTTCCGGTAGGCACACCACTGTTACTCACAAGGTCTCCAAAGATGAAGAAAGTTCAAACAGAGAACAACTCGCTGCAGAAAATGAGGTCCTTCTTAGCTAAGTGCCTGATCCAGATGCCCTGGGAATAAGCTCTTTGAGCCTATGTAGTGTGTTAGCTCCTCACCTTCCTCACCTTAAATGTCTAGCTGATTCTGCTGGTGACAGTACCTCTATGTGGAAATGACATGAGTGTAGTGTGTCTTTCTTAAAGTGTATTCTCTTCAAAAGATATATTACTGAGTTTGTGTTCTTGGGTAATAAGTTGAACAATACTTATTTTCCAATATTCATATTGTAAGTCACCCACTTTTTTTTTTTTTTTTTTGGTTTTTACGAGACAGGGTTTCTCTGTATTGTTTTGGAGGCTATCGGTCCAGCCCAGCCTCGAACTCACAGAGATCTGCCTGCCTCTGCCTCCCGAGTGCTGGGATTAAAGGCGTGCGCCACCACCGCCCGGCCTAAGTCACCCACTTTTATTCTTCTAAAATTCCCCATGGCATATAAAAATAGCTAATACTTTTGCTGAGTCACAACACAAAAGATGTGGACATACATACTTTTAGTTAGTGCTGCAATATCTCCTAAAGCTGTGACTAGAAGGAATTTCCAACCTTTCTAGCCCCTAGCCTTGCTTATCAAAGGCCTATGTCACAGATAAAGTAAAATTAAGATTTTTTTGCCTTCCTGAAGTTACAGATACTTCATTTTCTTATTATCCTATATGCCCCAGGTATTTGTGTTCAGTATCTTTTCTTCTTCTTGAATATTATAAAATATACTGAATGTAAAAAATGCTATCTCTAATCATTTGAGTGATTCCCTCCGGACAGGAGAGTGACTCAATGATGGTAGATCCAACCAATGACATCCGGATAATTGGTTCCATCACCGTGGTGATTCTTCTCGGCATCTCAGTAGCTGGGATGGAGTGGGAAGCAAAGGTTGGTATCTCTAAATAACACCGTAACAAGTGCTGGCCAGGCCCTGAGTTAATCACAACAAAAGGAACACCATATTCACAAAGAATAGCTACCATCCCTTCGTTACAGCAAAAGCCATGAGTACACACAAGGTGGACATCACACCACTAAGTACCTGTGGTCAGACTTTCCTTTGGGTCACCAGCTCACCAATAATGACATTGAGGCTTACTGTTAATTATGAAAACCTGACCTTAGCTTAAGCTTTTTCTCAATTAGCTCTTATAACTTAAATTCATTTGTTTTTATTAATCTATGTGTTGCCGCATGCTTTAACTACCTCTCCAACATCTTTAGTGTCTTGCTGGCATCTCTCACATGCCTAGATTCATCCTGAGTTCCTCTCTCTGCCCAGAAGTCCTCCCTATTTTTTTCTGCCTAGCTATTGGCCATTCAATTCTTTATTAAACCAATCACAGTGAAACATCTTTACACAGTGGAGGCAAATATTCTGCAACAAGTGCCAAGTCCAGTCAGAACTCAAGCTTATGTATGAGGTCATCTGGTCATGTTTCACCTGGTTTTCTGTCATTATGGTGACATATCCAGCAAGGCTGATGTATCTTCACATAAAATTATTGTCCAAACCAGCACTGCATACTAGAAACCCAGGTCTCATCCTGAAGCTCTGAGCAGAGAGGAGGGCAATATATTAAGCTTCAGGTGTACAGTGAGAATGTCTAAATTTGAACCTAGTTTATATTGTTGTTGCTTCTAACTTGGCCACTTTCCTTTGGTGTCACAGGCTCAAGTGATTCTCCTGGTCATTCTTCTCATTGCCATTGCAAACTTCTTCATTGGAACGGTCATTCCATCCAACAATGAAAAGAAATCCAGAGGCTTCTTCAACTACCAAGGTAGGAGGGACCAATCAGTCACTTCTTGTAATGTGTAGTCTTCCAGCCAGCCACTTGGGTCCCAAGCTGTCTCAGCCCCCAAATAACACACGAAACACTATATTAATTATGAAGCTGTTGGCCATTTGCTTGGTTTCTTATTGGCCAGCTCTGACTTAATTATTAAGCCATAAATGCTAATCTGAGTATTTCCACATGGCCTTCTCTTGCTGGAGAAAAGGGTTGGGCCCTTTTACTTCTCCTGCATCCCACATTATGATTGACTGTGCCTCTCTTCCCCAGAATCCTCCTCCACTCCTAGTCCCACCTATCTTGCTTCCCTGTTGGCCAACAATGCTTCATTTAGTCAACCAATAAGACAACATATACACAGAAGGACTTCCACCATCATTTCCTCTTTTCTGTCTAAATTAAAAAAAGGTTTTAACTTTAACATAGTAAAATATATAACAAGGCAGTTATTAAGCAAGAACTATAAATACAATATTTAGTCCATTAACATTTAGTAAAATTTAAAGAAAGTATTTTATCATCTATCCTATCTGTGTGAGTATAAAGTCTTATATGTAATATATCTTTTATCATAACTAAGGAAAACTATAATTATAACTAGCTGTCTTCAACTTCATCAAAGACCACAGAAGGATAATATATAAACACTAAAACTGACAGAGACATCTTGCTACCTGGACAGTCACCCAAAGTTCCTCTGTAACGTTGGGGCATCCATCTTCAGCAGGCCACAGTGTGTCTGGCAGACTTCTCAGCAAAGCAGAAAGTTTTAAACTGTCCACCTGCATTGGCAGTCTGTTAGCCATTTTTCTGTGTCCTGTAGAAAATCTGGCAGACTCTTCCATGAAGCAGGAACCCTTTAGAACTGTCCAAATTCAGTAGTCACTTTTCTGTGGGTCCTGCATGTCCAGATTATACAGCAACAGTCAAACAGTCCAGGAAGGAGCAGTTTCTTGCCCAAATGGCTAATCTTGCCATGTTGAAAGCAAACTCCATGATGAGTCTCTTCAATGCCCATCTTCCTCTCAGATGTGCCAGAAGCAGACATTTCTCATTGCCAAGAAAAATCATAAACCATTTTAAATGCCATTTCTGAAGGTCTTTGAAAGGTTTGAAGACTATCTATCTATCTATCTATCTATCTATCTATCTATCTATCTATCTTAAATACATCTCTGTAAACCTAGAAAATCCAACTTACCTAACTATAAATTCTGACTATTATATGTAACTATCTATAATCTGAATTTAATTATATACATTAAATATACATATCACAAAATTGACCTTAAATTTGTATCAATAAATGAAAAACCATACCAATACAAAGTATTCATTTCTATACCATAATCCCCTTTTACCTTTAATAACAGATTGGTTGTGATCATTAACCAATTATAAGCAACCCCATTTAAGTGAAAACAAAAATTTATAAACAATATTTGGGAAATTGGGCATTGGTCATTCCAAAATGCTTTCTGCTGATAGAGGGCACTGCCCATACCGTGGGAATCATGAAAAAGCTCAGAAACCTGGCCAAGTCCTTGTTTTTGTAATCTGTAAGGCTGCATCATCTTAGCTGTTTCAGATGCTGGATCACCTGAGCCACCGATTCTGGGGGTCTTGATTCATCAAACCACAGAAGCCTGGAAGGAATCCACAGCTTTTCATTTTCTTTGGAAACATAAATAAAATCTTTTTTTCAAGTAACCTGTCCTTATGTTTAGATTTAGAATTCAAAGCATTTTTAAAATATATAAGTTGGATTAATTTAGCAGCATTTATAATCAAGCATATTTTAGTAGTTGTTCCTTTCTCAGTAATTGAACAACTGAAAAACATAATAGCATACAGTATCCAGACTCTCTGTGTATTTTCCATGACTTTTTTATTACTCTACTTCTTTTACTTGTATTTTTTTTCTGAGACAGGGTTTTTCTGTGGAAATCTGCCTGTCTGCCTCTGGAGTGCTGGAATTAAAGGCATGTGGAACACCACTGCCCAGCCACTCTATTTTTTTGTTTTGTTTTGGTTTTGGTTTTGTTTTTCGAGACAGGGGCTCTCTGTATTGTTTTGGATGCTGTGCTGGAACTTGCTCTGTAGACCAGGCTGGCCTTGAACTCACTCTATTTTTTTTAAACCACTTTACTTTGTTTCTTTTTCTCTCCCAAGCCTATGTCCATTTTTAAACACACTGTAAACCTTTAGAGGATTTTTTCATCTGAATCTGACTTTACTGTAAATCTTTATGTTTTTCTGGTCACATGTCTGTTATCTGCTAAACAACTTTGCTAATCAAATTTACGGCTATTTTAACTGCTGTTTTTGCAAGATGGCAGGTACTGTAAGTTTACCGCTAGTGCTGGTCACACAGTCTCTGTCTCTAGCAAAACAGAGCCCACCTGAGAATAATGCTGCTACCGAGAAGCCTTGCTTCTCTCTGTTCTTTTGTTTATAAAATCCCTTTTAAACTTTTGTCATTCTATATGGAAATTCATGATCCCACTCCTGACAACCCTTATGTAATGTGTAGTCTTCCTGCTAGCCTGGTTCCAGAGCCATGTCAGCACTACTACAGTTTCAGCCCCCAAATAACACACAGGACACTATATCAATTATGAATCTGTTGGCCATTTGCTATTGTTTCTCATTTGGCTAGCTCTGACTTAATTATTGACCCATATATTTTTATAAGGTCTTACCTTACCTAGAACACAGACTTGCATCCCTTCTTCCCAAGAATCACATGGCAACGACTCTCTTCACTACATTTCCCAGAATCCTAGACTCCTAGTCCCACCTATCTTGCTTCCTTATTGGCCAACAGTGCTTTATTTACATGTACACAGGACTTTGCCATCACTTCTGGCCTCTGTAGACACCAGGCAGGCAAACATTACACACACACACACACACACACACACACACACACACACACACACACACACACACACGACAAAACACACTCTTTTTTTAAGATTTATTTATTTATTACATATACAGTGGTCTGCCTACATACCAGAAGAGGGCACCAGATTGAATTGTAGATGGTTGTGAGCCACCATGTGGTTGCTGGGAATTGAACTCAGGACCTCTGGAAGAGCAGTCAGTGCTTGTAACCTCTGAGCCATCTCTCCAGCCCCAAAACATATTCTTAAAAGAAATAATGGCTGAATTGCTTGTGTATCTATTTGTGGTAACACGGCATGCTAATTTGACTTTTCTCTTGCCAGTCTGCTTCCCCTACCTTCCTATTTTCTTTCCTAGCTTTCTCAATACACAGCTTAGGCCTTGAAAAATATCATTAGCTCCATTATGTATTCAGGTATCAGTACCTGTGACCCCTATCCCCATTTTTAAGCCCGATTCTTTAATGTGGTTCTTTTGTCTGCTTTTCTCTGCAGTGGTTATTTTATTTGCATTGGGTTTTACTGTTCTTTCTTTTCTACCTTTGACCCTACTTTACGTCTCCCAATGTTTTCAACTTTCTTCCCCCCTTTTCTCATCCCAGATCCCCTTCTTGGTTCAGTTTTTTTCCTCTTTCTCTTCCTTTCTGTCTTTTCTCTAGATTGCTTCCTCTTTGTTTAAGTGATTTGGTGACAACCTACAGGACAGGGTTCATCTAATGACACAGCACCTCACCATATTCTTATTCTCTGAGAATTGAGTATAAGGACCTAAGATTGGAACACAGAAAGGAAGAGCAGAGAGATTAGAATAGTAGAAGCAAATCTATACTGTATATCGTGTAGTCTTCCCTGCCAGTCTCCTGGGCCCTGTCGCAGTTCCAGCCCCCAAATAACATGCAAGACACTATATTAATTATGAAGCTGTTGGCTGTTTGCTATGATTTCTTATTGGCTAGCTCTGGCTTCATTGTTAACCCATAATTGCTAATAGTATTTCCAATTGGTCTTCGCTTACAGGAGAACAGGGTCCTGACCTCTTACTCCTCTGGCTTTCTGCATCATGACTCTCTGTGCCTCTCTTCCCCTGAATCCTTCTCGACTCCTAGTCCCACCTATTTTGCTTCCTTATTGTACAACAGTGCTTTATTCAACAACCAATAAGATAACCACATACACAGGACTTCCCTCATCAATATTGCAGCCTGCTTCTCACGGGTCTCTTAGGGTTTGTCAAAGGCCTGGAAAGGCATGTTGTTTAAAGACACATATACATGAGAATGGTATGTGTTATGAGTGTTATGAGGGGGTATGTGAACATGAGTAGTATATTGTGAGGGTGCTAACATGCTCCTGCCAGAACTGTTTTTTCTTGGCAATATTTATTTGTTTTTTAATTTTTTTCATGCAGTATATTCTAAACACAGTTTTTCCTCCATGGAAACTCCTCCCTAATCCTCCCAAACTCCCAACCTGCCCCAGTTCGGGGTCAGTCAACAGTGACCCTAGTGGAGGGGGTGGGAAGGGGGGGGGGACAAGAGACGTGAGAGACGGAGACAAGACAGTATTCTGATCAAATCTCATTTATTAAAAGTACCAACAGGGCTTAAGTAAGGCAGGTAGCAGAAGGGCGGGGGGAGCAGAAGTTCTCCTTGGCAGAGTATGTTCCAAGGACACAAGTCTGCAGCTGGGGGAGTCTGGACTGCAGGCCAGGAAACAGAAGGGTGGGAGAGTCTGGAATGCAGGCCTTGAAAATATGTTCTACAGGAAGATAAGCAGACACAGAGAAATAGAAACTTAACTAAACACTAGTCTGTAAGAATCCAGTAGATATTAAGATGGTTTCTATTATGCTATCCTTATTTAGGGCCCTCCACACCAACCCACCCACCTCTATGACCTTTCTTCATCTCTCTCCTTGGAAAACAGGTAAACAAACAAAATAAGGAAATTTTAAAAAAGAACAAAAAACATAGATTCACACAAAAACTAAACCCATAAAGCACAAAACCCATAATATATAAGCAAAGAACTGTAAGAAAAATATTCAAATAAATCAATATGAGATAAAAATCTACAAAAATCAAAAATATCACTCAGTTTGTTTTGTATTGACCATCCAGCTACTGCTTGGCATGCAGCCTCTTATAAATGCAGTTTGTACACTGAGCAAGACCCCATTGGAGAAGACTAATATTCCCTTCTGCAAGAATTCCTTATTCTTTTTTTCAATTTCTTCTGTAAGCTTGGCCTCTAATGACCTTTTAGGATCTCTGATAGACACCTTAGTACTTGGGGAAAAGTAACCAACAGTTTCATGTTCACTCTGCCTCAATTCTAAGCGCCTATTTCCATCTAGAAATACAGAAGTCAAGACCATAAGCTCCTACAATGTGGCAAAACCCTAAAGGATGATGTTTCTCTTGCTTGCATTTCAGCATCCATATTTGCAGAAAACTTTGGGCCAAGCTTCACGAAGGGTGAAGGTTTCTTCTCCGTCTTTGCCATCTTTTTCCCAGCTGCCACTGGGATCCTTGCTGGTGCCAACATCTCTGGAGACCTGGAGGTATGTAGTCTCCTCTGCTTTGTCCTGATGGTGAGAGTATAGTTGTTGGTAACATGAGAAACTGTACAGACTGAATATGACTTAGGTCCCAGAGACTCAAGAATGAAGGTTTCTGCATGATTTGTTATTCTCTCTCTCTTCCTCCTTCTCCCCCCTCCTTTTTCTCTCCCCTTTAATTTTAAATCTAGACTCTTGACAATATAGTATAATTCCAAAACCCATATTCGGTGACATCCAAAAACAGTGCATTCACAGGAAGTTATTTTTCAATAAACCCCTTCCCTTTAAAAATCATAATGTCTAAAAACCCAAGACATTTGAGGAAAAACAAAACCAAATCAACAACAGCAAACAGCCATGTGAACACTTCATCCTCAGTTCACAGCATTCTCCATTGTATTAGCCATGATGGTGATTGCAGTATTTTATGGAGAACCACCCACTAGCCATGACCAAAACAAGATCAGACTTTGTGTTTCTAGCACATGCATGTTGGAGCTCATAGACCATCTAACAAAATTAGAACATCCACTTCGAAAGGCAGCCCATGATTCAGAAAGCCTCTCCTCTTTCTACCTTGGAGTCCTCCCCTATCCTCAAGATCCTGGGTGGTTAATCACTTCCTGGTTCACACTCTACCTCCTATGAAGAGGACTAGGGCAGCAAAGGACAACCTCCACAAATCACTTCTGCCGACATCCTAGTGGTCTGCATTTTGACTCATGTCTTTACCTAGCTTCAAAGGACTCATGAAACAGGTTCTGAAGTAGGACAACCATGTACCCCAGTAAAGTCTGAGGCATTCCAACAGTACAAGAAGAGTAAGAGTCTCTTTCATAAGAAGGATAAGAGTTTTACCTCACAGACATAAAAAGAAGATGCAAATCTTACCTCAACATATTTATAATCAATGTCAGAAGGTAAGTATTTGCAAGAGTCATCAGGAGATAGGTATTAAATGAAAAACATGCATGGGTCAATAGGGTCATGAAATAAACATACTTGTTGTTGGATTGATGAGGGTCAGTTTCCTCAAGGAGGATCTTGGGAAGCAAAGGCTAGAAGTTCACTATTGGGGAAGAACAAGGCAAGGCTGGGCCCAGGAAGCAAGCAGAGTCTGACACAAGATGCCTGAGGAGAGCAGGGAGTCTCTTACATGTTAACTGGAGAAAACCTGGTGAGGCTGGAGAGCCTCAGAAGCTTTACAGGAAAGGAAATGGCTGCCCATCCTCACTGTGGAGCATCCAACTCTGTGGAAGCAGGGACTTGGCCTTTGGGCTTACTCATTGTGTATCTTCGGAGACAACATGGTCTTAGTAGATATTGACTGAATGAGTGAATTAAGGATTTAGATTTGTTATGCTAGTGACCACACTGCCTTGGTAAATTCTTGAGCAGACAACGGCAGGAAAAGGTCATTCCAAAGCTAAAAACATCACAAACTTGTGCAAAATGTTTCAGCTCCTCTCTTCACTTAATGAAAGTAAGTTATGAACCCCTGTTTTCTTGCTAACTACAAAAGTAGCAGAGCTCACTGATTTAAACTCCCAGAAGCTACAGACAGGCTTTTAAACTGGAAAATATTCTGCTGTCTTTAGATTTCTTAAAAAACCAGGTGCTTAGTCAATTCATCTTAACTTAATGCTTGAATGAAGGCCGTGTGTGCGCGACGGAGGTTAAATCTCTCCTTCTGCTAGAGTTAGAAGTGATGGAAAGAATTCTGTTACTAGAGGCCACAGTAAGAAAGGATCATAAATCACAACCAAATGCAAGTAATGTCTTCTGATGTCTCCGTTCCATTATGTTATATTCGATTCTATTCTTCAACACTGGGTTCACCTCATTGAGTCGATTTCATGGCATAGTAGATGAGGAAGAAGAGGCTCAGACATAGCTAATGGGGTTGAAACAGAAGTAGGACATCACAACACAGGTGTATGGGGAGCAGAGAGAGTCTGGAGCTCTAGGAAGAAAGACAGGACTGGAAGCTACTGCATGGGTGAAGTCACCCAGGTAGGTGCAAGAGGGAGACAAGGAATCTAAGGAAGCAGGCAGGGGAGCATGCGCACTCAGAGTATTAGTGTGGAAATGGAAGGAGGGAGGGCAGAGAAAGAGCGAGATAAGGACAGAGACATAGAAACTGTTTAGTGAATGGAGAAACCAACAGTCCGTAGACCCAGGAAAAAGGAAAGTGAAAAGTGAAATTATCTGAGACATCAGAGCATAGTTTAAGGTCAGGGTAGCCAAACATGTTAGCTCCCAAAGGGGAAATATTCTGAAAGATGGTAAGGAAACTTCTGTATCTCTAGGTTTTGTTTTTCTCTGAGGCTGAAACCAATGTGATAATAGTAATAATAATAATAATTGAGTCAATTCAATTTAGGAGATACTGTTTATACAATATAGAGAGATGCAGATGAGTAATCTGCTTCCAGACTCAGACTCCTTCTCAAGATGGCTCCTCACACTGTAGGGAAGAGTGACCAGGAGTAGCATAATAGATGCACAGAGTCCCATCTTAAGAACTGTGTATGCAATAGCAATAGCATAACCAGAGCTGTCCTGAAAATCGGGATCTAGGAAAAGATTGAGAAACACTTTGAGATGCAAAATTAGGGTGTGGTTGTTAAACCCTAAGAAGCAGAAACCTAATTGATTACTTGTATTCTGTCCTGGCTGGGGGCCACTTTTAATGATGGAAAGGAGAAGTACCTTAAATTTGGGATTAAGTCTGAAGGAGAGTGAAAATTAAGAATGTATCAAATCCCCTAGCTCCCTATTAGCAAGAGTAAACAATCCCATTTTGGTGTGATCTTATGGTACAATATCATACATCAATGCACTGCCATCATATGTTACCCAGTAGTGCCTTAGAGTCCTGATGACCCTCTTGTATCATGAACTCATCAGTTTTAGGGATTATAGTAGGCAGCTGCAAGGGAAAATGATTTTCATGTCTACATCACAAGGCTGTCTTCCACCTCTTATCCAGTTTTGCTCCAGTTAAGTTACAAAGTCACCCAGATCCCATGGAACTGTGGGGGTGTGTTTCACATGGTGGGAGGTATACATACACGTGTCTGCATTTGCCAAGTGCAACCTTTTCAATGGACTTGATCACCATATATAAGTTTAGAAAAAAAATGCTCAAGCTTCATTTGCCTGTACTGATTGATTATGTGTATTGATGAGACTTGTGTCCTCCAGATGGGAGACCACTGCCTACTGGAAGTGTACATTTCTCTGTTCAGTATTCATTAACTCTTTCTGAATGCCAGATAACTGTCTATATAAGAAAATCATGCATCAAAATATTTGTTTAATAATTTCCTGAATTGAATTAAATATAATCCAACATGCTGCTTGGAAATCATTTTGATATAATTTAACAGTCCCTTCTGTTGTTAAAATGTCTATTGTTTATCCAGTAACGAGACACAAACCGTGACTCAATGATCCCACGTGGCGTTTTATTGGTGGACAGGGAAGGAAGGGGGGTGAGGGGTAACCAACCCGTGCAGAGCTGAGAGAGAGAGAGAGAGAGAGAGAGAGAGAGAGAGAGAGAGAGGATGAGATGATGAGAGAGGAAGACAAGAGTAAAAAGAGTGTAAGCGGGCAGGGGTCAGTCCTTTAAAGGGGTCCTTTGCACCTGCGTGGTTCTCACAGAACTCTGGGCTGGCCAGAGTGTTGCCTGAGTGCATCCTGCCAGGTAACAGGGCAGGCCAGCGTAATGTCTGAACCTTTCACCTTCCAAAACAAGATATAACTGGTGAATTAAATATCATGTGGACTCAATTCAATATATGCACATACATTTATAAGCAAGAGAAAAGCTTATTTTCTGGTGAAGGGTTGACCTTATCTCTTTACTGAACTTTCTTGAGGAAATGAAGAATGTAGAGAGACTGGAGAATTTAGCATATGATCTTTTTTGCTCAGCCAGAATGGTGTTTTTGTTCTGTCTTGTTTTTCTTTGTCTGTTGGTTTTAATTAAAGACAAGCCTAAGCTCAGCATAAAACATACATATGACCAGATATTGTCAACAAACCAGATATGTTTATGTTTGATGCTTCTAACGGCACTTCGCATGGAGAGAGAGAGGTCTGTTCTATTTCTATAACATCTCTCTTTAGACGGGCATATTCTCTTCAGTTCAACTCTGAGGTTTTGTTTGATTGGTCTTGTTTTTGCTTCTTTTAATGGTTGGATTTGCTTATTAAAAATAGAACCGCATTTCTGTTTTCCTTTTTTAATTGAAAACAGATTTTTTATATAATATATTCTGATTGCAGTTTCCCCTCCCCCAACTCCTTTCAATTCCTCTCCACCTTCCCATCCAGATCCACCCCCTTTCTGTATCTCCTTAGAAAACAGACATCTAAGAAATAATAATAAAATGACCTAGAATACAATAAAACAAAACAGACAAATATAGGGCAAAATAACCAAACAAGAAAAAGAGCCAAAGAAAAAGCACAAGAAACACATATAGACATGGGGATACACATGGTCACACACAAAAGAATCCCATACAAACAAACCTGTAAACATATGTACAAAGAACATGTAAGGCAAAAAAAAAAAAAAAAAAGACAAGGAACCTCCAAAGATGTCATTGAGTTCATTTTCTATTGGCCTTTTACTGGTGCACATGGAGCCTACCCTTAAGCGTGGTTTGTTTACCCAGTGAGACTCCCTTGGAGAAAGCTAATTTCTCATTTACAAGTGCTTATCAATTGGAAGTGGCTTCTGGGTTAGGAATGCAGGCATGTGCCTACTTTTCCTTTTAGCTCTAGGATCCCATCTGGTACAGACTGGTGCAAGCTCTGTGAGTTTATACGCAGTACCAAGTTTTATATTCCATTATTCACTCTGAATACTCTGTCCAAAGGACTGTTCACTTCGCCATTTGCTAGACAGTTTCTTTAGAGCTTACCTTAGGAAGCATTGTTTAACATTTTGAAAATACAGAAATAACTACTAGCACTCTGTTTATTATTCAGTTCTGTTTTCTTCTCTGCATAATTTTTCACAGGATCCCCAGGATGCCATCCCCAGAGGAACCATGCTGGCCATTTTCATCACCACTGTTGCCTACATAGGTGTTGCTATTTGTGTAGGTGAGTAAAACATCCCTGATGTCAGAATTTCAGGGAGCCCAGTGGTTCTTTGCATCTAACGGCTTTCCACGGAACGTAAGTAGAAAGTTTTGTTTATAAGGCAGCAACTTTACTTCCTTTCTTGGTACTTAATGGTTTGTGCCTTTGATGCAATTAAAATAGCAATGCAGACATCTTCGGATTAGTGTTTTAAAAGAGCCTATCAAATTGTTGTTATGCCCTGGCCCAAAGAAGTCCCTGCCTTGCCCTCTGTGATGGTCACACTGCTGACAAAGATGTCACTTCTAGCACTCAGCTCTCGTGCCCTCTAAGGCAAGTGAGAAAGAACAGAGCAAGAAATCAAACAAAACCCAAACCCAAACCTGGCAAAGCAAATCATAAAAGATGAGGAATTCACAGCAGTATCTCATGTCTAACTTGGAGGTGTCATTGACACCAGCTGCCAGGAAATCAGCCCAGCCCAGCTGTTAGCAGTGTGGAAGCCAGTCCCATGCTTCTGGGTGAGCCCAGCATGGCATATGTGCCTTTTCTCATGCCACAAGGCAGGCTTTGGCTCTACCTGCTGCCTGTGGCCACTCCTCTTAAAGCCACCACATGTCTACGCCATAATGGTAAGAAAGGAATGTGTTTTCCAACACAAAGAGAAGTGCACAGTGAGGAATGAAAGCTAGGGTTGAACAACTATGGAAGCCTGGTGGCCGTTTGACCAAAGGGTAAACTCCAGTAGTCCTCTGCTTGCTGTAAGAAAAAGTTGGAAAAGTCAATATGTCTTAAATCGATTTCTGAAGGGAAAAAAGGCCAAAAAAAAAAAAAAGCAAAAAATTAAGACTGTTGCCTATATTGCTGCTTCTTGTGTGAGAAACCTGGTAAGGTTGTTCAGTGCCCTGTGGCATTCTGTGCTGCTACACAGGAAGACATTTTCTTATTCAGTGCATTAGGTCATCAACGACTTTAGAATGACACTGAAGTCATCTGGGGTTACATCTTCCAAAAATGGTTTTAGGTCAGCAGGTGCATGTTTAAGAAACACAGTAGGAGTATGGTGACACAAACTATCATTCCTGGTTTTACATGTTTCTAGATGTTCAAATGAAGGTCCTCATGCATGTGCAATGAACACTTTACTGACTGAACCATGTCCCCAGCTCCAAATGGAAAGGCTTTCCTCGGGTTATAAGCCATGACCATAAGCAAGACTCATACCCTCAGACCAACGAGCAACTTTTGGAGCTGTCTCTTATTATTATTATTATTTAAGTAACTTTTTTTCATTTATTTTACATGCCAACCACAGTTTCCCCTCCCTCCTCTCCTCCCTGCCCCCCCCCACCTTCCCATCTACCCCATTTCCCTTCTACTCCTACTCCTCTATCTCCATTCAGAAAGGGCAGGCCTCCCATGGGAGCTGACTTAAAGGTAGTAGTAATAAGAGGCCACCCAGGGTGGAGTGGAAAAGAAAGATTAATGTCTTATTAGTTGGCATTTGGTTAACAAAGAACCTATTATGTATGCATTTTAAACCCTCATGTATATTTTAATGTGTTTCAATAACTATCAAATACACTATGTCAGAGATAATTAATAATAGTCAGAAAACCTCATAAGGAAAGTAAAAGTCAAAATTTATACTCCATCTTTTTTCTTTGTTTCATTTCCTTGAATTCTTATTCATATTGTTGTTTTAACTTCAGCCCAGTGGCTGTGCCTTAATCTACAGCCAGCGATTGCGACTCTGCAGTTACTGGCCTGCTTATCTAGCAGCAACCTAGCCTCTCAGGCCCCAACCCAGGGAGAATTCTACTCTCACAGGCACCTGCCCTGTCGCTGCCACTAAAGGTAGCTTTAACCAAATGTCTATCCTAATTATGACTAAGACTTGAGATAAAGGCTGGGGTGAAAGCCTGCATGCTCAGAGAGGCTGAGTAGCAACTAGCTAATCGTCTCTCCTTGCTGGCACCCACGGAAGACCCGTGCTTTAGCTTCTCCAAGGCAGAAGAAGCTGCACCACTCCAAACCCCACCCTACTACTTCCTGTGTCTCTCTATCTCTCCCAGATGTCTCTGGTGCTCTATGATTGCTTTCTGTCAGCTACTTGCTAATGTAGCCTCCTGACCCAAGGTTAATTTTATTTAATTAACACAAATGCAAACTTGGGGTACACAGTATAATCGAATCTCTTTCAACACATCATTGTATTTTCTTATCCTTGCTACACAGCACTTTCTTATACGTTCTTCCCCTCCCTTTAGTATCCTCCCTCTCCCTAATTAGTCCCCCTTCTTCTCCCACTTTTGTACATATGTATGTGTATATATGGAGACACACACACATACATACATACATACATACATGTAGATATATACATATATGGAGATCCAGATTTAAATCTAAATTCCACATATGAGGAAAACGTGCACTATTTACCTTTTTGACTCTGGAAAATAGCATACCTTTTTTTTCTTCACGAGAATGCTCGTTGCTCTTGAGAAGGACCCAGGTTCATTTGCCAGCACACACATTGTGACTCACAGCGTCAGTATCTCCAGTTCCAGGGGCTCTAGTGTCCTCATCTGACCTGCAGGGACCAGGCACACATATAGAGTCCATAAACACATGCGGGAAAAGCATACATACACATAAAAGACCACATAAGTACATCTAAAGACCAAAGGCTTCTAAAATGCTCTCAATTCTGTTTCTAAGACTCAACCCTGTAGAAATATTTTAAAATTTAGAAGAAAATGTTAATGCACAAAGATGGTCATCATACAAAGTTTATAATATAAAATAATGGAAGTATACAAATGTGTGAAAATAATGAAACAGAAAGAAGTGAGATGGTCTCATCATAGCTACTAATGGCTCGTTAGAAATACTAATATTTATCCCAAAGAACTGCCTTATGTACTTCTTTTGTTCAGTTAACACACAGAGGGGTGCATGCCATTATGACATCCACTGAAGCATTTGTCAGAACACTTGGTTCTGAGTTGTTCCCTTCTCCACTGTTCTTCCCCATGCCCTCTCCTCGCCTCTTTCTTCACCATGTCACTTCCTGCATCTACTTTCCTATTTCCTGTGTCCCATGACTCTCTCTGATTCTCACCTCTCCTAATACCACTTCATCTTCTCTGATAATATCCATTCCAGTCATATGACCTATAAACACATATTCACTCACATGTATGTATAATTTTAAACCTAGCTTCTATATCAGAAAGAAAACATGCAGTATTTGTCTTTCTGAGGCTGGTTTGTTTCACTTAGCATAATGTTTTTCAGATGTGTCCATTTTCCTGCCACTGTCATAATATCACTTTTCTTTCTGGCAGCATAAAATTCATTGTGTAGACATCACAACACCCTCCACCCATTTATATGTTGACAGACATTTAAGATACTTCCATGTCCTGACTATTGTGGACAGGGGAGCAATAAGCATGGAAGTACACATATCTCTGTGATATGTCTACTTAGAACTTTTTGTGTATGTAGCAGGAGTATGTCTGGGTCTTAGATTAAATCTGTTGTCAGTTTCTCAGGGAATATTCATACTGGTTTCCATAGGGGCTACACAAGTTTACATTCCCACCAACTAAGAGTTCACCTTTCCCCACATCCCTACCAGCATATGTTGACCTTTGTTTTCTTTCCCTAAATTCATTTTATTTATGAAATTATACTATAAGTACATCATTACTCCTTCTCTCTTTGATTATGAGCATTCTCTGCAGTTTGGGTTTGACACATGTCATGCCATAGTAAGTGCCTGCCCTAGGAGCCCTTATTTCTCCATCGATTCTAGACGATAACTTTGCTAGTCAACAGCTAATTGCTTTGGGTTCTAAGCTTTCTTGGCTTTGAGGGTGACCTGTGAGATGCCTGGTGTTATTCTGTTGTTTCTGCCTTTGTAGATGATTTGCCATTTCCCCCTTACAGCTTTGAAGATGGTTTTCTTTGCCCGGTATTTTCAGCATTCTGATATCACAGAGAGTCTTCTCTCATCGTGGCTATTGGGAATTCTGAATGCTTCTGGTGCTTGACTATCTGTGTCTTTAGATTTGGAGAGTTTCCAGGATAATTCAGTGAGTTCTTGGTGTTTTTAGTGTTGGCCTCTTTCTTCTGTGTTGTGGATCTGAGCCTTAGTGTCTCAGAGTCCTAAGATGTGGTCACACTTGTTTGCTATTGTTTCCCGTGCTGATATCTGGACACCATGCTCCATCGACCCTATCTTCCATCTCTGACATTCTTCCTTCTGCTTGTCAGGTTTCTTAGTGACCGGTCCTGTTGTGCCTTTTATTTGATTCAGTGAAGTTTTCATTTTTAATGCTTCTGGGTTTGGTTTTTGTTTTTCCTTTAAAAAAATCTTTGTTTCTTTTCTGAGTTGTCTGTGCTGCCGCCTTTTTCACCTGCATTGCTGATCTCCTTCCTTTTGATGACTCTTTTCCTATTTGTTGATGCTTCTCCTTATGGCCTGGATCAAATTCATCTGATAGTTTGCATCTTCTTTTAGGTTATTGATCGTTTTTACCAGAAAACTGAAATCATCACACTGAATTTTGTACTTCTCTGTACCTTTGGGTTTAACACTCATGGAGTTACCATCTCTTGAAAGAGTCATGCTGCTGGCTTTTTGAAGTTTCTTATGTTTATTGTGTTAGTGCATTTCTTGGTTTAGATATCACTTCTGGAGTTTTTTGAGGTGGGGGAGGTCTTTCTTATTTGATTACTTACTCTTGTGATCTAAACCCCTACTACCAAGCAAACCTCTGTACCCACAATGACATCAAACCACATGAGACACAGAAATCCATTTAAAATCATTTACAGTCACTAATACACAACCAGTGGCCATGAGCTGAGAATGACATGTGCTACAAAGTGAGAAATAAATGAGATGCAGAAAGGATGTGGGGAAGATGAGAAAAATAAGAAAAGTGAAGTCAAATAGCTAAGAGGAAAAGATGGGGTAGAGAAGAGAGAAAAAAAGAAATAGAAAAATTTAAAGGAAAAATATTTCCTGATTGTTAAAAAAGTTTAAAAAAAGCAATGGGCTGGAGAGATGCCTTGGTGGTTAAGAGCACCGTCTTTTCAGAGGACCTGGGTTCGATTCCCAGCACCCATATGGCAGCTCACAACTCCAAGATCTGACACCCTCACACAGACATACCTGCAGGCAAAATGCTAATGTGCGTGAAATGAAACCAAATAACATAAGAGTATTAAGAGAAAACCGTCTGGGCTGCAGAGGTGACTAGATAGGTGTTAAGAGCACGTGCTGCTCTTGCAGAAGACCCAAGTTTGGTTCTAGCACCCATGTTGGGCGGCCCACAACAATCTGTAATGCCAGATCCAGGAAATCTAAGGCCTGTGGCCTTGTGAGCAACCTCACTCCTACGCACACATACCCATATAGACACACACAAACACACAATTGAAAATATAAATTTGTTAAAAGATAAGAATAGCTGGGCGGTGGTGGCACACACCTTTAATCCTAGCACTCGGGAGGCAGAGGCAGGCGGATCTCTGTGAGTTCAAGGCCAGGCTGGACCAACAGCCTCCAAAACAATACAGAGAAACCCTGTCTCGTAAATACAAAAAAAAAAAAAGAAGAAGAAGAAGAAGAAGTTTCAAAAGATATAGTACAGTGAAGATACTGCTAAATATGCAGGTAGGGGGGAATAAAAGGAATCACACAGTAGGGGAAAACAATGTTAAAATGGCTCCTGCCTGGATCTTCAGAATTGAAACTGCTAGTTACAAGCACTGCAGGAGGGCAGTTGGTTGAATTTGGACTCCCTTTTCTTCTCTGGCTTATATATTGTTTAGTCTGTACTGGACAAGCGCAGGATGCCTTCCAGAGTTCACTGCACAGCAACTGTTCTTCTTAGGGCAACAGGGGCCTCTACTGGCCACTCAGTATCCCTCTGTAAGATGAACAGTTTCTCTCACTTAACTGAGACCCCCAGATCATAAACCCGATGTGCCTGTTCTAGCAGAAGGATGTGGGGATGTGGGAGAAACAACCTCACAGAGATGGGTGCAGATGGAGGACCCGACTTGGTGCTGTCAAGGCTCCCCGGGTGTCAGTCACCTGCTGGAGAGTGCACCCTTTGAACTTCTGAGTTCCTGGGCTCTAAAGCAGTGAGCCACAGTTGTCTTCAGAATTTCATCCGTCTGTAAGCTTCAGGCTCTGAGGTATCAAACTCTAGGCTTGCTGGCCACCTGTACTCTTCAGTCCTCGCTGTCCAGCTCTCTGCTCTCCACAGCTGTCTCCCTGGACCATCTCTTACCAAAGGGCTGTAACAGGCCCAATGGAAGATCTTCAAGATGCCTTCAAACCCCCACTGCCCTGAATCCCATCAGGAAAACAGGATCTCTCTCACCTATGTTGCTTCATCAGTCGGAGAAATCACTGTGTCTCTAAATACTACAACAGGATTTAAGCTCACGAGGGCTTTGCCTCGAGCTGGGGGTGGAGCTGCCTGACCCTCACCTAGCTTATCTTCTGGAAGTGGCTTCTGAGTCCCATTACCCATCCAGGGAACTGTGCAGGTGAAGTTCTGATGAGCTTGCTACTCCATGTAGCAGTGCGTCTCTGTTCTGCTCTCTTCCTTTCCTTCCTCCGTGGATTTCCAAAGCCCTGCCTACATTTCTGTTTGGATGAAGTCTAATGTTTTTTATTCTATCCTTTTTCAGCATAGGCAGAAACCATGCAACCATCTTACTGGGAGGTGCTATCTTTATTATTAAGGCAATTAAAACTGCATGTACTTGACATGAACAAGGAGGATGGCAATAGACACGCTAATGTGAATGGGAGCGGGTAGGACAGCACACAATGCCTCAGCAATACACCAAGAGCTATAGGGAACCAAAGAATGCTGAGAGCAGAAGAGACAGTTTTCCCCAGGGAAGAGCACAGCAATCGGTAATCCGACACTGTGTGGCCAGCTCTGAAAACATACAGGCAAACAGTGTACAGACTAAGTACACTGTATTCATGTGCTTTGAAATACACACACACACACACACACACACACACACACACACACACTCCAATTAAACAAAAAAGAGGTCACAAATTTGAAAGAGCAAGACAGGTGGGTATATGAGAAAGTTTAGAGGCAGGTCAGAGAAGGGGGGAGTTTCATTATAATCTCATAAAAAAGTTTTTAAAATTACATCTAAAGTAGAATTATTACTCTGTTTCTAAAATGTATGCAAAGAATTAGTTGGAAACAAGATCACATTATCTTAGTTATTCAATTCCTTAGTGCCTTCCCTTGAGTGCCTCTCAGGCAACGAGAATTATTAAAAAGCCATGTGGTCAGTAGACGTTCCCTAGACAATAGCTGTGCACATGCGATGCCAAAGCGCTGCGCGTGCGCTTTAGGAGATCAGAAAACAAGACAGCGTCCTCCTACAAGATAGCCTCAGGAGTGAGGACCACCCAAGGCAGTGTGAGTGACAGCTTGTATAAACCAGGGTGTTTGGAGGACTCAGAGGCTGGGAGCTCCAGGGACCATGTCTCAAGAAGAATTGACAGTCTACACAGGCTCTGAAAATATGTGTTCCGGCTCATAGCCAACTAAGCATGTTTTAGAGCGAAACCCTCAGAGAGCAGGACTCTGACAGGGATGACAAGATGATGAGATGATGGGGGGGGGTCAGGGATTTAGCTACAATGTTTGCTTCACAAGCACAAGGCCCTTGGCTCTGTCCCTAGCACTGAAAAGGAGCGAGGAAAAAAGAAATGACAGACATTGTCTCCTCAGCGGCATGTGTGGTCAGAGATGCCACTGGAAGCATAAATGACACCATCGCTTCTGGGATCAACTGCAACGGATCTGCTGCCTGTGGGCTGGGCTACGACTTCTCGAGGTGTCAGCACGAACCATGTCAGTATGGGCTGATGAACAATTTTCAGGTATGAACCTTAGAGAGAGAGGGGGAAAGAGTTTGGTGTCTGCATTTCCAGAATGCCAAGTGCAGCAAGGCTTCTGGATCTGCAGTTGGTTACCTATGGATTGATTTGAATTAAGCAAGGAGCAGGTGGTCCGGGAGAGCAAGAAGTCACGCAGGTGTAGTGTGGTAGCAATCCCCGTGCTTTTGGCACTGTGGGAAGGAGACAGTAGACGGTGTCAGTTGTGTCACCAGCAGGGAGCACCCTGTTGTTCCTCAATTTCAAGTGACTCTGTGCTGGAAGGAAGAGGCTAACTAGCACTTGGAATGCATTTTGTGTGCAGGCCAAGAGTCAGGGCAAGGGGAAATCGTGAACAAGAAGCTGGGATGGAAATGAGAGCAAAGCAACATGGGAAAGTACAGGATTTGCTAACTGCCCTACGTGGTCGGTAAAGAGAGTAAGAAGTAAGTGGACTGAGAAGTCTGCATCCGTCTAATTGTAGCAACCAACACAGAGACATCAACTCTGCTGAAATCATTATTCCAGAATAGGACTGAAGCCGATAGGCTCTCCATAAACGTGTCAGATCTGCTCCCAAGGATCAGATTGGTACTGGTATCATTTTCATTATGATTCTGAGGCAAACCAAGAGTATCTCAATTGTCTCAGAAAATAAAGCTATGTTTAAAGAGCACAATAAAAGCAAAGGTTTGGAAACTTCGGTAGAGGAAAAACCAATGTCTTAAAAAGACTGAAGGAAGGCAAGCGGTGCTCACACCTGTTCAACACCACATGCTGTGGGGCAGAACGTCTTCCCACCAGAGCACAGCGGAGATGCTGTGAAAGTCCTTGAACGCATTCCCTTCCTTAGTTTTTCCAGTGTTCTCTAAGTATCTTGTGGTGGGTATCTAGTGCTTGGTAAATTTTTAAAAAAAGAAGTCCTTCCATCTTGAAAAGAGAAGTATTACAAGTTCAAGAGTGAAGTGGGGGTGGGGGAGCAGTAGTTTATAAGACTGCAAATCACAGGAAATGGAGAAGGAAGAAATTGTGCTGAAGAATAATTAACTTTCTGTCTGTCCGTTGGATGGGCTGCTTTATCCAAACCCTTCTCTCTTCTCAAGGTCATGAGCATGGTGTCAGGGTTCGGCCCCCTCATCACCGCGGGGATCTTTTCAGCAACACTCTCTTCAGCCCTGGCCTCCCTAGTCAGTGCGCCCAAAGTATTCCAGGTAATACAGCCATGGAAGCGAGCACTGTGTTCACTGCATGCGAAACAATCTGAAATAGCGGCACCAGCTATCACTTTCCATCATTTTCCGCAACCGTTAATGCTTGCATCTGGCTGAAGCGCCGTGTCTGCCACATAGTCAAGATCGATTCCGATAATACAAAGAATGATGAGTCACAGTGTTAACTTGCGCCTCGTATTGTGCATCGCTTAATCTTTCCCAAATCTCCTTTTCTGAATCACCTAGAGAAAATGACTGTGCATAGATATAAATGAAAAATGTCTTCTCTCTTCTCCCATTAGGCTCTGTGCAAGGACAACATCTTCAAAGGACTGCAGTTCTTCGCAAAGGGCTATGGGAAAAACAACGAGCCCCTGAGAGGATACTTCCTCACTTTTGTGATAGCCATGGCATTCATTCTCATTGGTGTGTAGTTCTCTTGTACTACTGAGAGCCAAAGATCCTTCTTATTACTCAGGGTTTTGTTTTTAGCTTGAGAAATTAGCTGGTTTATATTAATACTCTGTCTGGAAATGTTAGCATTTGTCTAACAAGGAATTCTTACAAGAGGGCATTTAAGGAAGTGGGAGGGGGGTGCTGCAGGTTTGAACCTGAATGTTAGAAGATCATCTGGTCAGGTGCAACTGAACCCTCCCTCCAATGCAATACTTCCTAACCATGGGAGATTATAGACACCCCCACCCTCCTACCCCAGCTCTACGCATGATAGCTCTAAACTGGCAAGCTGAATTGTCTATACCAGTCTTTCTTTAAATGCAGCTCCTTGGACATCTGCTCAGAATCACTGGGGTGTCCAGAAAGTCCATGTTTCACAGACCCAAAGCCAGGGCTTCTGAGTCGGAATCACTGAGGATTTGGAATCTGCATATTACGTGCTCCTCAAATAAATAGCTCCTAGACTTTTTTTTTTTTTTGATAATCACTTACCTGGACTATAGTTTGAGTTTTCTTTCCCAAGCAAGCTAGAAGCAATCACACGGCCTTAAATAGGCATGTTTGTCAGCTTCACAACCCATGCTCTCTATTAAGACCAAAACTAAGGGTACTTCTTTGCATGTGAAACAATTTATGTGTCCTTATACAATGTCTGTGAAGTTGGGCAGGGGGGCGCTACATATAACTCATTCAATTTGTTAGACATTTAAGAAATTAAATAAAAAGATTTATAGAGAGAGATATTCTAGTAATGTAATAAAATGTTTAAGACTTCAAATTATTGTCTTCTGCATTTAAATGTTTTATTACATATGTGGGATATGTTGGGGACATGCGCATATGTGCACATGCCTGAGCTTGCTTGCAAATAGGACAAGAGACAACTTGTGGAAGGTTCTCTTCTTCAGCGTGGGTCCCCTGAGGTCTAACTCAGGATTGGCAGCACACACCTTTCCTTGCTGAGCCGTCTTACCAATCCACTTCTGCATGTAAATGATCACACAACCAACTTTTTAAAAATGTATACATTTAATTATCTCCTTTAAAATCATTGATCTAATGTAATGTATACTTTACATTATCTCCTTTAAAACCATGTGGATTTCCATCCTACAGGGCCCCTTTACTGCTTACACACAGCAGACAAATACAGGATTTTGTGCCTTCAAAATTGCTACAGAAGAGTTCATTATGGGCTTAGTCCTGGTGTAGACAGAGGTCTGGAGGGTCTATTTTCTGATTGGCAGGTTTTCTTCAGTCTCACCTCAAGGAAACATTGGCTGAAAGTATGTATATAACCTCAAAGAAAGTTCTTAAACTTTGATTCTGGCTATGTTTTCAGTTTCTTACAGATTTTAGCTATGTTGTCAATTTCCAGAAGAAGTTGCGCTCCTAGGCCTGCACAGCTGTCCGCTCCCCACTGTTACTGCTCAGATCTTCATGCACTGCTTTGTTTCTCTTGCAGCGGAGCTGAACGTCATCGCGCCCATCATCTCCAACTTCTTCCTGGCCTCATATGCACTTATCAATTTCTCCTGCTTCCATGCCTCATATGCCAAATCTCCAGGTAAGCCAAAATAAAAACACAAGTCTAAACAGTTAGTTTGTCTCAATAAAATGAAATAAGTCTGTGAAAAGTGTTCAATCTGTGTTCTTATGTTTTCTTATATCTTAGTAGGCAGCATAATCCACTTTATTTTGGTGAGTTGGGGGGGATGACTTCCGAAATAGAAAAAGAATCGTGTGAGCAATGGCCTTTTTGACCAACCGTAAAGTCAATTTTCTCCCGTGGCAATAAATTATTCATTGCAAGAGAAACCACATTTATTTCAGCAGTAGAAAAACACCACTATTTATTTCCAGGGTAAAAGTGACCACAGAAGTGGAATAAATGTATATATTTGAGACTTCCTCACTATCAATTTGTTTCCTGCCCATGGTGCAGAAGAGAAGGATGAGCAGTTCCCATAATTACCTGCTGAGTGCAGGCAATGCAGATCTACTGTCGTGCTCACGCCAGGGACATTGGCGCACAATTGGACTGCCGTGTTAAATGGTTTAAAACCCCACACCCAAGAGTCTTCCTCTACCTCATCATGTCTTCTTTGCTTCTACTGTCCCCAAAATCCTTCTGTCACTTCTAGAAAGTCATCTGACGAGGTCATATGACTCTCAGAAAGTCTTTCACCATGAGAACTTTCATCCAAGATACTAAAGAAATACTCGTTTACCATTTGTAGCCATCTTCAGCCTTATTGGCAGCAAAGTTTGCAAAGGAGGCCAGGAGCCTGTGTCCACACAAGGCTACTAGTTATAGAAAGGAAGGCTGGGGAACCTGTATCTACAAGAGGCTACTGATTTATAGAAAGGGAGGCCATGGGGCCTGTATCCATGCAGGGCTACTGGGTTATAGAAAGAAACTGAAGATTTTTAGTTTAGTGTGGTATGTCTTTTAACATGAATCTGTAATCCCATGCCATGTTTTGCTATGTTAAAAAGAAACGAAAAACAAAAACAAACAAAAAAAGCCAGTCACAATAATTATCAGCAGAATGGAAAGGAATAGTGGGAAAGAGAAAGGGGTAGAAAAATAGAAAAAAAAAAACATGTATAGGAAGACACATGTAGATACACAAACCCCAAATATGACTCGCCAAACCCACCCCACCCCCCTCCCCATCCACCTGACCTCCATCAGCTGTCTCTCAAAAGGGAGCAGAACTAAGAAAGCAGGGCTTTTCTAATGGCGTTCTTGGAGTGCTGTTTCCCTCTTGTGGCCATCCAGGAAATTGCTCCTCTAGACAGTGTTCCACTGGATTTCAGTGACTCCAGATTTAAAGTCCTGTTCACCCACTGACCAAACACATCCTCCAACTCAGGTTTTCCCATTCTGGCCTAATTGTTTCCTGGTCTCTTTCACTTCAGAAAACTAACTGGGCATAGAAACCTGTGTGTATTGTAACTGTGACAGATACGTTGTAAAATATGATGCTACACATATTGATGTGATGAGTTTAAGGACCACTGATAGAAACATTCCTCCTCCTCTCTGAGATTATTGCATTTGAAGGAGAAAGCGCTGTCCTCTTAGGGTGACTCTAAGTCAGGTTGTCTCCATCGCTCTGCCAATGGAGCAAAGGCCACTTTAGCAACTGGCCCTTGCATAGACAGGGAGTTCCTCCATCCCACCTGTTGCCCAGACACCTCTTTCCCACCCTACCTTCTTCCTTTCCATTCCGAGGACGCTGATTTTAGATGCTTGAGGTCTGGTAGTTGGGAGGACAACAAGGACATGCAGGAAGTATGGAGGGGTCTGGTACATGACCATCTACTTTCAGAGTGCTTTATATTTCCCGAATTTTACAGCATTGTCTTCGGTACAAACAATATCTTTGTAGATCAAGGATCCAACATCATAGAAAAAACAGTTAAGAGTTAGAAAATGGACCTGAAAACTACATTTTTTATGCCTGAAAATGACATGCTATCTGCACTCCTATAATACAGAGTAGTATAGCAGCAAAATTTTCCTGTGTTATTTTTCCTTCCAGGATGGAGGCCAGCATATGGGATTTATAACATGTGGGTATCTCTTTTTGGAGCTATTTTGTGCTGTGCAGTCATGTTTGTCATCAATTGGTGGGCAGCTGTCATCACCTATGTCATCGAGTTATCCCTCTACATCTATGTGACTTATAAGAAGCCAGGTAAGAGAAAAGAGACCACATAGGATGGCTTCAAAGGCTTTCTCTGTCTATCCATTGAATGTGTATCATGTAGCTTCTACATACTTACATGTAGTGTATGCAAGGCAGTTCATCACTATGCTGCGTAATAAGGACAATGGTAATTAACAGCACGGAGCACTATACGTGTCCTGTGCTCATTTAATCTGCACAGTGATGCTGCACATTTGGTGGTGTGAGACTCATTTTAGAGGAGAAGAAATTTCAAAGAGTTGATCACTTGCCAAAATACAAGTCAGGGTGTGACAGCTGACATTTAGACCTTAGGCATGTGACCCCAAACCTCACAAACCTCTCCTTCTTCTAATGTCCTAATGAGATAGGGCCCCTGTCCTCAAGGACTTCTCAGACTCAGAGTCAAGCAATTAGCTATAATACAGTATATTAAGTATCACAAGAGCAGTATAAACAGATTGCTAGGAAGAGGGGGAATGTAAGCAACCTCGGTGTTCAAAATTCTTTCTTGGATTGTAGTTTGCATTCACAGAGCCAGCTACTCTACATGAATTTAGTAAATATTTGTTGAATGAATGAATTAAGTTCTAAAACAACGTCAAGCCAGTGGAGGTGGGTAATGTCAGAGCCAGAGAATGAGAATCAAGGGAGTGAATTGCGAATGCATGCAAGGGTGTGGAACATCTGGGAAATCTCAAGACCTTAACAGAAATAGAGTTCTTGAAGACCACGGTGGGGCAAGAAACATCCTGGAAGGATAGCCACTCCACCTAAAAGCAAGGCCACTGTTACAGGAAAAAATCTGGACATTGTGAGCACCATGGCCTGAGCTTCAGCTATTGACTTCAGAATGCAAGAGAAAGGTGAACACAGAAGCATTCAGGGACCAGAATTCAGTGTTGAGAGGCCCAGGGCCATCATGGTGTCCCTTACCTTACTCTGTCAGCGAGGCAGAGATGGGCACAACTACGCCAGAGGGTTTTATTGTTGGTTTTGTTATCAATTTATATATTGTTAACAACAGGTACAATTTACAGCTGGGAAAGTTCCACCCCCTTTAGATGTACAGGTGTAAGATTAGACAAACTTGTAAAGCCCTGTTGCTGTTACAATAAAAGTGTAGGATTTCTCCAGGAGTCCCCTTAGACAACTGTGTATTCAGCCTCTTCCTTCAGAACTTAGCTCCTAGCAACCAATTTTCTAACTTCTGAACCTATATAGTTTTGTCCTTTCCAGGATATCATATAAATTGAATCATGGCATACAGTCTTTATGGATGTCTTTGTGTTAGCATGAACTTTTAGATTTGTCCATACTGGAGCATGTATAAGCAATTTGTCCTTTGATATTGACAAGTGGTGTTCTGTATATGGATATACCACAACAAGTTGTTGTCACTGATTGACAGTTGATGGGCATCTGGGTCATTTTCAATTTTGGATATATATTATTAGTATATATTAATATCATATATATTGTGTATACATATATACAATATATACATAAAATCCAAGTGGATCTGAGTTTTCATTTTTGAGTACATGCCTAGGAGTGAGACTTCATACATGGTGTATATAACTTTATTACTAGATTGTCTGCCAGAATAGCAGTGTTATTTTCCATTCCAAACAGCATTTTAAAAAGGCGTCCTGGTCACTCCACACCCTTGTCAGCATGTAGTATTGTCAGTTGGTTTTTAAAGTCCTTGTAATAGAGACATAATCCTAGTTGCTGTCACTCAACTTGCATTTTCCTAGTGACTAATGACACTGAAAATTTTACATGCCATTTATATATCTTATTTAGCAGCTACCTAAATCTTTTGTCTTCTTTTGAATTGTTTTCTAACTCAGTTGTCAGGTTTCCTTGTGTATTCTGGGTCCTCTTGCAGTGTGTGCTTTCTTTCTAACTATGTTCTCTAGGCCTATGGCTTTTCTTTTCATTTCCCTAATAATGTGTTTTTTATCAATACACGCTCTTATTTTTTATCAAAACTAATTGATCTTTCTTTTCTGTCTTTTATCTTTTGTATTTGTGTGTGTGTGTGTGTATGAGAGAGAGAGAGAGAGCGAGAGTCAGAGAGACAGAGACAGAGAGAATCTGAGACATCTTTCCTCAACCCAAGGCCACAAACATTTAGAACTTTTGACACTTTGATAATTGATTAAGGTCTATTATCTGAGGTGTTAATTTTGGTATATGGAGTGAACTGAGGTTCATTCTTTTACGTATGAATATGAAATTGACTAGTAGATGTTTTAGCCCTAAAAGAATGAATGTCAGGCCAGGAGGAGAAATGTTTGCCACATCAGCCTGAGGACCTGAGTGCAATCTTTTAAGCCACTCACAAAACTCATCCTCTGACCCCCGATGCATGTGCTGTGGCATGCATGCCCCCCACAGTAATAATATAATATAATATAATAAAAGAATGAATGTTCTGAGGTCTGCTTGTCTGGTACATAATCAATACTGTGTATTACTTTGTTCGATCCTCACATGAAGCACTCACTTGTCCCCACTCTCCACAGCAAGCCCTGGAAGACGGTCATCTTGGGGGTAGATCTGTCAGTTCATCTCTGGGACTTCTCATCATAAAACTTACAGAGTCCATTTAATATTTAAATTAACTGCTTTTGAAGCAGGGAGAGCACTGAGCCTCCTCCTTTGAAGATTGGTTTCTAGCAGATGAGACTGAGACACTTGCTAAAGAGCCTAAAACTCTGCTCATGACCCCCACAAGCAAGAATTCCCACACTGGCCAGCTCTGCCACTCAAAATAGAGAGATGACTGTGCACTGCCTCTGCATATAGAAATCCCTCTTTTGCTTCCAATATAAGAATTTGTGAAGACCTTGAACTTTCCGCCTGCGTGACCATCAGCATGCAGGCTTTCTTCCTAAACAAGCTTTCCTTGTGACCCTAGCTGGAAGGAAGGCTCATTCCTAAGGATTCTCGTGGGTGCTCATGGGAGAGTCCAAGGCTCTTTCCAGAAAACACTATGTTGTATTTTCTCTAACTTGGGCTCTAACCACTGCTTACATAGGCGAGAAAAACTGCAGGAGAGAATGGTTTATTAAAAATGATTCAAGGCATGCAAAGAAAAGGTCAGTTTGGGGAGGTACCAATTTCCGCCTTTGTCCACAGATGTGAACTGGGGCTCCTCCACGCAGGCCCTTTCCTATGTGAGCGCTTTAGACAATGCTCTGGAGTTAACTACAGTGGAAGACCATGTGAAAAATTTCAGGTAAAGTTGGCTTTTGGGGTCTTCTGGTGTTCCATATTCCAAGTGACTTTCCTTTAGAGGAGCTTTGTGGGCACATTTCCAATATGAATAGCAAAGTTACCGCTTCTGAAAAGAGCAGAAGGCCTGCTTTCTTGGATATAATTCATGCTGTTACCAAGAGCAAAAATGAACATGTTTCCCCTTTTGTTTTGAGCTCCACCCACCCAGAGCCACAGCTCCTCACACCGCTGTGTCCTTTTCCATGCCTGGAGACACACAGACCTGAAGGCTATGACTTCAGAGGGTTATCTGCCAGATCCCTGGGCTTCTTAATCATTGGTCGTATCTGCATTCAACCTGATGCTTTATGATTTAATGAATTCCCTTAGGAGAAGAAGCAATTTTAGATCTTAATTAGTTGTATGTTATAGGCTAGCAAGGAAGAGAAATGGAAACACCTATGAGACAGGGACAGGATGTGGAGGTTTGGGGTGATGTAGTACCCCCCAAATGAAAGACAAGGGAAGTCCAAAACTACCCTTTCCCTACTTCACTCTTTTGCTATGATTAATGAAATGAGACATACTAAAATGACAGGATGTAGAGTCAAGATAATTTAAGAATTCTGACAGGAAATCCAAGAAATGAATAAGAAATGAGTATTCCATTTTTCCAAGTTTTCTTGTTTTTCTTAACTTTCTCTTATTTCCTTTAAAGGGTTCTGGGCTCACATGCTTCTTGCACTGGCCAATTCTCATGTCTTCTTTATTTTTCAGACCCCAGTGCATTGTCTTAACAGGGGGACCCATGGCAAGGCCTGCTCTCTTGGATATAACCCATGCCTTTACGAAGAACAGTGGCCTGTGCATCTGCTGTGAAGTCTTTGTGGTAAGAGTTGCTTCATCCAAAGGAAGTGCTCATCCAAGGGAAGTGCTCACCTTGGGCTATTTTAAGTGCCACAGAAGATACCTACAGTAATAGGAAAGTGACAGAATAGCTTGAGTTCTCCTTGATTCAGGACTATCAGAAAAAGTAATCATGAATATAAATGGATAGATGAGATATATTCCTGATTTCTTAAGAAGCCAACTAAAAGTGATAAATATTTTTAAGACATGGCCTTTGAGTCAGGAAGAACTGAACTGGCTTGGAAGTATCTGGGTTGATAACTGTCTAAATTAAAAGAGTGGGAAGGGTCATACCAGAACATTCATTTGTCTACAGAAGCCGATGAGAAGGAACCAGGCATAATGTCTTAAATGGCCACACATGGAATTTAGATTAAATATTTGGATAATTATGGTGACACTACAGATACCTAGGGAATTAAGCTAAGCTTTCTGTAACTTTAACAGAGTTGAGAGACTTCCAGATTGTTCAAGGACCATGTAGGGGACTAAAAAGTGATGAGGTTTTCTTGGGAAGTTTTCAAAGTAGATGCTAAGAAGTCAACAGTAATTATTTACTAATTCTCCAAATGGAGACAAAACATTGGAACTAGAATAAAAAACACATTTAAATCCTCCATACTAGCCTACCTCTGCATGTATTCTCATTTCCCTCTTTCTTTCTCCTCTCACGCTGTCTCTCTGCTCTCTCTCTCTGTCTCTCCTCTCTCCCTGTCTCTATGCACTCTGTCCTCTTACTGTCTCTATGCTCTGTGTCTCTCTCCTCTCTGTCTCTGTGCTCTCTCTGTGTCTCAGTTGAAATCTTTATCAATACATGTTTATGTGACTAAATACATAGTCTTCAAAGAGTTTTTACCAGATTCTTCCTTGATCCACAGGCACATAAGATGCAGAAAACAAAGAAAATGAGACAGGAAAGTTAAATCATGTTCTGGGCCACCTTGATAAGAAAATGGCAATTGGGATGTCAGTGGAGGCCCCCCAGGTGCCTCTTATTAGGCCACGAGAAAGAAAGCCTAGACAGCCTGATCCCTGGGAGAACTGTCACAATCAAAGACCACTATTTACACTTCCAGTTTCTGCCAAGGAATGGGTGTGAGGAAGTAGTGACCAGGGGCAGTCAACTTTGCAATGATGTAGTAGACTAATTTACTGTATTGCATCCTGAGAAACAGTCAAACATCTTTTTAAACTTGGCAATATCCTAAATGCTATGAAAGTTGGCCACATTCTCTTTTCTTTCCCTGCTTATATGAAAATAACGCAAACAATATTACTAAACACAATTATCCAGTAGGGAGTGGAGGGGGCTACTGAATAGGGAAGATTGACAGGTTAAGTTATGGCCAACTGCGACTCCAGAGAATTTGTTAAAAACTTATCAAGAGCCTTTCTCCCTTATTATCAACTTTAGTGCCCTGGATTAGTGGATTTCATTTTGGCCAATATAATATAGGAACTGGTTTTGATGGAATAAGCAGTTTGGGGTGTTTTTCTTCTCTAGCAATTTAGAGAAAATTTGGTTTAGCAAGCAATAAAATATCTTCAGGACTGGAGAAATGAACAAGAAATATAAACAGTCATATATTGGCAAGGGAGAAAAGGTCTTCCATAGAGACAAGGAACCCTGCTTTTAATTAACCCTTTGATTCTTTAAACTACAAAAAGGAATATGGTCCTGGAAACCCCTTTCATGTGAAGTAAGTGTGTGACCTGGTAGTTTCACATGTATGTTGGCCAGCACTTCATATTATTGTGCTGATGTCACCATGAAAAGCCCAGGAGTCCTACTCCCCAGTGCTGCAATTCTCTTGGGAACAAAGAAGAGTTACTGTGTCAATTAAAGGCTTCCCGGTTAGTTACTTCCTGTGAAGTCCTGAGGCTGTGGATGCTGTTGGAATGTTTATATTCAAGTCTCCATTGTCAATCATCTTTCTAAGGAAACAGATGGGAAGGGATGCAGGGGAGGCAGAATACCACTGGAAATGTTTTCCCCAAAGTATACTGATGATGGTTAAGCCAGCCTTATGGAAATGTTAAGTAGTAATGATGGAAAGGGAACTACAATTTTGTTTCCAGCTCTAAGAAGCTAGTTCCCCTGGGTCTTTGAAACTAACAATCAAGTTTTAAATCACTATTTTACCACTTACTAGCTTTGATTCCCTTACACATATAGTTTAGTCTCTCTGAATAAAAAAAATTACCTGTTTGGGGGTCATTGTGAGAATTATACATGCTTTCCAGCACTATTTCGTATCTGTCAGATAGCGAATACTGAATTAACTTTATTTGTTATTACTGGTAATGTTGTTGCTGTTACTATTGAGGGAATATGATAGTTGCTATTTTCATTCCTGAAATATGTGGTCTTCAACAAAACACACATATGCTCAAGTCCAGACAGTGGATTTGCTAGACCTCTATTCATCTAACCCATATTCAGCCATTGAAGCTCCCCTCTCTCAACCTCTCCCATTATCTTTTTTAAATTCAGCCTCACAATTTCAGATGAGGGACACTAAACTCTTTACATCAGTGGGCATCTATCAAGATGCTAATGAAATAATGACATGACAAGATACAGGAAGAATGAAATGACTTCAGAATGGGCACTAGGATATATGGTGAGATGGTTCATGGGCCAAATCAGAAAAAGGGAGAAATTAGCCTTCTGGTAGTTCCAACTAGAGAAGCAATGAAAGCAAAGCCATAAGACAATCTGATACATAAATATATGCATTTTCCAAAGTTTTACTGTTCAAATTGGGGAATTAATTCATGTGCTCACTTTTGAGAATGCTGACTGAAGTTAATCTCAATAATATATTAATTGGATGATAAAATCCATTTTTGTGATCATGACATATTAGGATATTGGTTAATTATGTTCCAGGAAATCTCCCCTCCTGTTAGTTGACTTTAACCTTCTTGCATTTGCATTACCGTCTAGCTTCATATTAGCAAGTATACTACAAAGACATCATAATCCCTTTTAGCAGAAAGAAATTCTGTGTGAAATATTTTTATGACTTTTTAGTATGGCAAATTCAGTCATTAAAATAAATCTCTCTGTCACAATTCATGTATAATCCAGATTTTTTAATACTAACAGACATATGTTAGACTATATTTCCTTAAATAAATACCATTTTCCCCAGGGGCTTACAGTCATTGCAGGGTAGCTTAGAACTTTGATGATCCAACATCTTTCTTAGCTGTTCCTTATTCTTCTGACTGATGGTTGTAGTCAACATTAAATGACTTTCCATACAACATTCTTTCCTCCTCTTGTAGTGGGTGAATGCCCAATGAAGGACTGGTAGCTTAAAATGCACTGGGTCACTGAGTGAAACTTCCTTCATCGTAGCATTTATCTGTCTTTAGTCCAGGTCTTCTGGTTCAATACCATCTTCCTTTTCTATCTTCATTGAAGTTTCTTGCTTTTTTGGCTAATACAGGACAATCAAATTGTTTTGAAGTATTGGGAACCTCTAGAACATATGCTGGCAAACAACTAACTATACAAGGAACTTGATCCAATTTAAACAAAATACTAAAATGGAAGGGGCCCCAAAGCTGAACTAGCGCTGTATGATAGAAATATAATATGTGTTGCATGTATAATTTAAAATCTTCTAGGTGTCAATTAAAAAGATAAAAAGACAGATCAAGCTATTTTTAATCATTTCTTCTGTTTAACTCAAATATGTCCAAAATGTTATTTCAATGTACAATCAGCATAAATGCTAAAGAGACTTATTTTAGATATATTAGTGTTCTGAGACTTCTAGGATATTTCATCTGAAATACATTTCAAATGCTCAATGGCAACATGTGGATAAGAACAGTTATGCTGGGCAGTGATGACCCAGAAATTGCCTTGTTTGTATAAATATATTTGCTCTCAAAATAGAACACCAGGAGTATCAGTGGGTCAGTCCAGAGCCACATTTAAGCCCAGTACCTGACTCCCAGCTCAGTGACATCTCAGCTGTGGTAGAGCAGACACAATGCAGAATCAAGCCTGGGGTTTCAGTGAAATTATGAATACCCACTTGCAATAGTAGAAGTTAGCCATGGGTAGGCACCCAGTACTTTTCAAGCTTAGTACTAGATACCTCACTTAGTATAACTACGTAGGCAATCATGGAAGAAAAGCACCTTTATCCCCATGTCAGAATAGGATTTCAAAGCTCAGAGATAACCCATGACCTCCAGAATAGTCAAGCATAGGGCTAGACAAGTTCTGTCTGACACCAAAGTTTGAACTTATCTTCCTGTGTCCCAAAGCCCTTTGTTTCCTATCAAAGACCTCCCAGACTGTCATTCTAAGTGTAGTTTGGGGAACCAATAGCGTTTGAATCATCTGGGTCCTTATTAGAAATGCCAACACTCACACCATGCTCTGTACCCTCTAGGGGCAGTGCACTACATGTTATCAAGATCTCAAGGGACTTGAAAACTAAGACATCCAAACAAAATGCAAACCACGCTATAGACTGGAGAAATTAGGTGGTTCATCTGCCCTATCAAACACATAGGCAATAATTAGAAATACCTCTTGGACTGCATTAGAACATGAGAAGAAGCGAACTAACTTGGACCTTTATGAAAGAAGAACTCTTAAACAGTGATTTCCAGAATGAAACCTTGAGGTTACAAGGTGCTTTGCCGCCACCAAGCCTGCCCCCCCCTTCTCTTAGCTTGTCTCACTCCCCTTACATCACAGACATGTGACCTTTTACTCCCACCAAATTTAATGAATGAGGAGGAAGCATCAACTCGCCCGATTATAAATGTATCAACGCAGGGAAAGAGTGATATGAAGGAATTCTTACCACACCAAGAAGCGGTGCCTAGCGTTCACCAGAATTGTCAGGGTGTGCAGCTTGTGGCCGAATTTGCGGTTCATCATGTGCTGGCTCTCTGCAGTGAGAGATTAGTCCCGGGTATCTTGATCTTTACACCCACAGCTCCCAAGAGCTCTGTCCCATTCTGGAAATCGGATCTAACTGAGACTTCTTTGAGTCTCATAAACATGGTTCTGAGTGTTGAATCACGGTTGATTGTGAATTCATGCTGAGTGTTTTCCCTGAGTTCCGCCATACCCTCAGCTTTTGTTTCCATTCTGCGCAAGGCAGTTATTTACGTAGGTATCATTAAGCCTAGGTTTGGGGTTGAAAATGAGTCATGTGAGCAACATAGGTCCTCTCCAAAAACAAGGTTCTAGGCAAACCTCATTTAAGGAGGTGCTTTTCCCACAGTCCCATCTCTTCATTTAATAGGGTTTTAATGACTGATTTTGTCACTTGGAAAACAACAGTAGTGTGGTGTATAATAGCTGGGCTTCTAACTAATGTTTCATTGTGTCATACAGGGACCTCGCAAGCTGTGTGTTAAGGAGATGAACAGCGGCATGGCTAAAAAGCAGGCCTGGCTTATAAAGAACAAAATCAAGGCATTTTATGCTGCAGTAGCAGCAGACTGCTTCAGAGACGGTGTCCGGAGTCTCCTCCAGGTAAGGTGGGCTCTGAGGGAGTGAGCACAAAGGCAGAAGGTAGCATCTGGGTTGCATGAAGTTCCTCAAACCAATGGCCAGAGTTAGGTCACTCACCAAGGAAGCATCAGAGATCAAAACAGATGCTCAGGAAATGCGTTTCAAATAACTTGGGATAGTCAGGGCTTGAGCAAAAGCTGAGGTTCTGTTACACTGAACTCGGAATGATCCACTGGAAACAGAAAATGAGTTTGCCTTTGGCTACCAGCACCATTCTGTCCCCATACTCACTGAAATGCAAATTTGTTCTGGCGGTTGAGGACATTCAGGATCCTATTAAAACTTCAAACTCTTTGCGTCTTGTGCAGCAGATAGCTGTGGTCCAGTCAGGCACAGTTTCTCTTTTTTCTTTTGCAAATGACGGGTGGGCAGCTGCTAGACTCCACTAATAAATGCATGTGGATCAGGGCGGAAAATCTCCCCGGCCTTGGGAATTATTTCCAGAACATTAAATAAATGTGATCATCTCTATAGCTACATGCTGGCGTCTGCAGCTTCCGATCCCTCTCTCTCGCTCTTTCCTCTGCCCTTCCCTCTTCTGTTTCTACAGTGACGACAGAAACTTGTTCCCCAGTTCTCAGCTCTGCAATTTAAAGTACAAAAAAATTTTAAAACAATCCAAGAGACTTTCTGAATATAGCATTTGTGTGTTTCAAAATGTTAACCCAGTGGCCACAAAAATGTTAGATGGCATACAGAGAGAGGCAATAAGTAATTATTTGGCCCTGAACTTGCAACATCCCAACCTCTCCTCATCATTGAATCAATTGATCAGCCTTTGCAGTCACAGCCTCTTTCCAGGAATTCTACAATAATAACCTGTCTGGCAAGATACTCCTACTTGTGTAACAGTGGCGTGACCATTATTGAGATAACTAACCACTTTTCTATTGGATTTGAGGCCACTCCACAGAAAGGAAGTCATACCTTTTAATATAAACCAGGTCAAGAACCTGTGAGTAGGGAGGTCATAGGTCTCAGAGAAGAGACTGCTCTTCTTGTTTTACTAAATAGACAGAATGTTTCTAGATTAGTGCTGGCCCCAGCCTTCATCCGAGAAGCTTCTTTTACAATAGGCGCTACTTAATGTTGAGACTAACAACTAGTCAAAGTATGAAGGCTAAGTGATTGTAGAGAACTGGGCTCTAAAAGGTTTATCAATACCGTCCCCTCTAAGGCTGGGAAGTACCACAGAGGAGGGGGATAAAGAAATAAGAGTCAGGAGCTAGGGCTGCTATAAAACTGTGTCTTCTGGACATAACATGGCATCACATCCATGAACTCACTACAACTGTGGCTACCTGCACAAGACCTATACAAAATTGGACCTGTAATCATTTCATCATGCATGGATGAGGGGGTTCATGAGACCTTGCCCCTTACGGAAGAAGAACTATGGGCTATTTATGAGTGCTGGCGGAGGGAGGCCTTTTTCTTCAGTAGTATATCCACCAATAAGTTGGCGGTGAACTATTAGCAGCCTCACAAATATTCACGTTCATGCAACTGACCACAGTTAAACTCAGTGGGCTGAGAAAATGACCATCAAAACAGATGGCGACTTGTTAGGGAAAAGGGCTTCAGCAAGAGGCAAGGGATAGACAGGGGGAGAGGGGGCATGAAAGAGCCCAGAAGATTCAGCATAGACATGAATAAATTTTTCAAAGGTTTTAAAAAATCATAAACGAGTCATGAAAAATGAAAGTAAAGAAACACACAAATAAATATAAAACAAAAATTGAACATGCAGATTCACACGAAGCATATATCAAGTATGTAAAGGCCAGACTCATGTTAGCAATCCCTAATTGTGCCTATGTCCTTGTAATCATGGCTATGTGCTCTAGAATGGCTAGTGCTGGTCATTTCTTTAGTATCTTCATGACCCACATGGCCTTCCCTCACTAGCATCTCTTCTTAACTTGAGTTGTCACTGTCCAATTAAACTTGAAGATCCAGTGTAAATGTCACTTCTCCATGAAGCTGCGAGCCATCAGCTGGAGCACAAGTCTTCCTGTGTGTCCTCAGTTGCATTTATATATTGTGTTACAATTGCACATGTATATCTGGTCTCCTCTACATTATTCCAAACTCCTATCACAGGTGCCTCAGACATCACTTTACAATTAATACGGGCTTGATAATATTACCACATTAAATCTGATTAACTAGAAGCCGTATCCTGTCATCTAAAAATGACTGAAACCTTTGATGTGAAATACAAAATCTCAGGACACTATCATGTAAGAGCATTGTTAGAAGTACAGCTCAGCTGTTCTTCAGCAAATGATATAAGGAAGTTTTCAATGGTCTCCAAAACATGGATTTCATTGTTGATGACATTTTGGACATCACAGGTGGAAATAAGTTCTGAACCTCTAAGTTATAACATGCACATCGACAGTTAAGTCAACCCTTACTTGGTTTTAAATTATTGAACCATTTTAATGAGTGTGTCAGAAGTAATGCAAATGACTGCTAATTTAGCAAAGCTACATTCCTGTCATCTAAAATCCATTTATGGCTGAGATGATTTAGAACTGATCTTCCTATTTTATGCTTGGGTACGGGCATGAAGGACATACATTAAGATGTAATCTAATCTTCAGATCATTACTTCAGTGCTCTTTGACATCATTTTTCATCTGCAGTAGTATTTCACTGGCATGGGAAGGATTTCTCATGTGTTTGTGTCCTCTGTTTAGGCCTCAGGCTTGGGGAGAATGAAGCCAAACACTCTAGTGATTGGATATAAAAGAAACTGGAGGAAAGCTCCCTTGTCAGAGATTGAGAACTACGTGGGAATCATACAGTAAGTGATGGTTTCCAGGACGAGCCCTTGTTTATAATGCCCTAACCAGGACAGCATACAACCTGTATGCACAAAGCTCTCTTATATCAGATTCAGTTTCTGGAGAACACATTCTCCTGCTCCCATAAGTTCTTTACTAAAGTGGACAAATAAAACCCACACCACCATTAAGTAGCCCAGCAGATGTTTAAGGTATATAGGTTGCCCAGGTATACAATGTAAGGTACAACCTAAAAGTCTATCTACTAGATTGAAGGCAAAGGACAGGTAGAATCCTTCCACTTCTTAATGGTGGTGCTTAGGTAGAGTTCTGTGTTAGAATACACCTGATTTGTTAAAGTGAAGATAATTTACGTTTTGAATTTTAAGTGGAACTTTTCATATCATTCCCTGAAAGTTCAGATTGACTTCTTACTGAAAGCTTGTTGCTTATGGTGGCCATCGTAGACTACATCAATGATACTGAAGAGGGTGGCCTGACCAATCAATCACAGACTGCGGTGATGCTGCGGAGGGGGGCCCTGACTAATAAGGGATTCTGAGTCTCAATTCTGCAGATGAGCCAACAAGGGAACTTCCAGAGGGAAATGTTTAGTTAACACAAATAAGTAATAGGCTTGCTTTCAGATTTATGACCTGTAATACAGGAGCTAAGATAAACCAAGTAGCTTCTCCTTCTTGTCTACGCCCTTTGATCTCTTTAGGCTGGGGCAGAGAAGGTGTCAGAGCCATCTGCAAGTACATAGGATTTCCAGGGGGAAGCGCTTCTTTGAAGGGCCTATGCAGAGTCTGTAACAAAAGTTCCTCAGAGAAACTGGAAACCTTTGTGTTGGTTTGTTGGCACAGTCTCAACTATGTAGGACTGGCTGTCCTAGAAGTTACTATGTAGACCAGATTGAGCTCAAACTCAGAGACACACCTGCCTGTGCCTTCCAACTGCTATACTGGAGATGTTTTAAGCCATGAAACTGGTGTCCAATGACACTGGAAATGTCTTCCCAGTGGCAGGGAGGGAAGACAGATAATTTCAAAAGATTTTGCAATCTATAAATGTTCCATTCTAAATATATCTGATTGTTTTGATCACCTAATAACAGATTAATTATTTTAAAGTATGTAGAGAACTCCTAATCAAAACATCTAGCTGGTGGGATTATTAGCAAATCAGCTTCATGGTAAATCGTGTCTTTACCTCTACCCAGAACTTACTTTTTAAAGGCACAAAGGGAAAAAACAAACCCAAAGAAGATATCTGCTTTTAGCTATATTCTAAAGTGAATTTTAACAGCTTCATGATCTCAGAATCATAGAGACAACTTACCCCATGCAAAGGTTAAAGAAAATACTGAAAACATTTAACATGTTGCTTCCCCTTTCAGTGATGCCTTTGACTTTGAGATCGGTGTAGTCATCGTCAGAATTAGCCAAGGGTTTGACATCTCTCCAGTTCTCCAGGTACAAGGTAAGTATTTTCCTTACCCACTCAACAGATGGTGAATTGTTCGAGGTGTTGGGGTCAGAACAGTGCTCAGTGTGAACAAAATGATTCTCCCTCAGTCCATGGTGTGCACACTCTACCTGTGTTTTCCCATGGCTAACACAAGTGACTTTTGTCCTGGTAATCAGATGTGTAGATTAAACTTAGGGTAGTCAATGATTTTTCTTATTATCATACCACAAAGCCAGCATGCTTCAGTACAGTAGCATGCCAAATTAATTTCTATAAGATGTTAAAGAAAATGAAGATTTTTTTTCCTACATGAAGAAGCATGTATTTTGCTCTCAGGTGGCCAAGAACTGGTTTGTAGAAAACATGGGAATGAATCTGAATGGGTCATGTCTGTGAATCATTGAGTAATGCACAGGCAGAAACACTCATTCTGGTCCATACCTGTTTCTTCACTATAGAGAATTTGGTAGATATGAAGTAAGGAGAGAATATGGGAAGAGTTTCTGAAAGATTAGAAGAAAACACGAGTCCTTCTCTTCAGCTGAGCTCCTCTAGTGAATCCTCTAATGACACTAACTCAAGGGGATATTTTGGGGTGCCTATTGTATAGCATGTAGAGTGCAGGTGATGATATTGGTATTAGTGGTAATATGATATTAATAAGCTTGTTTTCTACACTTAAGAAACTGGCGCTGTAGTCGGGAAATGGATATTAGTGTGATCACTATGTATGAATGAGAAATTATGCTAAAGAAGGGGCATGTAATCCCAAATTTCCTGGAAGAAATATGACTTGAAGTTGTGATGGTTTGAAAGAAAATGGCCTTAAAAGGGAGTGGCACTATTAGGAGGTGTGGCCTTGTCGGAGAAAGTGTGTCACTGTGGGGGTGGGCTTTGAGGTCTCATTTGCTCAAGCTTCCCTCCGTGTGACTGTCAGTTGACTTCCTGTTGCCTGCAAGATGTAGAACTCTCAGATATTTCTCCAGTAGCACATTTGCCTGTCTGCTGCCATGCTCCCCACCATGACAATAATGGTCTGAACCTCTGAAACTGTAAGCAAGCCACCCCAGTTAAATGTTTTCATTTATTAGAGTTACTGTGGTCATGCTGTCTCTTCATAGCAACAAAAACCCTTACTAAGACAGAGGTTTAGTGGAGGATTAGGAGTTAAATAAACAATGTTGAGGGACAGAAGAATAATGAGACTTGAGCACAAACATCTCTTGCCCAGAGGTGAGCATGAAGAAAGATTAATATGAGGAACAGGAATGGGTGGGTACATGCACAGCCAGAGCAGATCAGCACCAGCAAAGGGAAAAGTGTGAGGTAGGCAATATTGAGGGCTTCCCAAGCCTCTTCTGCTGTATTCAAAGGGTGGATTGAAGTCTGTCACCAACAAGAACTCTCGGAAGGATATAAATGAGGGTATAATTGTCAAAGTTGGCTCACAAAGTTCATACAATTTCAGTCATTTGGGACATGACTCAAAGAATCCTAGAATGGGGAAATGGATGTCACTTTTTCTCTCATATGTGAAATCTAGGTTTTAGTGTATATTCATACATATGTGTGATATGAAAGCAGAATGGGTTGCATTTGGAGGGAGAAAGGGGACCAGTGAGAGGGGGCAGGACAGAGAACAGAAGGTAGTCAGTGGTGGGGGTGGCAAATATGAGCAAGACACAATAATATGTATGTAGGAAAATGTCAAAAGAAAACCACTATTTTATAGGCTAAGAAATTAACTTTTAGAAGTACAAGGGTAGACATGCTAGGAGTAAATGATGATGAATCTAATTTGTTTTAAAATATTTCACCAAGGAAAAAGACTGTAAAATGTGTACTTGAAAAAGATTTCTACAATAATAGAAGCAAGAGGAGGTAACAGCCCAAACTTGGAAATCTCCTTAAGGGATGAGGAGAAAAAGTCAAAATGGACAAATAGTTTGGAGGCATAAAGAGCAGCATTGGAAGTTGATTGAATGTTTAAGAGACAGGGCAGGGTATTGTGAAGAAAAAAAATGCCTTGGTTGGCTGAGTTCTGGGGCTAGCAAAGGAGATTGGAAATGCAAGAAAAGGTTTAAACTTTAATGAGGGATGTGTATCTCAACTCAAAGGCAGTGGGAAATCCTGCTGGGGGTTTTCAGTAGGTAGTCAGTAATCTACCTATATCTGAGATCCAGATTTAGATGTTGTTGACTAAACTGTGCCTTATGAACCACCAATTCATGTGCCAGAGTCCTAATCTTAGTGCCTCAGATTGGAACTGTCTGTAAAGATCATCTTTAATGATGTAATTAAGGAAAAATAGGACCACACTAATAGATCACAATTCAACTTTTTCCAGTGCTCTTACAAAAAGAGATTAAGACAGATAGCTAGGCTTTACCATCTGGGAAGCACCACCCTCAAACCAGGCCAAGTGGCCTTGGGATACTTATCTCAGTTAACACCTTGATATCGGAATTCTCACTTCCAGAACTGTGGAAAACAATTCCCATTGCTCAAGTCTCTCTAATGCATGGTGGTTTTGTGGTTATCCCTGGCAAGTGAAGGTGGAAACTCATTGTTGGTAAGGGGGAAGTGGAAACTGCAACAATGCAAATATAGCCCAAGAGAGAAACTATGAAGGAGCCAGAAGAGACCAGGTGACTGGTGTCAGGAGAGCCATTGGAATAATCAGCATTGTCAGGGACAGCAGGCAAGCCCAGTTAGAGTGAATGAAATATAATTGGCATGGCACAGGAAATTGTAGTGAAAGAGATTTCTCTAGAATTATAGTGTTAAAATCCTTGTTCTGTCTTGTTTAGGCAGCCATATTGTTGAGGTGTCATGGGAGAAACTTCCCTGTCATTTCTAGGAGATGTATCACTGGGTCTGTGCTGGGCACCCCATGATCAGTTGTTCCCTGCATTTTGATCAGTTATGGATTTCTGTAATTCTTCCCGTCTATTATTTATTTTATTTAAATTAGAAACAAGCTTGCTTCACATGTCAATCCCCTCCTCTCCCCCCCTTCTCCTCCACCTCCTCCTAACTCCCCCAACTCCCACCACATCCCCCTTCACTCCCCAGGGAGGGTAAGGCCCTCCATGGTGGATCTCCAAAGTTTGTCATATCATCCAGGGCAGGGCCTAGGCCCTCCTCCATTTGTCCAGGCTGAGAGAGCATCCCTCCATGTGGAATGGGCCTCCAAAGTCCACTTGTATGCCAGGGATAAACACTGATCTACTATCCGAGGCCCCATAGATTGCCGAGGCCTCCTCACTGACACCCACATTCAGGGGGTCTGGATCAGTTCCATGCTAGCCTCTCAGCCATCAGTCTGGGGTCTATGAGCTCCCTCCCCCTTGTTCAGGTTAGCTGTTTCTGTTTCACCAGCCCAGTCTTGACCCATTTGCTCATCACTCCTCCCTGTCTGCAACTGGGTTCCACGAGTTCAGTTCAGTGTTTAGCTGTGTCTTCCCATCTATCCAAAGAGAAGTTTCTTCGATGAGAGATGAAGACCACACATAAGGGTACAAGTATAAGCCCTTAGAATGCAGTTAAGAATTATGCTGGATTAGTAAAGTGAAGTAGTGGTTTCTCCTCTAAGATTTATGGCTTAATTAGTCCTGGGTAGTTGGCTAGGTTTCCAGTATCAGGCACTATTTCCTTCTCGTTGAGAGAGTCTTAAGTCCAATTAGGCAGCTGTTGCTTACTACCAAAATCTGAGTGCCATTGTTGCATCTTTATGGATGTATTACCCTTCATTGTTGTACTTCATGGGCATTACAGCTGGTTAGGACTATTGACTTCTTCCCTCCCATGGAAGCTTGCATAGTACCTTCTTGGTCCAAATCAGATCCTCCAAATCCTATGTTCAATATATTTTTATTTTTTTCTGGATTTGGTGCTGTTGAGTTTTTTAATCTAAAAATAAGAATAAAAATGTAATTTGTATTTAGATTATGCATTTGCTTTGTGTATTATGTTAGTCTCTTCAAGCTTATATATGCAGTGTAGCTGAAAAACATCACCTCTGATCTTGCTTCTCCAGGCACCAAAATGTACCATTAGTTTATTTCTGTGAAGTAATTTAACCACTAGATTCTGTAATGTCTCTTAAAGAACCCTGGAACTGAACTATAGTTCTTTTAAACTTCCCAGAGAACAAATACTATTTCAATCAACTTGTGTTTGAAATATCTCTGCTTCTTAGCCAAGAAAGGCAGAATACAGTTGGATGCTAATAAAATAATTATAAGTACCAACTATCTAGGAAAACAGAATTGCAATGTTACACAAATATATAGAGAACACGTGAAAAACAATCTAACGTAATGATAGAAATTAGCTTGATGTCACAGCTCCATGCTTTGTTATGAAGCTCCGGAAATTTATGGCACAAGCTTTATATTAGATTTTGGATTAGAAGAAACAAACTTGCAGTTCATTATATTATACTGTAATATAGGGCTTAATAAGAGCCTGATAAATCTTCAGTATTGCATTACAGTATGTTAATGATTATCATCATAGCTTTCCCAACACGGGCACCGCAGTGTCATCGCAGATTATAATTTAAGGGAAACATTAGCAACTCAGGGCCCATATACTACAGTTAATAAAGCAGTGAATAGAAATCAGCTTTCTAGGTAATTTACCAGCTAATGACAATCGTTTCTGTACTGTGTCTATGAGAATAACTTTTTGTTTAAATAAGATTGATGCTCATAATGTTATAACTTCTTCACCATAGCAAGTCACCTGATACTGATGAGTAATACTTCTTCTTAATAAATTAATTTATTGCCTGACAACACAAAAATGTGGCACTTCATATTTTTCACATCCCAGAGGTATTTAGCAAGTTTGCCAATTACAACGAAGAATCCAGATTGCACTGGTAGTAAACAAAGTGATAGAGTGTGATTCGCAATTGAGTACCCTGTGTAAGAACTGCACGATTTATGACCTGCTCAGAGCACGGTGATACTGCTGTGTCTGATCGAATGGCTTAGCAAAATAAAGACAGATGGCCTAGCAGTAAATAATGGCTTGATTGGAAGGCAAGGCTGTAGGACTACTTCCTGCCTTCAATCCAGCTTGACTTCACCTGGAGATCAGCAACCGAATCATATAAGCATTTGTGGCTTCAAGTTGATTGACCAAGGAAAGGGTTATAATTTAATAATGAATAAAGAAAAAAGGATATAAAATGGGAGGGGACTATGACTGCCCTCTGGCTTCCTATGCTCCTCCTGCTGCTATCTTTAAGATCAAAGCAGATGGTGAATTGTAAGTCCCCAAATGATATCTTTAAAAAAAGCAATGACACATTAGAACACATGGCCATTTGACAACTAAATGAATTTCAGCCTACAGTCTCTCTAATCGGTTACCATGTGGTTTATGAAGAACTTCAGAACACAGTAACTAAACCACTATTCAAAGCAGTTTGAGTATCAGATCTCACTAGAATTCTTTCGGGGTATGCAGGAAGAAAGTTATTCAAATCCTGCTCTCAACTGACAACCCAAAGGTCATCTACTTCCACCATTATAGTCTTGGGATTCTCTCAAAATCTATAAAACCAAAGGGCAGACAGATATCATGACCAGGTCACTGAAGAACGGTAAAGAGCAGCAGTTCTGAACCTGTGGGTCTCCACCCTAAGTGACCCTTTCACAGGAGTCACCTAAAACCATCAGAAAATGTAGATATTTACACTATGATTCATAACAGTAGCAAAATTACAGTGATGAAGTAGCAGCTAAAGTAATGTTATAGTCACCGCAATATGAGGCACTGTGTTAAAGGGTCGGTCACAGCCTTAGGAAGATGGAGAGCCACTGGTAAAGAGGGATGAACAATGGGGTGTGGTGGCACATTCCTGTAATCCCAGAACTGATGAAGCTGAAGCAGGAAGATGAGGAGCTGAAAGCCAGCCCAGGCTCCACAGTGATCGTGATGCTATCCAAGACTACATAAGACTCAAAGACAGTGGCGACATGGGCTAATGTTAGAACTAGGGTCAGAAGACATGTTACCTTGGACAAATCACCTGCACTGTTTATGTTCAAGTTTCCTTTACAACAAAATGAGGTCTAAAATAGTTCTCCCTGCACACCAGCATCCTAAGCAAAACTCCCATGTGTGAAGACTGTGATTCCTGAATATTCAAAGTGTGGTTGTAGCTGAGCCTAGGATCACAGGCCTGTAATCACAGTACTTGGGGTGAAGAGGTAGAGACTCAAGACAACCTCAGCTACATGAAGACTTTTATGCTACAGAAGAAGACCCTGTCTCCAAAAACAAAACAAAACAAAACAAAAGGACAGTAATGGTGTTTGTGTCTATGGTACAGAATGAGTAATCTTTAATGTCCACCTCACGGCTCCCTAAAACAGCTCCTTCTTGTGAGTAATGGTTACTTTTGCAACTCAGCGAGCTGGTATCCCTCTTAAATGTTTTGCAAAGTTGATTCTTCATTTCCAGTGCAAACAGAGGTATGCAGTCCACCAGATATAATTCAAAACCCAGATCATCCAAGGGGGCACTTCTGTTTCACATTGCAATGTGAGAAGTTACACAGGAGGTCTTCCATCTATCTCCCACAGAGTAAATGATGAAGTGTCACTCTAGTGAAGACTTGTGTGCAGTGGACATGGTACCACTTGTGGCCCTGAAACCCAAGATGACTGCAAGCTGATTTTAGCCTCCAGAACAGATTTCACCAGCCTGTCTGCTCTACAAGAAAATTAATGAATTTGAAACTTAGGAGCGGATTTTGGCCTGTCTCCTGAGCCTCGGGTTCTGCAGTTGGCTCATCCTGGATGGTCTACAGACTCATCTTGGAACAAATGGCTAGAGACACTTGGGGGTGTGCTCAGCTAGCTGGCTCATTGACAAAAGAGGATTTAAACTATCTTTGCCCAAGCAGAGCACAGTTAGTAGCTAAACACAGGGTGTGCTGGAATCTGTCAGAGAGAGAAAGAAAATGGATCCACGCCTTCCTTTGTGTAGTCCTCAGTTGCCTCCAAGTAGTTCACAGCTAAGTTCCTGGAAGAGGTCTATAGGAGAATGTCTCTGCTGGAAATCTGAGGCAGCCTCCCACTAACCCAGATCGTTAGAGTGCTCCCTAAAATGACATGTTCCAGAACCACCATTGGGGGTGTGGCTTGGCTTGGCACCCTGTGCCTGCAAATGTTTTAGTTCATTTGATGAAGAGTCTGGCAGTTAATAGAAACAGCTGTAATGTAATCATAACAAGCAGCAAGAAGGTCTTCATGTTGGGAAGCACACAGACTGACAGCCAAACTGACCTCTTCGTATTTAAGTCTAGCTTGATGACAGTCACGCAAGTTCCTTAACTTTTGTGGGCTTTGGTTTCTTACTCTACAAAATGAAGAAAATCATAGTAATCATCTCTGAGCCATTTGGAAAGGAATAAAACACAGCACGCAGAGAGTGTGCAATAAACAGGGTTAACACAACTCCCAGCCTTCTCAAGGTAGTTTGCTTTGCCTGAGAAGACCCATGTCCAGAAGGAGCATAAATACTCTGCCTAATGAATACATTGCTGCTCTGGTCTCCGTGGAGCTCCAAGTCACACTGCTGTTTATTCTCCTTATGAAGCTTAGAGGGTGGGAAAGTGTTCTGATTTTCCATTCCACAGGAGGTCTGAGACATAGAGTAAATGACTGAAGTCACAGAAAGCCAGCTGCTGAGCTCCTACTGCTTGTAGCCCCCACTGCAATACAGATTGCCCTCACCTTTTAATGTCAGTGCAAGCACGACTCACCTGATCTCTAAGACCATCAGCCTCTTTCCCAGCCCTTCTATGGCTGCTCATCATGAGAACCTTTGAAGCTTTGGGAGATCACACGGGAGATCTGACTCTAAATCTCATGCCACTGGCAAAAGATTAATTGCTAAGACCTGGAAAGGGGCCCGGTGGTTCTGGGTAGCTGGACAGATTTAGTTAAGGTGGAATTGTCCCTTCACAGAGAGATAAGGCAATGGTGAGGATTGACATTTACAGAAGCACTAGCAAGGTTTTGTAACACTGAATCTGGGTTTTCTGCCCTCTCCCTTGGAGCAGGGCTTATTTCCCAAGGCTGATTTCTCAGCAGGCAATGAGATAGAAGATCTGAGGGAAATTCGAGAATATGCTTGTTAGCTCAGCACTGTCATGTGACTGTTTATAATCTCTTACTTGCTAAGGTCAGAGAGAGATTGAATATTATATTATGCTATATAGAGAAATGGGTTGAGGGGAGAGATGGAGAGATTGGCTAGGAACTTTCCAACACAATCAGAACTCAGAGCAGCTAATAAGGAGCCAGATACAACATCAAAGCCTGGATAGTGGTCCTGAACCTCCTGGAGGAAATTTTGCACAGTTTGACTCTTGGTTTAGACTCAAGCATTTCGAGTGACTTTTCAGCCATCTGGGCTCTGGCATTCTCCCAGAAACCTTGGCTTTGACTCTTTGCCTTCAGTCACTCACTCCATAATGCGTTTCTTTGTCTTGTTGTTCACTTAAGAGACACAATCAGTCAATCAGTGCTGGCTACTTTGTTCAGTTTGTATTCAAAGATCAGAGAAGTTGATTCTCAGATCTGGTTATATTTTTGTAATTCACCCCAGCATCTTTGGCCTGTTGAGACAGAGTCTCATTGTAGCCTGGGCAGGCATTAAACTCACATGTGTAGCCAAGGACGACCCTGAATTCCTGGCCTTCCTGCTTCTGCCTCCCAAGTGCTGGGTTCGCATGTGCAAACCAGCATTCCCAGGTATCTGTCTGCAATTCTTGCTCTTGATTTTCTGTTTCAACCCAAAGCTCTTGCTGTGTGGGATGGATGCCCAGAATACTTCTGCGATATTGTTGCTTCTACTTGTTGAAACTCTTACCTGGTAAATTAATCGTTAAGTCAGTGATTCAGTAGGGACTTCGCTGGGCATGGTGGCACCCACCTTTAATCCCAGCACTCCAGAGGCAGAAGCAGGAAGAATTCAAGGCCACCTGGTCTACAAATCGAGATTCAGGACATCCAGAGCCATTACACAGAAAACCCTGTCTCAAAAAAACAAACCAAACAAACAAACAAACTTTTCTTTACCCTCACAAATCAAAGCCCCATGATGTCATGCATGGAGCTAGTTTGGTTTCTGTTTTGTTTTGTTCTGTTTTGTTCTGAGCAGCTGTTAGTACTTTCTGAATACAATTTGCTGAAAACATTACTTTTTAATGGTCAGAGAAAGGCAACCATACCATTGCACAGCCATCTCTCATCACATCGCATCACTGTATGGAATGCTCGATGCATCTCTAAGACTTTCCTGGAAACTCTGTCCCTCTGAGCGGAGTTGCTGACTGTCTCTACTCTCTTCAGATGAGCTGGAGAGACTGGAACAGGAGAGACTGGCTCTGGAGGCCACAATCAAAGACAACGAGTGTGAGGAGGGGAAGGGAGGCATCCGAGGCTTGTTTAAGAAAGCTGGCAAGCTCAGCATCACCAAGGCAGCCCCTAAGAAAGGTAAGCACTTTTAAATCTTTGGAGCAAGACTTCAAGATGCTGCTGAACATCGCGAGGGGTCAGAGAAGCATCCAAGACACTGAGTATGGGCAGGCACCTAAAGGTCCTCCCAGGAACGAAGGGTCTATGCCACCTCACTTTCAAAAACAAACTTTTTTTTTTAAGTAGTTGGTGCTTATGTAGACCGGGTGCCTCAAGATAGAAATGTCTGCTGAGACAGAGGAATAGAGAATTAAGAACCAATAATATCCATCAATTTTATCTACACAATCCTTCTGCAGATGTGTCAGGGTCACTAGGCAAATGGGAAACAGCTAGAAACCTGTTCCGGAAAGGTATCCTCATACCGGGCCCTTTCCTGACACTAAATACTTCCTGTAGTATTGGTCTAGCTGTAAACTTATCTCTGCGTGTCTGGAAGATATCCCGAGGACGGAGGATCAAATATGAGAGCATTTGTTTAAAGTTGTGGAAACGGGAGGAGCTTTATTTATTTTTTGAAAGTTGCCTTCTTTCCTAATTGAGTCTAAGTTTGAATTTAATGAGGTCCACAGTGGCCTCTGCTGGTAGAAAATCAGAATACACTTGAGACACAGACACATGGTGCTAGAGTTGGTTTCACTGTTAGGCCAGTGGCAGGATCCAAACTGAAGTTTTGCCAGCCCCTGGTCTATGGTGACAGCCAGCTCTGAAAAGACCACTCCCTAGCCTGTAAATAGCTCAATTCCGTTGGTTTGCTGTAGTGTGTGTAGCCCAAGGTTTAAAATTTACCTGTAATAGAAGAATGACAGGAAATTTGTATCCCACAGACTGTAGGAAGCTTAATATTTCCCACCAAGTTGTAAAAATGATTTATTTTACACCAGAAGCCCCAGAGCTGGGTTACAGGAGTATGTGATCTGTCTGGCGTGGGTGCGTGGCTGCTGGGAACTGAACTTCTATCCTCTGGAAGAGCAGCCGGCACTCTTACTTCTGAGCCGTCTCTCCAGCCCCTTCCCACACACTCGAAAATAACCTTTCACCCCCAGCACAGTGGCGCACACCTTTAATCTCAGCACTTGGGAGGCAGAGGCAGGCAGATCTCTGAGTTTGAGTACAGTCTGGTCTACATAGTGAGTTCCAGGACATCCAGGACTATGGAGAGAGACTCTGTCTCAATATATACATAGTACTTTCCCATGTTTGACTCTGAAGTTGAAATTGGTATAAATTGGTAATGAGGGGCCCGTGAGATCACTCGGCAGGTTAACGTGCTTGCCACCAGGCCTGATGACTTGATTTGTCCCTGGAACCCTTAGAGTGAAAGAAGCCAACTGACTCCCTCCAGTTGTCCTCTGATCTCCATGTGCAAGCCGTGGCACACATGAGCCCACGCATGTACATGCACAAAAATAAAAATTTTAATTAGCAATAAGGCTTTAAAAACTATTTCTTTTCCCATTGTTGTCTCTTTTGTAATATTAATCTCTATTAAGTGACAACGGCCTGGAAAAGCAACACAACATTCCAAACTAAAGCTCAGCCCGTTCCACATTCTAATTGAGAAGGGGAAGCCATGTGTCATTGGTGCAAGCAAGGCTTGTTCATTCCAGAAGTCTACTCCTCCATCACAGCACTTGTTTTGGTACTTTAACCAATGACAACCTGCCTTGGTGTTCAGAAAAATAAAATCATGATGCTGTGTGCTTCAGTACCTAGGCATTCAGACTGCTCTGCAGGGAGTCTCCGCCACCCCAGGCTTCAGGTGGTGACAACTCTTTTGAGCTGTAGATCAAGCCCAAACCTGCAGGCTCTCCTAATGATTCTTCCAGACGCTTTGATTTGCATGGAAGGCAGGACAGAGTTTAGTCCATTCTACAAATAAATTTACTTCTCTCTCAGCAGTCCTAAGGATGTAAAAACAATATGCAACCGTTGCTTTAGAACTGACAGGCCCAGAACATGGCAACAGCGGAAACAGAACAAAGCATCTTCAGAACCCACTAGATCAGAGAGCTAGACAGCTCTGAAGAGGCTGTCAGTGCAGCGCTAAGCACTGTCCCAACATCAGCCTCTTTGCATCAGAGTCACGGAGTAGCGACTCTCAAAGGCAAGGAAGTTAGGAATAATATAGACAGCATGCCTAAGAAACCCAGTGTCGAGCATTCTGCCAAGAAATAGGCCTGCTTCCCCGATACTCCAAATGTGCCCATGTCAGAGTCAAAAACTATCAAACATGGGACTGAAGAGATGAGTCAGTGGCTAAAAGCATTGACTGTTCTTCAGAGGACATGTGTTCAAGTCCCAGCATATGCATCAGGTGACACAACCTGTAATCCCAGGCCTGAAGATTCATTACTTCTGAACAATGAGGGCACCTGCACTTATGTGCATAGACACACACACACACACACACACACACACACCCCTAATAAAAATACAAGTAATTTTAAACAAATTAATAGTTTAGAAAAATACTACTCACTTCTAAGTATTGTATATGCATCCATCCTTAATTAAAACTCAAAGCAGTTTTTAATCTTGTGTTCCAGATTTTTTCATATCATTCACAAAAATTCATACAACTCAAAGGTTTTACTTTTGCATCACAGAACTCTTGAAAAAGAAACAGACAGGATCTGGGATTACAGAAAACAGCAAACAAGACCTTTGTGGAGCTTGTGACAAATTGTGCTTAAATGGGTGAAATCTCCAATGAAAGGATAGTTTATTTTTTATATGTGTGTGTATATGTATGTATGTATGTATGTATATATGTATGTATGTATGTATGGTATGCATGTACGTGTGTGCACATGTGTATGGAGGCCAGGGGACAGCCTTAGGCATCATGCACAGGAAAGTCATCCATCCACTCTGAGGCAGGGCCTCTCATTGACCTGGAACTTTCCAAGCAAGGCGGGCTGTTTAGCCAATGAGCGCCCAGGAATCTACCTCTCTCTGCCTCCCCAGGGTTTTGATTGCAAGCACATGCCACCACTCATGTCATTTTTTTCATGGGGTTCTTTGAAGCTAGTACTTGGGCAACCCAGTGACCTTCCTTATCTCTAGAAAATTCTATCACCACACCTAATTTAAAGTCAATCTAAAAACTTTTGTTCCATTCTAAAATTTTCAGTCTACAGTCATACCACCCTGAACACGCCCGATCTCCTCTAAAATTTCCAAAGATTGGGGATCTATTGAGCATTGTCACATGTTACATTCGTAATTGGAGCTTAACCGGGCTAAAACATCCCACAAGAAAGCAGCTTGTGTAGCCCTCTTCTCCTAAGAAGAATGTTTTTATTAACATATTAAGAGTTAGGTTTCATTACAGTGTTTTCAAACAATTGTGGTTTGCATTGCTTCTCTCCCCTTTATCCCTTTTGCCCCCCTCCCCTCCTCTTTTTGCACCTTCTCCTTCCCCAGTAGCCTCCTTTCCACATACCTGTCACACATGTGACACTTTGTTCCCCCCTCCAAACCATCCCCACACGGACACTTTATTCTTTCATGGTCTCCTGACCCAAAACAACCTGAACAAAAACCACCTTCCAGGAGGAAAGATTTCCGATGGCTCGTGATCTCAGAGAGTCTTAGTCTATCAGAGTAGAAAAGATGAACCACTATGGCTGCATCTTTGGCAGTAGACACTCAAGGCAGATGCTGTTCACATCAAGGCACACCAGAGAGTATGTAGGCCCTACAGTAGGAGCCAGGCTGTAACCTTCTAAGGAGTGCCACTCACTGAATTCCTTTCTCCAACTGTGCTGAGCCCCCTCAAAGCTCCTCAACCTCCCAAAATAGCACCATCAGCCAGGGAGAAAAAACAACTCCAAATATAAGCTCGAGGGCTATCTTTGAAGTTTAAGCCACTGTACAACCAAATTACAATTCCATTGTGAGAATAAGAGGGATCTGAAGACAATACACCACTTTATAATAAAAGCCGTTGATTGAACTGGGGGCATGCCTTTCCCTAGCTAAGGAAGGTGAGCTAAATAGTGAATTTTGACTTTGTACAACTCAGCTCAGAACTTATCCATGACATCATGAATCGCTCCATTTTTCCTCAGTATGCTTATTGGGAAGTCACTTGTTTCTGTCCTCAAAAGACAAACAGATGCATCACTGTGTCCTTTGTTTCAGAGGGCAACATCAACACCATCCAGTCGATGCATGTCGGGGAGTTCAACCAGAAACTGGTGGAAGCCAGTGCTCAGTTTAAAAAGAAACAAGGAAAAGGCACGATTGATGTTTGGTGGTTATTTGATGATGGAGGTAAGTTGTCCTGCTTGATTATTTTGACAGGGTGGCTACTTATGAAACAGGTGTACCTTCAAGAATCCCACTTCTGAGTTCCTGAAGGCCATAAATCATATAATAGCTATGATAATGAGAAGGAATCAAAATAATGCTCTCGTTTTTTTCTTTCAATTTCTCTCATCCTTTCTAATGTAATTTCTTCTTTATTCCAGGGTTAACACTTCTTATTCCATATATCTTGACTCTCAGAAAAAAATGGAAAGAATGTAAGTTAAGAATCTACGTTGGAGGAAAGATCAACCGTATTGAAGAGGAAAAAATTTCGTGAGTGATTTGGGGCTAACCTTTCTGGTCCTCCTGGGGACAGGCTGCTCTAGGGCTTAAGTTTTCAGTGCTTTAAATACCTTTGAGCTAGTTGGGTGTGGTGGCACACGCCTTAATTCTCATCACTGGGGAGGCAGAAGCAGGCAGATCTTTCTGAGTTTGAGCCCAGCCTGCTTTCCATACCAAGTTCAAGGCCAGCCAGGGCTGCATAATGAGACCCTGTCTCGAAAGAAAGAAAAACTTCTAATTAAAGTAAAGCCGCATCATGTATCTTTGTAGATTTTTCATTAATGTAGCCACTTGGAGCTGATGTCTAAATGTGAGAATAACAAACATCATAGAGCATAGTGTATTGGGGGAGACACCATCAGGCTAAAGTCCTGAGTTCTGTACCTTCCAGAAACTGTGCAATAGTACAGGACTTTGATTCTATCAATTTTCATATTTTCTTTTCCCTCTCCGGTTAATGGAATTATGCTAAGTACATACATAGACTCACATTTATAATAAGGATATAAGTATATTTGTATATTTACTTTCAATGAATATTATGCAATGCTCATATAATAATAATAACAAGCCAAATTAGGCAAAATTTAAGCAAATGATAAGCTTAGGAACTTTTGAACCGTCTCTCTCATGAAGATGAATGCAGAGTTCCCTTTGCTCTTTCTGTTCTCTGTATCCACAGGGCTCTGTTTTGATTTCTTGGATTTTATTTTTATGACAAGGTGTCTCTGAGTGTGTCAAGCTGGCCTCTAACTCACAGTCCTCCTACCTCAGTGCCCTGAGACAGCAGGAGTGTGCCACCCTGATCAACTGCCCTCAGTGGAGCAGCTTTGTCCAAACTTAACTTCTCCAACAAGTATGTTAACAAAATCACCTGAAAAGCCTCTGGCTGAAAGCTACACTGATTGCTTTTGATGCCTTAACTCAAATACAAAGACCCTTTTGATAGAGAGTAATCACATAGGCACTAACTGTGTGGTTTTCTCTCTCTCTCTCTTTCAGAATGGCTTCTCTTCTCAGCAAATTTAGGATAAAATTTGCAGACATCCATATAATTGGAGACATCAACATTAAGCCAAACAAAGAGAGGTGTGAATTGTTTATCAAGCTCTTCTCATCACCCCTGCTGCTGTCTCACTCTTTCCGTGTTGCTTAACAAAGGGTTGAAAATGTAATGCATTTACTGTAATGTCTTCTTGTCAGCCATTAAAGAAGTGCTTTTCAGTAACTATGACACAGAGCCATCAAGCCCATTTTAATAGAGCATTGGGTTATGGTAAGAAACCTGAGGACAGGTCTCTCATGGCAGGGCTATTTTAGGTCCAGGCACGAAGGGGCTCAATCCTTATGGCCTGTGAACTTTTGAGGGAGTCTCTACCACTATCTGAGACCTAGAAAGGTGATTGAAGCCCCACTCCCAGAAATAGGGAGTGACAAAGTGGAAATAATCATTAAATGTCTTCAAAGCACGGCAGCATTTTAACCCTTATCAATTGTCAAATCTCTCAAAACCGTTATTATATTAGCCATTAACAAAATGCCATAGGCTAGGCAGATTGGCTAAGTGACAGTTGTTTCTCAGTTCTAGTGTCTGAACAAATCCAAGAGTAAGGTGCTTTTTTGGTGTGTATCTGTTGAGAATTCTCTGTCTAGCCTGAAGTTGATCATCTCTATATCCTCGTATGATGGAGCAAGAATTCTGGTGTCTCATTTTCTTCTGCTACAGAACTAATTCCCTCATGGGGCCACCATCCTTGTCTAAAGCTAAGTGCCCCCCAAAGGCCCCACCTCCAAACTTCACCACATCGGGCCTTTAGGCTTCACAGTGTGAACTATAGCAGACAATAAACCTTCAGTTCATAGCAACAGCATCTGAAAACTATCGATATTGCAGGTTATGTCTTCACAGGATATTCCAAAGGGGCAAGAATATTGCCTGGAATCATGATCAATTATAAATTAAATGAACTGCTTAGACTTGTAATTTAGCAATGACAGGAAGTTTTCTTGTTCAAAGTTATTTTTACTGTTTCTTGTGGACACTTCTTAATGTATTTGACTTAGAAGAGACTGGAACCCACAAAGAAAATCCCATTATGGGGCATGAAGGCTTCTAAGCGCCTTGGGTCGTCCTACAGTCCTGTTAGATCTTCTTTGACCACCGTTTCTGCTTCCTCTGGCAAGCCTTGAAAAGCCATAGTTAACCAATGGCCAAATCATCTCATCTCTTCCCTTCTTGTAGTATAGTGTTTCCTGTATGAGTTTGATAAATATCTAAAAAATATTAAGACTTAAGATAAACTTGAACTTTGTATTGTGTAAGGTGTCTTTGAGCTCACTAAGGCTATGGGTCAGGTTGAGTGCTTTACAGAGCACCTTAACTGTGATAAGAAAACTGAAATTGATAGGGTTAACCAAATACACTTTATAACATTTCCTTGCATCACACATACTTCAAATGCCTGACATTCCTTTTTTTCCCTCTGAGACAGGGTTTCCCTGTGAAACAGTCCTGTTTATCCTAGAACTCACCTTGTAGATCACGCTGGTCTCAAACTCACAGAGATCCCCCTACCTCTGCCTCCAGAGTGCTGGGATTAAAGGTGTGTGCCACCACTGACCAGCCATGCCTGAAATTCTTACAAACACATAAGTAAAATGACATGTTTATAGTTCCCTTTGGTAAGTAGAAACATTGTTCTGATCAGAACAGGATTGTCATCTGAAGAGTTGTAACTCACCGAGTCAAATGCCTCGGTGGCACTTGTAATCATGTGACCCAACAGGCTCACTGTGTGGCTCTAGTAGGTAGAGATGGATCCTTCATAGTAGAACAAGAGGAACAATTTTTCGCATGAACCCCTTAGTGACAGGGTTTAGGTATCATTGTACATCAAGGTCAAGCCACTTTCTGTTTGTCTGGAGGATAACCACTGTATCTCGTCAAGTCCTTGCTGCATGCTGAACAAAAATTAGCCACCCAGTTCTTACAGCAGCAGAATTTGTCTTCGTTATTTATCTTCATAAATACCCAGTTATTTCTCTACTCCCTTGTCTTTTTACCCCTCAACCTGGTTTTCTCTACTCAAGGTTTGCTCCTTTCTGTGTCATGCAATCTAGCCTCCATTCAGCTGCTGTGGCCACCGCCCTGTGTTCTTACCTTTTCTATTCTGTCATTGAATGTGTGACATGCCATCTTTATTAACTGTCCTCTCCATTCTGGGAGAACCTGATTGTCATAGTACAGACAAACTTTGTCTTTTCACACTAGCCTTTGCCCCATACTGTCCTCTTCTCGCGGCATTTTCATTTTTTGTCTGTGCTTCTAAATTTTATTCCAGACACCATTGGTGTTCCCCACAGTGTCATTATACTCCTGAGAAGAGAATTACTTCCCTTCCTTGAGAAACCAATAAATTAGGTTTCAAAGCTTTGCAGATTTTCTTTCTGCTGTTTGAAGGTTGCAGAGATGATACAGGAGGAACACATCCATCCTTGCTAAGGTTAAAGGACTCTGGTGGCTAGTCAATACTGTCTTGAGAAAAGGAGGCCATCAGGCCATCTGCCAGAAAGAGAGCTCCTCCTCTCGCCCTCCACCACACTTCACCAATAGTGACATGTAAAAGTCATATACCCTGCTGTAACTCATGTCCCAGATTTTAAAGTAGCTCTAGTTTGGAAAAGAAAGCAGTCATTTGGTCCCATGGTACCCGTGGCTTCTACCAGCAGGCCAGTCATGTTTGTGTTAACTCTAGGCAATGCAATCGGAGAAAGCTCTTGTAGACAGATGTAGCCCCAGGCCACCAAGCTAAACCAGGGTAGCCTTCTTGGCTGGACAGTCTTCACCACCATTAACAACTGTCCCCAGATCACTATTTTTGTCTTGCTCATCTGGTGTTATACAAAGTGGATAACAGTTTGTCAGTGATTTTCTTGAGGACAGCTAGTGTTACATTATCTTTCAATTGCCTTTAGTACATCTTGCAGTCACCATGAAATGTTGGTTGGCATTTTGTCATAGAAACCTTATCTCTAAATATGGGAGGTGCAGGGTGAAGACAGCACAAAAGCCAACTATATGAGAAAATAATTGAGCCTAGAGAAACACAGAACATATTGTGGTTAGGATTCATTTTTATTGTATAAACTGAATTAAAAGTCATGGGCCAAAGACAACAATCATTAGTCTGGAAATCAAGGAGAAACTGGAAGCAATTAACTAGACAATTTAGCTTAAAGATGCTAGATACTAGAGTCATCAAAAAAAAAAACACAGCTACAATACATTACTTTGAAAATGTGGACCAAGGATAAGGTTTTAAATCATTATCATATTTTTGAAATTAAAATGCATCATTTTCCTCCTTTCCTTTTTTCTCTCAGGGAGAAAGTTTTGTGCAGTTAAAATAGTGCTAAACTTTGGTATGAAGAAAATGGCGGAGAAGGAAGGACAGTTTTACTTAGTTTTGAAAAGCTGAATTAATTCTCATTTATATTTAGCAACAGATATTACTTGGTTGAGAGTCAATTAAAAGGTACTTTAAAGAAAAATCAGTTGGGGCCTGGAGAGACGGCTCAGCATTAAGATTACTGGCTATTCTTCCAGAGGACCAGAGTTCAATTCTTAGGACCTATATACTGGTTAATAACCATATATAACTCCAGTTCTAGGAGATCCAGTGTCCTGCTCTGGTCTCCCTCGTTGCTCCCTTAGCATGTTTCAGTGCAGTGCCAGTGAAACAAAACCTCATAGTGATTTAGATGACAAAAATTATTGTCACAAACAATTAAGTACAAGTATAGGCTGACTTTCAGCTAAATGATCTAGAAAATAAACTTTATAACAAAGGACTGATTTTCTTTCATTCTTTCTATTCCCCCTTCCTGTAGACAGCCATCAATAAAAGTTTATTTAGCTTATAAAAACAAAGCGACTGACAATAGCAACTAGGACTCCACCCTTGTTCTTGTGTGTTCAGTAGAAGAGAAAGTGTCTCTCCCTAATCATTGAAGTCAGGTTTTTACACTCCATTCAGAATTCATTATCCCCCTAAACCACTGGGCCATTCATGGTAGGCACTATAAAAATGGGTGCATATTGTTTCAAAACTGCCTGGGTTTTACCCAGTCCTTGTAGAAAGCCCAGAAATGTGCTAGAATTGGTTGATGTTGTAGATGGAATAGTTTTCACCATGGATACTATGGAAACAACTATTAATTTCCACTTTCCCTCTGTATCTTGAGAAATCATTCTTATGCTGTATTTTCTTGCCCGGCTCTGGTTGAGGTGCAGAGAAGCTCAAACAGTACTTGTAGAGTTTAAACACAGTTTTCTATCCTGAAACCAAGTTCTGGGGTTGGTCATCAACATGCTATCTCACTTTCCCGAGGCACTGCACCCACACCATCACTCTGGTTCCCACAGGGCTCCCAACGGCCATTGCCACTCCCTTCTGTAGGCCAGATTAGCTAGCTATAGGAAAGTAGAAGCCCTAGAGCAATTATCCAGGTTCTGAGGCCAGGCCCTGCGTCTTACAGACTGTCACCACAGCTCTCTCAGGGTTGACACTGTTGGAAGCAGTGGCAAATGAACGTATTGTTGAAAGGATAATAAGGGCACATCAGTTCTCTTGCTTACCTGTCGTCTCCCCACTCTCTATGAGAGTCAGCACAATAGGAGTCTATTGCATTCAGTACCTCTTCAGTCCTTTACAGAAGCTAACTGGCAGAGACGATTTTACTCCTTTGTAATCTCTGCACTTTTATCTGCAAATCCTAAATCAGGCCAACTGATGAGATAATTAAATTCATCACTCTGTATTTTAATTTCTTAACCCCAAAGCGTATGGATTCTAATTACTATTCATCCCAAAGTTACTAAATGGTAAGTAAGCTAAATTATATAAAACCAAAGGAAATTATTCATAGTTGAGGTCTTCTTAAGCAGAGCTCTGAAGACAACTCCTTCCATAAATTAGAAGCTTCACTTTGTGCCGCAGTTTGAAGAATAAATCTTAGGAGATTATCATGTAAGACAAGAATGAGATTCTTTTTGCAATTTTTAAATGTTCCACAGCTCTCAGACACTGCCTCTCACTTTCTCCTCAATGATTTATTCTTAGATGCCCTAAGATGGCCTCAGATTTTTAGGCATTAAATGTTATTGATTTTTGCCCTCTCACTTAACACAAACATGAATAATAGTCATTTGTAAATCTCAGACAGCAACATCAAACATCAGGACAAGGATGCCATTATTTTACACAGATTCTTTTTTTTTTTTTTTTTTTTTTTTTTTTTGCTAGAACTGTTAAGCCTGTGAGAGCCCAGGCTGTTTCCCTGTCTGCCCAAAGTCTCCTGGCAGGAGTGGGCATTGTTTGACTGCAGGTGAGGAGGGCCCCCATCGCTCAATGAATGGAGGTCATCTCCCAACTACAGCAACTGCACCCACTGACCTGCATCACACAAGCAAATGAAACTCAGATGTGGGCTTCCGTGTGTATAGTATAAGTGGCTCTGTAACTACATTATGCAGAAAACACGTCTGTGGAATAATTACTATCTACATGTTCATGAATTAATAATGTTGATGATCCTGGCAAACTAACCAGGCCTCAAACACACTGACTGCTTGCTTTGCCTACAGAGGGAGTAATACCCATAGTTTCCCCCACAGTATGTTCTGTACAAAGATGACTCTTAAAAGATTTGCATACCATTCCACTCTGATTCTGTGCTTCTGTGAAATAATGAGTCCATTTCCCCCTGTGAGGCCTTCTTTACAATTCCAATTTCAGCTGGAAAGTCTTTGAAGAGATGATTGAACCTTATCGTCTCCATGAAAGCCACAAAGATTTGACCACTGCTGAGAAATTAAAAAGAGAAAGTCCATGGAAAATTACAGACGCAGAGCTGGAAGCCGTCAAGGAAAAGGTAAGAACTCGTGTTCCTTAGTTTTCACTTTACCATCTAAATAGTAAAGAGGAAACCATGGCTGCTTTCAAGAAATGATACATCAGGTCAAGATGCCTTCCTCAGTATCCTGGGTGCCTGCGTTTTCAGGGACTTTTTGATAATATTACTGGATATAACCTATTTTTAAGTTAACAAAACAAATTATTGGATCACATTGTGAGGTCTTCTTTGAAATGTATTTTTCATTAACCTAAACTAATTTAAGTCATTAGGCATGCAATGTGGATAAAGGTAAATTGACCCACAATTTAAACAATAACAAAGGCCTCTAGCCTAATAACCATAGCTGTGAAAAACTAACAAAAATATCTATAGAAATGTATGATGTCTTGTTTGGAATAATGAATACAGAGGTTATGCCTGGGCTAATAAGATAGCTCCTCGGGTGGCCTGAGTTCAGTCTACAGATCCTATTGTAGAGGCAGAAAATAGATTGATAAAAAAGCTGTTCCCTGACATCTACAAGTATATGGTAGCACTCACACATATATCATACACACACAGAAATAATAAAATTGTGTGTGTGTGTGTGTGTAAGTTGCACCTGGCACACCCAGTGAAATGGACGTAAAGTAAGTTTTCCTACATAGCACAACAGCCAGTAGTAATTCCAGCATTCTGGAGGCTGAAGCAGGAGGATCACAAACACCAGGCCAACCTGAGGAGGACAGAGAACAACCAGAAATTTCTCTCTGGCCTGAGCTTGAATTGAAGTGGTAGATAGTAATGATAATGAAAAGAACAGGGATGAAGATTTAAGTACAAAACTCAACTTGTTAATTGGACATCAAAGGACAAGGATCACAGGAAGAAAATATTAAACCCTTCCAGCATCCGTGACAACAACGCTGAAATAGAACAATAAATTCTCCATGCGATTAAGTCCCCAGTTTTACAGAGACATAGCATATAATTAAGCAAGTCAGACATATGAACCTGTGAAATACAAAACTAGTATTAGTCTTATCACTGTTAAATAATTTTCCAATGAGTTTACTGGTGGCTTTTTACCTGAAACCAGTCCCCTACTAACATTGTCAGAAAGCTTAAAGAAAACAGAATAGAACAGAACCTACCTTTTTAGGCTATCAAAGAGATAGCAAGAGTCAACCGGTTTTCTTCAGATGAAAGTCTGTTTCCAAACCCTCTGTTCTCATCTTTTTTGTTTTTGCCATCTGTGTTGTTCTATACCCCTAGAATCTAATAAGCCACCACGTCACAGTGACAATCCAGAATTACTCTTCACATTTTTACAATTTCCCATGAGGCTTTACAACATTAAATCTTCATTTTTTAAGTATACTCTAATTTTTAGTAATGGCTTGCTTATTCATGACTTGAGTTAAGAAGATAACTTCTCATTCATAATTCTGGTCGACCTGTACTCAACTCAGTCTAAATACTGTCCACAGAGTTACCGCCAAGTTCGACTGAATGAGCTCTTACAGGAACATTCGAGAGCTGCCAACCTCATCGTGCTGTAAGTATCACCAGACACTTAAGACTGGTAGAAGGAATGGAAAGGGTGAGTGGGATAATCAGACTACAGGCCCATGACTCTTCCAGTGGGAAAATTTTTTAAAAGGTAAGTTGAAGCATGTGGGAGTTTAGGCAGTGAAGGAAGACAAATGTCACCCTAAGACAAGGATGACTGAGTCCTGTGCACTTTTTAGTGGTTCTACAACAGTCATGGGGTTTGGAGCATATGTCCATGTTGGACTGAAGCTACCCTTGTGGTCCCATATGGAACAGGCTCCAGGAGCCTGGAAGTCTGAAATTCCCCCCACCCCCAGTAGCCCAAGTGGACCACAGGACTTACAAGTAACTTCCTTGAGCTGTGTGTCCATGGCTAATTTCCTGGGTGAGCACTTCTGAGCTACGTGTGTTTGTGGCTGACTCATGGGGTTCTCTACAGTGTGGCAACAGATCACCAAAGACAAAAGGCCATGAGCTTTAATATTTTCATTCTTTATCCCATGGCCCTACCAATGTTAGGAATATTCCCTACTGAAAATATTACTCATGTAATGAAGATTGGTGCTAAAAATGGGGAAATGTCCAACTATTTTATGTTTACCCAATGAATGATCTATATATGAAAATATAGGTATCTTCAAGCATGGTGTGGCTTGGAGGACTGCCACTTCTAATGTACCTCCCCCAAGAACCCCCCAGGAGATATTGGAGGGGTGAATAACTTCCTCCATAGGGCAAATATCTGTTACTAAATTCTCTGTTTAAAAAAAAATCAGTAGTTACAATCTTATTTTGTCTGTACAATGACTGTACATTTTCCTCATTTATGCAGGTTTGCATTATTTGAAGATTATATCAGCTTAATTTCTGAATTTAAAATAATTGCAGTGCTCTCATTTGAGGGACGTGTGATAAACATTTCAGGTTACTAGTTATTACTAATTCAGAAGTGCAGATAATGTCCCTGCCCACTGTAATTTTTCTCTTTGGTTTTAATTTTTCTTCCATGTCATCAGGAGCCTTCCAGTGGCAAGAAAAGGTTCTATATCGGATATGCTGTACATGGCATGGATAGAAATTCTGACCAGGAACCTCCCTCCTGTGTTACTAGTTAGAGGAAATCACAAAAATGTCCTGACATTTTACTCTTAAAGTGTGAAAGATGAGAAATGTTGTAACTTGACGTCTGACTACGAAACATGTCTGGTACTTTGTGTTGTAAAACCTCATCTATGGATATATAAACCTCTGAAGACTAGCCTACCTGATTCTACGTAAATTTTGTCTTTAAAAGAAGAGTTATTATTAACAAGAGATTTTCCCTGTTAGTTTCAAAAACATCAAAAGCCATACTGCTCCTAGAAAAACACTTTGTCAAAGTTGCTGATAAACAAGAAATTAATAAAACCTTGCTGGCATGCTTATGAGTCATGCTAATCTGGATGTGAGCTCCAGGCAAACTTAGTCTGTGGAGCCTGCTGCATGGTCCCAGGGCACACCTCAGTCCCCAGCAGGCTCTCCATAAGCGCTTATTGACAGGCTGGTGTGGTGACGGCAGGTGGCAATCACAGGAAAAGACCTGCTGGGTCAGCGGCCTGATCTGCTTGGCCTCCTGAGATGCTTATGAAGATTTAAAAATCAATAACTGAAAACTTTAGGAAGGACTAGAGTCTACAGAGTGTTCAAAGCAGTTACCCAAAGGTTTATTTAATGTGGCAGATAATATGCTTACAAGTGATCTCTGATAAGACATTTGCTGCCTGCTGAAGGTATGTTAGGGAGGCGAGCAGGAGACACATGCTCCACTTAGATGAACTCCAGTAGATTCTTAACATATAAATATCAATTGTCTTCCCTGCTAAATACTTTTAAAATTATCTCTTAGTACTAGTTTGCTTATTTTTCTCTCTAATTACTGGTTTGCACAGATGAAATCAAAATAGATGTCTCATTGAAAAATAATCTCATAAACCTTCAATCCACTATTAAAAATGCATCTAGACCCTACATTCATTTACTTTTTATAGTTGTTATATAGGATTTAGAGAATAGCTAAGATATGAATGGAGAAAGCTGTAAAAATTAAGAATACAAGAACTGATTTTTCTTCTTGATAGTGTGTCTATAATATTTAATCACAAAAAAACTAAAACTTGTTTATCTGACGAATGGCTTGGGTTTTTTTGTTTTGTTTTTTCTTGGTATATTTTGACTATTCTGGGGAAATGTGTGGGGCAAATCAACCTGAAATAAAATCGTTAAAATGTGTTTGCTTTGACAAAGTGTATTTTCCTTTTCTGTCATTGACATCAACAACATTGTGGAACGGTACATGGGTGCATGCGAGCCTGAATAGTGCATCCCACAGCCACACCTGCAGTGTGCTTAAAGTTGGGTTTCAGGATGAGGATTTCTAGGCTTAGCTGTGCTCAGAGGTTCTCAGAAGAACAGAGGCAAGGAGCAAGGCCCGGGCAGCTGGGATGCCTTGTTCACTGATATTCAGTTCACCCTATGGATCTGAAACTTAAATGACTAGTGATCTGGTGAAGATGACCCTGCGTCCTCTGAAATAGTAGAGCAGGTGTCTGGGAAAGGCAAGAAAATTCATCAGTGAGCAACAAATCCTCCTCAAAATGGACCTTTGGGGCTGAGGGAGCCTGGAAGTGGAGCAGGGGAATGGTGAGCAGTGATGTGGGGACTAAGGACTGACTTGCTCAGTGATCTGGAACTGGAGCACAAAGTCTCTGTGGCGATCAAAACATTGTTCCTCAAAGTTGTCCACACACTGGTCCTTAGAGCCTGTGTGTATAGTACTTTCAACAGCAAAGAGACTCTGTGTGTATGGCTCGTGTGTAAGCTTGAGCTGGGGATAATATCCTGGTGAGTCTGGGTAGGCACACTGCAACTACAAGCACACAGAGAAAAACCAGTCCAGGGTGTGGCCAAGAACCAAAGAGATGACATTAGCAGCAGAACTCCATCTGCTGCTCAGAGCTTTAAGCTCAAAGGGAGGTCATAGGCTGGGAAGGTAGGAAAAGGAAAACATGGCTTTCTCTCTCCACAACTTCTAGAAAGAAAGACAACTTTTCTAATGCCTGTTATGTTTAGATTATTGATAACTGGGTTGGACTTTTGACCTAAAGAATGTTGATTTCTTTTAAAGACAGTGTTTAAACTACTAAGACTTAGTATTTCTATTGTTGAGAAGAGACGTCATGACCAAGTCAACTTGTTTGTTTGTTTGTCTGTTTTTTCAAAACAGGGTTTCTCTGTGTAGTTTTGGAAGCTGCCCTGGAACTTATTCTATAGACCAGGCTGACCTTGAACTTACAGAGATCCACCTGCTTCTGCCTCCCAAGTGATGGGATTAAAGGCATGCACCACCACCGCCACCACCATCTGGCTGCAAGTGAACCCTTACAAAGGAAAGCATTTAATTTGGGAAGTTTACAGTTTCAGCAGATTAGTCCATTATTGATGGGGGAAGTCCTTCTGTGTATATGTCTCTCTTTGGTTAATGGGCAGGGAGCATGGTGGTTTGCAGGCCACATGGTGCTGGAGAAGTAGCCGAGTATCCTACAACTTGGCTTGCAAGCAACAGGAAATGGTCTGTGACACTAGGTGGTATCTTGAGCATATATGAGACTTCAAGACTCACCTTCCCAGTGACCCACGTCCTCCAAGAAGGCCACACCTATCCAATAAAGCCACACCTCCCAAAAGTGCCACTCCCTTTGGGGGTCATTTTCTTTCAAGCCACCACAGACGGTAGTACTTTGTTATGCCAGCAACAGAAGATTGAGAGTTGTTGAGTGTGGTTCTGCAGTCTGCAATGCAGCACTAGATGGAAGAGATGTGGGATAATGCTCTTGCACCCTGTAGAGATTTGTCACTCGCTTTGGTTTAATAAAACTCTGATTGACCAGTAGCTAGGCAGGAAGTATGGGTGATCCAGAAGACTAGGAGATTCTGGGAAAAGGAAGGTAGAGACAGAGTCTCCAGCCAGACACAGAGAAAGCAAGATGAGAATCCTTTACTGAGCAAAGGTACCAAGCCACATGACTAAGCATAGATAAGAATTATGGGCTAATTTAAGTTTAAGAGCTTGTTAGTAATAAGACTGAGCAATAGGCCAAACAGTTTATAAATAATGTAAGCATCTGTGTGTTTATTTGGGACTAAGGCTATGGGGACCAGACAAGAAAGAAACTTCCATCTACAAGGAAGCAGGAAGACCATGAGTTCAAAGTCTTCCTCAGGGAGTTCAAAGTCAGCCTGGCCTATGAGAAACTTAGTCTCAAAACAACAAAACAAAGGAAATGTAGAAAAGAAAAAGAAATGTGAAGTCTTTGTGAATCAGAGGTTGGATTAGCACAATAGACAGTTTTCAATGTCTCCAACCTGTCTGGTCTCTAGTCACCTCAGACACCTTCCTCTACCAAACTCTCTTCAGTGTCACGACATCTAACAGCACCTGTTAGAGAGTCTACATGAGGCAGCATTGTTCACAGCAGTCTGCTGAGCCCAGTTAGTGTGCTTGTGTGTGTGCCCAGGTCCAAGGAGGAGCAGGCTATGCTTGTGCTTGCCACTTGAGTTGGCTCCTTGGATCTGAGAGGCTCTGGGTTTCAGCCAATTGTCATTGCCTGTCTCTCAGCCATGCTGGCTTCCGTGAGAATCCTTAGTCTGGGCTCTGCAACTCTAACCACCTCCATTGTCTCACCCTCAGCCACACCTGCAGTCTGTGAGGGCCCTGGACTACATGAATAATTTCCACCCCCCAGCAATATTTCCTTCTAGAGAGAAGTATATACAGATTAGTCTGGGGACATGACTACCCACTGTCGGACAAGCTCAATCTTTCTTATTTGTAATGTGTTGTTATTAATGTTGTGCGTGAATGTTGCCCAGATCTTGTAACATATTCACTCCAAGTGACCTATACAGACCTTTTGGCTGCCGTGTCTGTCTCCTCTTCCTCCTCTTCCTCTTCCTCCTCCTCCTCTTCTTCTTCCTCCTTCTCCGATTTACCACTTTACAAATTCAGTTCATGTGCTGACCTAGATCAATCATGTCTGCCAAAGCCTCTCCTATTTCAAAAATACCACAACCCATAATGAGACACAACAAAGCCACTAAAGCCCTCTATACCAGTCCCAAGGTCCCTGCTGAATCAACTTCCTTTTTAACTGTCACATGAACAACGATCTTACTGGTCTTGTGAACTAGGGACCAAACACAGCTTCTCTCAGCCTCCCCAGTAACCCCTATTCTTTCTCTATGGGCCTCTGTCCCCTGATATTTACAGGGACCTCAGATGGAAACAGCCAAGTGCTCCTAATGGCTCTATTTAACCAGTCAGTCAATGACTGATTTCCCTCACACTTCCTTTTTCTTTGGGAGGCATGAGTTATTGCACTGCTCAGTTTTTCTGCCTCCAACTTCAGTTAGATAGTTTCCATCTCTTCCCATGTCCCACAACCTCTCCTGAGGCTGAGACAAGCTTTTTTGTTGTTTGTTTAGAACTCTTCCCCAATTGGAGCAGTTCAGGGGCTAAGTAGTTTCCGATTGTCGGTGTCCTGTAGCAGACCTTTGTTACGGCCTCCGTCTGCATGTTAGATCACAGATTTCCCCTTTTCTCTACTAAAGGTCTCACATGGGGATTATTTTCTATCTCTGTTGCTGTGTTTTCCTCCCACAGATCTAACTCCTATTGGTCTCCAGCCGTGAAAAGTGACAAATCAGCATTCGCCTCTCTTTTATCTAATTTACCTGCCAAATCAGAGGCGTACACGGAGGACGCTAGATGCGTCTCCCTTTCTCGCGTACTTCCTCCTGCTAAGCAGCCCCTAGGTTACCGTAGTATCGCTTCTTCTACATAACCGTGGCCAGGCAGCCTCCACAGCTTCTTGCCAACACTCCCAGCCCTTCCACGCTGCTTCCAAACGCTGCAGTTTGTCCACACAACTGTGGGAAATGTAAAAGAAACACACTGCCTTTTCCATCAAAAGGTTACATAAGACAGAAAAAGTTCCCCTTAATTTTTTTTTAAATTGCCGTTTGGTGAAAATCCATCCTGAGTCAGCATTGTCCTGAAATTAGAGCAAGTGCTTGAGGCTGCTTTCTCTGCTCAGGGCTTCGTTTGCTTAGCTACTGCTCTGCTCTAAGCTAGCCAGTCTCGTCAGAATGGGAGGGACCAGCCCACTTTAGGAGGAAAAATCCAGGGGGCCCTTGCTGGGTGTGTTTGCTCGACTGATGAAGCTTGGCTATGCCCCCTTCTCTAGAAGTAAGACTTTTTCCTTTCCATTAATTGTAAGGTCACTTCCTTGAGGCCCCCAGACCCGATCCTAATTTATACCTCTCACGTTCTCAGGGCATCCCTGTAAGTGAGTAGTGGACTCCACTCACTAAGTAAGCCTGCCAGTCCACATCACATAGAGCAAGCCTGCCACTCTAGGATTTCCCCCACAGACACTCCAACTCCTGATGGCTCAGCCTTGGTTACAAATCTCACTACCGAGACCAAGAACCATGAAACCTCTCCCATAGCACAAAGGTAGCTATGGCACTCCACAGAGGAAAGGACAGCTATGTGGGAATTCCCTCCTAGAATGTTCTACCCCCAGGCTGCTTAGCCTCAGCTGTGAGTCTTGCCACCCATAGCCAGGACCGTGCAACCACACATCTCCAACTCTCCAACTCATCTGTCACTCTGTCATTTCCTGTTTGGGTGCCTAGCATGTGTCAAGTACTTTCCCAGGGAGACAACCCCCCCCCCTCTCTCTCTCTCACTTTCTCTCTCTCTCTCTCTCTCTCTCTCTCTCTCTCTCTCTCATAGCACAAATTCTAATTGGTATTAATAATAAAAACTCAGAGTCAGCTATCAGGGGGTGAAAACTGAAAGATCAGAGAAGCAAAGCAGCCAGTCACTAGAGAGTTTTTAACTCTACCATGCTCAGAACAAAGAGGCATCCTGTCCTCAGACTGCCTCTTCAGACTGACTCTCTGTGCTGACCCCTGCAGGCCTCTTCCTACCTAGAAGCCAAGGAAACCTCCCCCGACGTTTCCTTACCAGACAGACTCCTCCTCTTCCACCCTGGGGACTTCGCCATTACACAGGCACTGAGGACATCAAAGGAATCCTTCTCTTGGCTCATGGCTCACTTCTCTCCAGTTTACTAGAGAGTTGGTTTGCCCTAAATTTTAGCTTTCCATTCTTGCCTGGTTTCCAGAAACACCTACCACCCTATCACCCAGGGCCCAGGATGTTGTGCTGGTTACTAATATTGATGCAGTGATGTCCTCAGGTCTAAATTGGAAAAGGTGTTATACTAATTCACTTCTGGTTTTGTTTTTTTTTTTTCTAGTGACAAAATATGTAAGAATACCATGTTAAAGAAAAGTTTTTTTTATTTTTGATTCAGTGCTTCTGGGGTTCCATCCACTCTGGCTGACTCTATTGCTCTGGGGGAGCATGAAACCTAGTAAACGTTGAAGAGAAGATGCTGTTCCCTTCATGCTGACTGGGGAGGATAGCACAGAGCTAGGGGGAGGGGCCCGGGACAAGAAACACTTCCACGAATATTCCGTTAGTGACCTGCTTCCTCTCAGACTGTCTCTAACTCTCCAAAATGTCACTGAATTACGAATTATCAGTGAATTAATCACTGAGTATGTCAGAGTCTTCATGATCCAACTGCCTCTCCACAGTTGGATTCAAGAACTGGGGCAGGAGGCAGTCTTAACACATATGGTTTTTTAGAGGAAACTTTGTACCCAAACCACAACTGTGTGATCTTGTGTATTTCTGTGGGAGAGTTAGGGCTACACAGATAACTGGGAAAATGAAAGTGGACTCCCTGAGGTGGCTGCTTTCTGTTTCCAGAAGGCATTTGGAGGAGAAATCAAGGGAGGCGAGGGGCTCTGCTTCCTGCTCTATGCTATGTGAAGAACCATGGCCGCAAGCTCCTGCCTCCATGAACCAAACCTCTCGTCTTTGCCTCTATTACGCTGTGACGGGCTGGATCTGAAAGTGTGCCTCTAATAAGCCTGTCTTTCCTCAAATTGCTTCTGTCAGGTATTTTGGGTTCCGCAACAGAAAAGCAATGAATACGGGAGTGGGGAAGAAGGAGTGTCTCCAGTTGGATTTCTGTGCTATAATAGCTCTTTCTGTTGCTTCCTGTCCTAGCGTAGGAAGCCATTCTCTCTTTATAAGTAACACACGTGTGTTTGGGGAAGTCTGGACAATCAAAAATGACACTTAAAACGATTAATCCTTTTACTTTGACTCAAATTGTAAATTCTAGGAAAATTATAAAAGAAAAATAAACTCTGCCCCAATGCCAGATGGAATCATATAAAGATTCTCTGATCAGAGACCAGTCCACAGAGGTGGCTACATTATGAAGTTAATTTTGTAGTTCAATAAGAAAGCCCAATGAGAAAGGTGGACACGCTACGAAGAAGCACTATGAGCCAAGGAAGACAGAGAAACACCATGGTTTCTCAAGGGTGTTTCAGTGCAGTCCCTGTAGCCCTCCTCCATTTATAGCTCGTTATGGCTCAGACTTTCCCTTCCTATTTGACAATAGGTTTAACTCCAGCTTTTTAGTCCCACTCAGTTGCTGATGGGGCATCTTTTGTGATTTGTCTTGATGATCTCCATTCAGCTTAATTGAGAAAGCAGCAGACATTCGGGATGCTGTCCTGTGATCGTTAATACAATTATACAGCAAAATTTGTGCTGGGGACAAAAGAGGCTGGCCTCGCTCAGGTATTTAAGGTGATGATGTCTCCATCACAATGTTGAGCACAGCAGGTTTGGTAGAGCTGGGAACAATGATTAAATGTGAAGGCTATGATGAACCCACAAAATTCTCTAAAGTAAATCCCTAAAGCAATGGTCTCTAACCAGGAGGGGCAGGCAAAGAGCCTTAGCCAAGCTCTCTGCGGATCGCTTTTCTTCTTAAAGCTATCGCTTTTACACTGTTTACTTCATAAGAGCCAAATGAAGCCTTTAAATTAGATAACCGTAACTCATCTATGAACTATAATTACAGAGATTGTGTCTTCTGACGTGTCTGCATTATCTAGAGTCAGCTTTTCATGATGGCCACCCTTGTTAAGTTAGATTGAGTATTCAGATTTTATGCTAAGTATTCTGTCCTCACCAACTTCTGCAGCACAATGAGGTGATAATTTGTGAGTTAGTTCAAATAGTTTTACAGCAAGAAATATTTGTGTGATTAGCTTCTGGGCCACTTAACTGGCAGTCAGTTTTTTGTCAATCTACAGAGCTATTTCTTCTTAAGATATATTTATGTTTAATGAGTGTTTTGCCTGAATGGGTGCAACTATTGCATGTGTGCTTGGTGCCCATCCATGTCAGAAGAAGGTATTTGGTCCTCTGAGACCGGAGTTATGGATGGTTTTGAGCCTTTGTGTGCGCAATGGAAGCCAGACATACATGCTCTGCAAGAGCCAGTGCTCTTAGCCATTGAGCCATCTCTCCATCCCCTCCTGAGATATTTGTATACTTAAGATTCCCTGTGCGGGTCTCATGAAATCAAAATCCTGCTTCTGTTCGTGTTCTTCATGAAAGCCTCATCGGAATATCTGCACGCGGTTGCTACATTATACACTAATAAAATATTTTTAAATATGTCTGAACACACTTCTGGGGGAACACAAGACATTCTGAGAAGCTTCCCGACCATATTTTCTAGGCGTGTGTGTGTGTGTGTGTGTGTGTGTGTGTGTGTGTGTGTGTGTGTGTGTGTGTAGGCCAGACGTCAATCTCTGGTGTCATTTCTCAGAAGTCACTCACCCTGCTTGTACAGACAGGGTCTTTCATTGAACCGGAACTCACTAAGATGACTTCCCAGGGAGCCCCAGAGATCTGTCCACCTCCCCAGTGCTGTGAATACAAGTACATACCTCTACCTGCTTTTTACGCAGGTAGGGAGTATCAAGCTCAGGTTCTCTCATTTGTATGTCAAACAATCTACTGAGCCATCTCCCCAGGCTCCACAATGGTGTATTGGGCCAAAAGTTTAAAAATAGTACAGAAACAAAGTTAAGCATTCTGAACTCTGGAAAAATAATTTTCATTAATTTTATATTTTAGACTTTGATCCAGGTGGTCAGTGTTTTTATTTGTTCACACTTCTCTGTATTACCAGTTCCTTTTTCTGGTCCCACTCTTGTAACCATCTGCTTACAAAAGCACACTTCCTACCTGCCCCCAGCCACCTCAGACTTTGTTCCATGGTAGAATGGCCTCCAGAATAAAAAGCAAAGAAACACGGTTCAATTTTAGTGTAAGAGCCCTAACTGACTTCTTGTTTTCTTGGCATCTTTGCCTAATGGTGAACTTCAGCATGAGAAGCAAGGTGGCTTTGGCCCTTTGGGAATGTTCTAAATTCAGATAGAGTTGGCTAGCTAAAGACATCCATCACTGCCTGGATCTCTTCCACTCCTGCATTATTGTCTAAGCAAACATACTCCCACTGAAAAGGAACACAAGAGTTTTCAAACCCCCAAACCTGAGAAAATGCCTCTACAAAGGACCCTCACCACAGGAAGTTGGATAGAAAAATGGTGACACCGACCAGAAGTCTGAGACACCGGAAGAGGGAGAAAGCAATACATGGTGTTAAATGCATTGGTTTGAATGCACTGGTGATAAACTCCCACTCGTTATCAATGCACCAGTATCCCATTAAGAAAAACTTAAAACTTAGAATCACTTCCCCTTGGAGTAATTTCACCAAGAGTGAGGCCAGACTTGAATTCTCTGCTTGTCTCTCCCTTTGCCTTTGCCATTCATTGTCTGTCGCATGAGTCTGAATCTGTGACTGACTGCATGCTGTCATGTGACTCTTACCCTGTGTCTGTGTCTGTCTGTGTGTTCATGCCTCCAACAAAGGGCTCTGCTCTCTCTTATATACAACAGTGAAGAAAGCTTACATGAGGGAAGCAATGGGGGATACTTTTTAGAAATCCTTAACAG